AATGTAGCCAAATGAATGCTGCGCTCTTCTCGACAAAATTTCTCGAGAGCTCACTCATTTGTTACGTCATAATATATTTTTGTAGCCCTATGACAAAAAGAGTTTAAATAAATAACGGATTGTTAACAGACAATAATTAATAAACGAACACCTAGTTTCATCAGACAAATTCAGACCTCTATGGTGGACCATCGTTGTCATGCTTGAAATTGGAAAAAAAAAAATGAAAAATAAAATAAAAAACTTAAAATAAAAGTAAAATAAAAAAAATAGTTGTGAAAAAACCTAAAAAAAATATAAAAAAAAACAAAAAAAAAAATTAAAAATAAAAACGAAAATAAAATAAGAACAAAATTTAGAAAAGAAAGATTAAAAAAAAAAAAGTGAATAAAAAAAAAATACAAAGGTTGACAACGATGGGCCGCCTCGTGGCCCATCGTTGTAACGCATTTTTATTTTGAGAAAATTTGCTTCGGCTTGGGACCAACGTTGTCACGCATAATCCTACGCACACAAACGGTGTTTCCTGTGTTTCTAACTCACTACTGATTTTCTTGAGCAATATTCAATAAATTCAAAACGAAAATGTTCTATAAATTCTCCATGCTACAAATTCAACTAGAGGTAATATATTTATAATAATGATAAGAGAATATAAAATTGAGTACGAAAATTCGGGAAATTTGTTTTTACGTGTAGAAGGTAATTTATTGGAGAATGCTGCTCAGCTGTCCGGACACTCTTGCGATACCGGTGCCGTCTGACCGTACCTGTACCCATGCAATCAGTCATGAAACGAATGAGAGATACGGATAGTCTAGCTAGTGGAATATAGTGAATCGAGGGATGGATTGAGCGCAGCCAGTTACAGGTTGTGCGTAATAATAATTACCAGCATGGTACCGGTTATTGTATTTGTCATGAGGGTACGGTACCGGTACAGCCAATGGCGCGTCAAACTTTTTTGCTGATAATGGTGCTCCTTAAACCTAACTTTAAAATAAATTTTTGGGGATAAATAAATCATAAGTTAGATGTTGTTATAGACAGATAGACTACCTACCGTGCGTGAGACTAAATAAATTCAAGTACCGTAATAGATGAATGTTTGAACATCAATATTCAAGTTAACCAACAAACTCACTCTTGTGTTGCATGTCTGTTGTGATAATCTTAAGTAGACAACAAACAGGCTTGAATATTATGGCAACGTCCAAGGCCTAATGGTTTCATATCAAGAGTGAATATACCACTTTAATAACATGTTGATTGTTCATTTAAAAGACTTACAGATATACCGGTACCGGTACATTTGAGATCATATCTAAAAAATGTCTGACGAGTGGAAACATGATGAGCAGTTGGAAGCTGCGGGGAAGAGTTACGTTAAAGACGGATTAAAAAGACAAGAAAAGCTTAATTTTTTTAAGAAGAGACAATGCGTGATATGGTGGGAGCCTTTGTATTTTTTTTTTATTCACGTTTTTTTTTTTAATTTTTTTTTTTATAATTTGTTTTTATTTTATTTTCGTTTTTATTTTTAATTTTTTTTTGCATTTTATTTTTTTTTCATTTTTTATTTTTTTTTTTAATGTTTTTTCACAAAAATTTTTTGATTTTACCTTTATTTTAAGTTTTTATATTTATTTTTTTTTCCAATTTTAAGCGTGACAACGATGGGCCACCATAGACCTCAGAGTCTTAAAACTATTTATCTAAAGAAGAATGATCTCGTTTCCGAGGCCTCGCTCGCGTGCCGAATAAATGCGCTCGCGTGCCAGGGGTTGCCCACCCCTGGACTAAGATAAAGTGGGAGGTGGGACCAACATGACGGGCTGGTCTATATTGGGATGCACTTTGCGCATTTGTTAACTTTTCCCTTATAACGGTGAAATATAGAGGACCTCCCTTACCCCAGAGTCATGACGGATCCTAAAGTGCTAATTGCATTCTTCTAAATTGTTAATTACACATCCTTTAGGTGTCAAAGCAGCCCCAATTCGTCAGGTTCACAAAATTTCGATTCAGCGCTGATTATTGAGAATTTTTTCTGTGTGTTGACCAGGCCTGATTACAGTGTGTTGGCAATTATTACTTATGCCCATGACAGGTTTGATCTAGTAATAATTGGTAAGCTTTGCCTCCGAACGAGAGACCACGTGATGAAAGAAAACACGCTTGGAATTCATACAATTAGTTTCAGTATGATAAAATCTTTGCTATGTGCAGAGCAAATGTATCTAAGTTATAACCCGCAACCTAGAGGTGTGTAACTGTTTATATTTACACAAGGAAATAGTGTTTACGTAGAAATAAGAGATTTCATGGTATTCTAAACGGGCCATTGTGTTATTATAACCGTGCAATGAAAGATGGTTATGACTCCCATAGAGTGTAGATGGCGAACTACTACAAAGACATATCTCGTTTGATTTCGATTTAAAATGTCTCGTTGAAATGAGCTAGTAAAGCCCAGTGCAGGGAAATATGCGACTCTTTTATATTGCATCATTGTATACTACAGCACACCGAAGAATAAAAGGTTCCACCCGAAAATTTTGTTTTACATTTTCATTGACCCCCCCACTGAAATTTCAAAAAGCCAGCTATCACTCAGCAAATAGTCCCACACAAATAGACTGAATAAATCCTTTCAAAATATATCTCAATAGTGTTTCAGCGTGAACAGAAGACTGTATATGACGTCCTATATTATAGTAAATAACACGCTGTGTTTACAACTGAGCGATAATGTTGGATCGATATCTCTAGTCTGGTGGTTTATATCTAACTTGTCATTCACGGCTTATTTGGATAAGAAGGTTGAACACAACACACTGAAATAGACAATTCTCTTGTATCACTACTATATTTACTACAGTCGGTACAATATGAAGCAAAGTCTCGAATTTTTTTTAATAACGTAGTAACGTTTTTTAGTAACGAAAGGAAGTCTGGATACCTCTCTCTAGTAATCTCGCTCGCAAGGCGACTAATGAAACCGTTCGGTAGATAGCTAGCTATGTGTTGTGTCTCGCGTATTTGAACGGCGGGGAATTAACCTTCTTTAATGGAGGTCTCAATAGTTGCTCAGATTGTCGGAGGGCATAGGGTTGACAATGGACTCGTGATGACGACCCTTCTTTGCCGAATGGGTGATACAATATATTTTTCTAATAAGTAACAGCCGAACTGTAACTTAGCCGAAGGGTCAAACTTAAATGGAATAGATTGATGAAATATGGCGAAAAACATATACTGTATATATAGGTATATGAATTTACGAGTATGCAACATTTAATCAACATTGTTATTCATAATGTTGAATGATCACAACATCAACATATATAAATAGCCATTAAAAAAAAACATTTTTAAATATTTGTCAGCAAAAAAGTTCAAGATTCCATCTGAAAGTTTTTTATGAAAATAGTGATAATAATAGAATTAAAACTCGAAAAGACTTATGTTGTCACACTTATCAGAGGTATTATTACATTATATGTCTGACGAATACGATGCTTCCGTTTAAGCAACTTCTAATATTACTCATACATAGTCGTTCCAATCATAGTTAGTCGCTTTAGGTATGAGAGGCCTTCCTGTATGTGGCTCGAGATATACTTTAACTTAATTCCTCTATGATTAGGCAAGCTCGAGTGGATTTAGATCACATAAAAAGAAAACGTAAACCATTTGGCGATTGTACGACCACTATAAATATACCAATTTGCCTACCGGCATTTCAATACTGACGTGTTGGCATCTTCCGTAGTGAATGGGATAGATTGTGGGATGGAGGATTCATTTTGAATAGAAACGTAGATTGCCACCGGAAGGTCGGTTTTTAAATATTTATGGACGTAACAGTGATTTCATAGATATAAGGTCCATGTAGGGTCCTGTTTTAGCGATAGATCTTTTAACGATCTTTGGTTAATTTGGATAAAATAAGACTATGCAAAAATCTAATGAAAATCGGTTCTGATAACCACGGTTATCTATAATCTTTGACAAAGGAGACTGACGGACATGACTTGACCTGTTACGTAAGCATCTGTAACGTCGCCGGTTTCAGCTACTGTAGGGCCCCCGTGCGACACGGATTGCATGTGGTCCAGTGTTAAGAATTGCCCAGCGCGGGGCCCACTGCGGCCGCGCAGGTTGCAGTGGCCTGAGGGTGGTACTGTCTATTTTTAAACATCTAACCGCTAAGTCATAGCAAAGAGTTTGCGGAAAAACACGACGAACAAACGTTACGCAGGCAGTCACGCTCGACGGAATAAAAAAATAAATTTTAGGAAGCAGGTCCCATGGCACTCTGAGAGAAGCTATTTATCCCCAACAAAAAGTCGCTCCGACAACAAAACTGCCGTATTCTACGGACCATAAAAGCATCTTAAATCCTGTTTTTTTTTTCTCCCAAAAGTCGATCAAGCGTCATATATATACGCTGATGCGCCTATTGTATGGATCAGTAGTGATTTGTGCTTTATTGTCTTTACCAACTGCCTACCGATAGTATTGTTTTCATAAACAAACCACCGTCTTCAACTTCCTAAAAGCCACTGCGTCTTATTGTCCGATGCGCATCGTGTATATAAAAAAACAAGCTAAGCAATTTATTTACAATGCGGTTATAATGCGGTGCGCCTTCAGGTCCGTTAAATACCGTAACAACAAGGATTTAGCAAAACGATCCATATCAACACTACGTTTCAAATAAATTTTCTGTGATTTTTTTGAAATACTTCTTGTAGTTTTCCGTCTGTCACATTACTGAAATTAATTCGTAACGCAGGGGATTTCCAAATCATACAGTGACGTCACACCGAAAAGTGCGGTTTCACTTTACATAAACTTAAAGACTTTTTCATTCTATATAGAATGTATAACTGCGATGACGAAGTAATTATGTAGGGCTGATACATGATCACAAGGGTAATGATATAATTTTTCAATAATTTCCACTCGCGATTTCTTTTTACTCAGCGCTAACTTCATACCTATATATATATAATATACATAATCAGTGTAAATATTACTACATTTCCCGACTAAGAATTTTGCTCAGAACAAAAGGTTTACAAATCTTAAAAACAGAATGGGAAAATTATCAATGTTTGGAATTACATTGGAAGGGAACAGAACAGTATATTTCCCAGGCGATTTCATTAAAGGACAGGTTTTGATTCAAGTAACTGAGCCAATGAAGATGAAAGGTAAGACGTGGTGGTCTTGCGGTTCTTTGAAAATAATAAATCTTATAAATAATGTAGGTATCATGTTTTGATTGGAGTGAAAAACGTTGATAAACGTTGTATGAAGAAGCCATTTATATAGCTAACCGTCACTGCAATAAAAAAAAAAGAATATATTTTTTTAGCATTCGCCACTCAACATCACCAAAAAACGCATGCCAGTGAATTCTATTTTTTTTTCATACTACCGAAAGGTATCAGTTATCGACTTTCTGATTAGCAGGATTTTTCCTGAGGGTCCGAAACTTGGGTTATCTTAATTAAAGACTGATTCGTAAATAAGACAAATCAATTTGAAAAATATTTTCGATACCGGAATAACAATTAGGCAGCATGTCCTGTTTGGCAAAAGCAAGTAAAGTTACGTTGTTTTATGCCAGAACCGCGAGTTCTCCTGTAAACGGGTTGGCAAAAAGTGTTTATTAATATATATGTGATAAATATGTAATACCGTGTAAAGGTTTGGCCAACTCGTGGTCGAATATTGACATATTGAACATAAAATTCTTTCCATTAAAAACAGTTTTACTCCTGTAGAATTTGACATTGTGTATCTTGCTTACCAGTAAAACGGATACTGATTGTTTTTAATATTCCGAGAGTCAATTCGTCAGCAACGAAAATAAGTGAGTGGTTGTAATAATAATTATGCGATATCTTGGCGGCAGTAGGTTGCGCGACTCCGTGTCATATCCTATTCCTGAATATTTTCCGGTTTCGTGTGTAGATTTTCATTGTTTGAATATATATATATCGAAGTTACTGGAACTCATTGGCATAGTAGGCAAATAAATTGTCCTCACCATACCATGCGTTATTTATATAGTGTATATTTATGCTTAATATATGAAAATTGTACCATTCCAAATCAATATCCGAAACATCCAAAACAAAAATTGACATAAATAGGCTAACACCTATTTCATAACGTTATTTGTCCTTTCCGTGTCCCGAGGTGTACATGTATTGACTAATCTTTCTTTATTCATTCCTACTGTTCAGCTATTAAAATCAAGTTTGTCGGCAGAGCATACGTTCATTGGTCTGAAACACACACAACAGGATCAGGCGAAAATCAACGAACCGAAACTCGACATTATTCTGCAACTGAGAACCTATTCGAACAGACTGTCATCGTACACGGAGAAGGTAAAAAGTGCAACAAACTTCATAATCTACCCCAATAAGAAAGCTGGGTTGGGCGCAAATACTTACACGTGGAAATTTCGTTATAGCCCAAACTTTAAAAAAATTAATATGATCTGCCAATGAAATTTTATATAAGTATATTGTATTTCTATTTACGTAGGCGCCAATGAACAGACTAAGCTTCCACAAGGACAACATGTGTTTCCATTTCAGTATCAATTGCCGGCTCCACTTCCGTCGTCTTATGAAGGTAAGGACATTAATTTTCCATATTGTAGCTTAAACAAAAATAAAGGCACAATACGTCGAGTTTAAGGTGCCTAGTTAGAATGAAAATCGCGACTCATCCGGGCCCTACCTCGCAAAACAATTCATTCTATTCATACTCCCGACACAATCACCTTAATTAATACAAATTGGTATGCGTTGGAAAGAAAATATATTTTTTAACAATAATTTACGACAACTAAGAGTTTTACATTTATTACACATTTAAGCGTGAGCTGCTATACGTGAGCTTGTTTAGTGTATAAAAACGATTAAAAGGCCACTGATTTTTTATTTGATATTCGCGAGTCGTGAATCATCTTATTATCAAAATTAATTTTTACAATTTTTATCGTTTTATATCTAAATACCCATCAGCTATCGCTATTTTATTTATGAAAACATGAAGAGCGACCCACGTTTCATTGTTACTTCCTAATACGGAATATGGTTGACAAGTAGTAGATGTTTGAAATTGGCAAAGTATTCTCCGAACTAGGATTCACGGCGTCGTGCCTTTTACCTTCGGTGCACTGTTTTAATTTTATCGTTAATCTCCCGATGACCAAAGTGACTATGTTTATAGTCACTTTGTCGATGACAAAATCATCACTGACCATGTGTAACGTCTCACGTGACGGCCGTCATGTATAAGGTAACCCGTGATCATACCAATTGCATGACGTAATTCTCACCGCCTGGACGTTTATAGATACAACCTTGAAATTCCGGGATTTTATCAAATATCATTCCCGACGCATGCAGCCCGCGTGCCAGCGTTTGTACCAACCTGTTTTAAGTAATTGTAAATGAAGTATATGTTTAACAGAATTAATAAAGTTACGAGCAATTTCAAATAAAGTAAATAAGAACGCGTGGAAGGCATTCACATTCAAACTTTGAGATACTATGCCGCACGGTGATGTACACTCCTTCGTCAAACAAACCTTTGTAGAGAATTCTTCCATCTATAAGTACTGAAAATTGGAAATATATTGATCCATTGGTTGCGAAGAAGAGCGATTTTTTTCATAAAAACAATATAGTAATACGATTCATTGGTCAATATTGTGTCCATTAATAAAGAGAAAAGTCGGTTAGGGCGTTAGGCTATTAATGACCAATAATGGCCAGTGTTGCGCTTGAAAAATGTTATCTCTGTTCTCTCTTGAATACCCGCTTATATCCCACTCAAACATTTCTAATCAATCGCACTTCTGAAATTTTTTTTTTTACTTTGTGCCAGTTGTGTTTTACTTCTAATAAAAATTGCTTTTCGAATTTTAGCTACAATATATATGACCCTAGTTAGCATTTCTCAGACAGCATTGGATACATTAGATACTGGGTGAAAGGAACAATTGTGAAACCATGGAAATTTGATAAACATACAACGCGAGCGTTTACTGTTCTTGATACATTAGATCTGAACAACATTCCAAATATTTTGGTAAGTTTGATTTTTTAAGCAACAAGCATTAATAATAGCAAACAGAGGGAAGAGCAAAGGTATCGACTATTAAATATATTATTTCTATTGAACGACAAAAACAAATCAGCCAAGTTCAGGAAATACTCATTTTTAGTTTGTGAACATGTTCATCTTCAAAATATTGCAATCGTGGGGGTGGCAAATAAATGAAAATGTCTGACCCAGTTTGGCAAGGTGCTGCTGGTTTGGATTTGGTAATGAGATTCATTTATGTCAACGAAAATATAAGCAAATTTCCGGAAGTATGTGTACCAAGATGACACGCAGCCTGAACACTAACCTGATACACATACTATGTTCAGGTTGTGCGCCATCTTGATACACATACCTTGGGAGCACCGAAAATTTCACATCATTTATTCTCCTCTGCTAACTCTTCCTGCACTGAACAAGTTATCATCTCCGCGCTTTCAAATTACAGACTCCTTCTGGACATTCAGACACAAAAACTCTTTGCTGCTGGTGTTGTACGAGTGGGCCGATCGAGGCAGAATTTCACACTGACAGATCTGGTTACGTCCCAGGGGAATATATTTTGATCAATGCTGCCATCACTAATTCAAGGTATTAATTCATGCAACCAATTAGCTATCAAAATTTATCCTACTATTTACTATGACGATTGACGATACATTTGCACCTGCGTACTTTTGCACCAATACATTTCCAGTCATAGTTTTCAGTACCCGCGAATATTTGCGCAGATGTACATTTGAATTCACGAACATTTGCACCCACGTACATTTGCACCCATGTACATTTGCACCCATGTACATTTGCACCTACGCACACTTGCACCCACGGACATTTTCATCCGCGTACATTTGCATCCACGTACAAATAAAGGTACGTGGCTTCAAAGATAATGGAACCCTGTTTTACTAATACTATTTTCTGTAACGAATACTGCCACTTAGTGTTAGTTGAGTTGATATCTTCTGCTAAATAATGTTCCTGTCAATCTTTTGTATTTTTGTGACTCAGTAACAGCAAAGTTAAATACACGTCTGCACAGTTAATGCAAAATGTGACGTATCACGCAACAACCAAGACAAGGAATGATTCCCGAGTTGTCAACACAATAACTGGGCCTGGAGTTGGTAAACGTGCGACTGAAAATTGGACTAACGAAAGACTTCAGATTCCCCCGCTACCCCCCTCTGAACTACTACACTGCAGAATTATTGACATATCTTATTCTGTGATTGTAAGTATTCTTAGTACATTATCAAATTTATTTCAGTCTTTTATGTAAGTCGAGTACATTATAGATTAAATCCTTTTTACCATACGCAGCACTGGCTCAGTATATATATATTATAGTTAAAATTAATTTCTGCACAACCGCTATTATACAGCAATAAACCAAAGTATTTTCATATAAACAATGACTAAAAACGAACTTGAAAACAAAAAAAATTCTATTGAAAAAATTTTTTCTATCTGGAATTAACAGAAATGCCCACGTTTCATATTCTTGTTCTTATTTTCAGTTCCAGGCTCACCTGAGAACATGTGCCGTTGACATGCGTTTATACGCACCAATCACAATCGGAACCATTCCAATTCGCAGTTTACAAATGTATGGGAACCAGCCCCCCCAACCAATTGGTATCGAACCACTAGCCGTAACACCAAGCGCTCCTCCAAACGAAAGTTTTCCACCCAACCCCTCGCCGAATCCAGAGCAAGCAACAAGCGCTTATCCTACGCCGGGAACTTTTAATCGTAAGTTTAGTTTTGTACTTTCATTTGACTCCGTAAAATAATTTACTGTAAAAATAGTTCTGTTTATATTACACATTGTTTAATTACAGTGCCCCCTCCCTCATACGCATCAGCAACCGGGGGTGGAGCAATAATAAAAGATGATGATGATGGATATACAATGGGAGACACATCCTTCACACCTCAGTATACTTACTACGATTGGAATCAATCGACTTTCACTTCCAACAAATAAGTACTTGACGACAGAATTTTTTTTATAGTTTTATAAATAATAGTGCCGCTTCCGAAGAAGTCAAAGAGAAGAGTGTATTTAGCTGTTTATCCTTATATTATATATATATATATATCGTTATTTTTCTATAAATGAGTCCTATTCTTCATGCTCATATATATTGAGTTTATTTGTTTTATTATTGTTATTATATTCACATACTATTAAATTAATGTTCTATTTAATTTCTCTCAGAGCCATATGGCATCATAGGGCAAACCTTAGTGAAATGACTATAGTCCTGGGAATATACTGTCATATATATATATATATATACTGATTGTTAGGTGTGCGCAGCCTTCTTAAACTTTCGACATGCTAAACTTGATTGTGAACTATGCCAGGACCGCTCTGTACAAAAAACAACAAAGATTCCTCAAAACTAAAAACGATCAGATGGGAATAAATATCGCCGCATACTTTCCATATATGTGAATATATTATATTGATAGAGAGAACTATTTATCAAACACAGTAGGCTACAATGTATATAATAGTCGAGTAGCAAAGGTGAACTTTATATAACACAGGCTTGTCCATGTAACATATTTTTCTGTCCCATGCTATAGCAATTATGCCTGTCCCATCCATCCCATAGGATTCCCATTGGAATAAAATTCAATAAAAATTGTAAATTTAGGTTTAGCGTCTACTAAATTGGACAACATGCATGTACGAAGACATACAAAACAACAAAATTTACGGACTTAGTTAACATTATATTCATAACTATTATACATGTGTCTATCAGCCCCTTCACGAAGTATATTGTTGATGCTGAATATATTTTGCTCTTTATACCTAACAAGAGAGCTATGCTCAAATATATGAACACGAAATCCATAGCAAATTGTTTTACCATCATTTCCTCGAAAATCATACGGTTTTCGTGCCCCATGGGAAATACAAATGTGTGCTGTCCCATCCTATGGGACGTTTCCCAGGGGATTCCCATGGACAAGCCTGATATAACACTTCTTACTCTTCACCCACTTTCTCTACATTTTTAAAATCAAGACATCAATTTTTCTTATTACACAGTTTAAATTTGTAAATACTATATATCTTGCACATATATATAATAAAGCACAGTTTATATATATCTTGAATTTTTCTACTCCTTATAAACTTCCTCTATCTGTCAAATTGAGGTTACAGCTATATTCAGGAGTTAGTCATGCATGGAGAGCGTACATATTATCGGGAAGTTTTATCGTTGATTAATATCTTCGATACGACTTAGATATGGATTGGCTTGGGAGATTTTGATAAATTTTCTTTCCGTGCTTGAGGTATAGCTCACCAGATATATTTTTTAAAAAGTCATAAAAACAATAATGATGAAAAATAATTGAAAACATTGTAACTTGGTGTTGAGAATCACAAATATCTCAAACTAAAGAGATATTTTTCTATTCCAATGATTTATATGTAAAAGTTTTAAAAACATATCCATAGACTTCCACAAAGCATCAAACTCGTCATTTACCAGTAATTTAACCGATCTTCATTTTTGACGAATGATTCCACATCAAGCATATATATTAATACTCGCTTCTCTTATGAATGCAATTGATGCATTGCGTTTGATTCTCTTACATATTGAACCCCATACAATCCATAACATATCTTATTTAGCCTACTTCCATTGTGAAATTCTTGGGCAGACTACATAAACCAGTAAGTTCAACAATAAGTTCTTAATAACAGCGATTTTTCCTCAATGAAATCTAGACCATATTTGTCCAACCACCTTCATATTAACAAACGGTCCCATTACATTCGAACTCACGTACATTTGAACCCACGACAATTGCATTCTACATACTATTGCACTTATGAAAAAGTTTTTTGTTTTACGGTTATTTGAACCCTAACCCGGTTTTAGTTCCCGAATATAGATTGAACCCGCGAATATACACATGGGTTCAAATGTACGGTCACCTTGGCAAACGGTTCACAGTAAAAATGTCATCATAATTTTCGGACATAATAAATACTCAACATTTTAAACTTGTGTAGCGAATGTGCATTGTGTAACTATTCATTATAACGTATTTAACCCTTTCATATTAATAGCATGGAATATTTCACAAAATAGGCCTCATTATGTTTCTAATGCGTTCGCTCCATGTATCGCCTTTCTCGTTTCGACCAATTTGATGACGTATCGTTTCCAGTTTGCCGAGAATGCTCTATAATATTGTGTTTTTTGTTTCACTCGTGATATGACCGTAATCTTACTGCATTAAGAATTAAGTGTGTACAATTTTATCTGTATTTGGAATTTGGATCGTGCATCTTTTCAATAATATACAACAATTCGACAATCAACATCGTGTGATTAACATCACCTGAGGGAATCCAGATTGGAGTCACATTCCATAAAAGGTGAAATTAATAACGTGGGAATCGAACTTTGAATATTAGGGTGAACAGTCTTTATCCCTAAGACCGTATCTTGTCTCCCTATACTTGCTTGGATTCCACTGAAGCTCACCGTTTTGCATAGGAAAATTTTGGCAATCACTATTCTATTCAATCAGACACAATGCTTGCTATTTATTTTGCACCCAGACATAATTACTGATTACTGGTATAGAAACATAGGCGTAGCCAGGGGGGTCGGTCATGAACCTTCCACATTTTCAACAGTACCGTCAGAAATTTTGCATGTTGTTAAATTCAATATATTTTCACATTTTCAGCTACATGTTTTGTTTCATTGTCCAATCAGTTGCTTTATTGAATATGTAAAAAATTGCACAAAAGTTACACCCAACCTTACTTAGTAGATAAAAAAAATATAGTAAAACAAGCGTGACTCTACAGGACGGCAAATCCACCATGCACTAACAGTACGTTGTGTTGTGCTGTAAATTTTTGCGATGGTACAGTTGGAGCCCATAATATTTTCTGGTGCAGTAGCTGAACTACCCCTCTATGTGTTGCTCAAGTTACTTAATGTAACACTGTAAATTCAATAATGCCAATAGTGTGCATATTGTATGTGACACTACAGGACGTGACACTACAGGACATTTTTCCACTTCGGAATAGCGGCATCTATCATCTCTTAAAATCAGTAATCAGTAGTTTATTTCTCACCATACTTAAAATAGGCACAAACATACAAATTGCAATAAATCAAATTATAAATTGGCCATATTTCAGGGTGGAGGAGACGCGAGAAACCAATACTGGTTATCGAGCAGCGGCACCTATAAAATAAGTCTAACACTATAATATAAAAAAAATAAATAAAAAACGAACTAAGTTTAAATAAATTGAGGAAAATTCTGGTAATAAATCGTTAAATGGGTGAAGAAATGTTCTACAGCACCGCAAACATTCAAACTTTATTAACTTAAATCCAGTGCGTCAATTCCATATGAAATAACTGTACTATACAATCAAACACTTTCTGTCAGGAATCATCACAAAATATGTCAATTATACCAAAATTTCTACATTTCAGGCAATTTTTTATAAACCATCAATAAATTGGGTGAAATTTTAAATTGTTCGATGAAATGAATGCAGTCCAATAAAATTCCAATGTTTTTTGATATCAAAAATAAAAAAAAATTACTTTCACTACACTTTTTAAAAAATTGATGGAATTCAACTTTTGCTTGGAATGGCCCAAATACATTTGTGCACCACTGGTTTTATTCAAAATTAATACCAATAAAGTTCACAAATTTAAACGTGCACAGTCCTATAAGTCAACACTCTAACTTCGCTAACGTTGCTCCGATTTCGTCTATAGACGGTATTAGTATTCATATAACATGAGCAAAATAAGCCACTTGTACAAATAAAAATGCTTCAGAGAAAATTTATGTATTTTCCTCGACATTTGAGCCCTAAACTTATCAAAATCACATTTCTATAGACCTAAAACACCGCCGTAGAAAATGCGAAAAGACGGACAACTCACCAGGCCTCTCTGTAGTCGAGTTGTCCGCCTCCCGTTTAAACGATGGTAAAAATAATTCCACCTCTCACTCATCGTGAAAATGGTAGATTTTCTTTCGTTTTTCCTTGGAATCAATAATCATATTATTGTTGTTTCACAGACCAACGGACAAGAAAAATCGCGTATTCGTAGAAAGTGACATCTATGTGGTGTCATAATTGGAATAGTATTAAATGCCCCATCACAATACTGAGGTCAAATACAAATCAAATTGATCGTTACAATAATTAATATAGTGATGTAGCTTACTCGTTATTAAGCGCCGTTATTAAGCTTATTTTGGAACAGACCTGCGGGCGACTAATGTGGTCTTCACGGGCGACTTATTAGTGCCCGCGGTCAACGGGTTGGTGACCCCTGCTCTAATCTTTTTGACTGTTTTCTTCTCTGATACAGTGATAGGAATATTAAAAATACTGTACCCTTGAAAACAAAACCAGAGATCAAAAGAGTAGCAGGAAATGAATTATGTTTATTATGTAATATAGAACCTGAGTTTGTGTCACATATTTTTATGTTTTGTGAGTTTACTCAGAAAATTTATGATGAATTTGTTTCCTTAATTATATTAAAATTAATTAGAATAAATTTTGTTATAAATTATGATTCTTGTATATTATTGAATTTTAATGATCCTTTATTTAGTCATATAAAGGCATTAGATTTGAATGCAATTATTCTTTTATTATCAATAGTGCGATATAAAATTTGGATAATGAGAAATTCTATAATATTTGAAAATAAAACACCTGACATTGCTCTCCTTAAAAAACAGATAAAAATGGCCCTAATGAATAGAAAAAATATAGAAAATTCCAGAGTAGACAAACCCTTTGAAAAAGAATTACAAAATTTATGTAAAGCATTAATTTAGATATTAAATCAGGTTTATAATAAGTTTTTTGTATTTACTAATTTTGTGTATTTCCTTTTATATTGTATTATATCATTGTAATTATTAAAAAAACATTATTATCGTTGGATACTTATTACTGATGAAACAAACTGGAAATACTGTGAAACTCAATTTAACAAATGGATCATGAATGAAATGTGGACTATAATTTATTTTATTTGTTTATTTATTTTTTACATATTTATTGAAATCACTCAATGAGTGAACCAATTAATTATTAAAAAAAAAAAAAAAAAAAAAAAAAAAACACTGTACCGTAATGATTATGAATTCTGCTACGAGATGCACTAAATTCTTATGCAGGCCAAATGTCAAACTCACAACTACCTGACTACGTACCAGTACTTTGGCTTATTACAGAATTACATTATTGTTTTAGCCTAGTTATACATTGTTGCATTCTTTCTGTAGATTTGTTTGGAATTTTCTATTACAAATATGGGGAAGCTGACACAGTTTGGATTATTGTTCAATGAAGAAAGAGCTGTTTATTTCCCTGGAAATACTATTAGTGGCCAACTTGTAGTTCAACTCAGCAGTCCTATGGAAATGAAAGGTGAACAAAGTTGTTACATTTACTTTTTTTATTACAGGCTTTCAATACTTCAGCACCATAAACCTCGATTTTATAAACCCTTGGTTTGATACAATTTCAGCTCTACCAATTCATTACAGAAATTTCGGCAACACTACCGGTATTACTGCGATAAGGGTCTGCAAATCACAGAAACACGAGTCATAAAATCGGCCTGCATATCTTTTCTTGTGCTGTACTGCTGTAACAGCTAACATATGAGCTTTAAATCGTTTTTTGTTCAGCCATTAGAATCAAATTTGTTGGTCGAGCTCATGTGCATTGGACTGAACGGCATAGCACAGGATCAGGGAAAAATCGCAGAACAACAACTCGGCATTATTCTGCAACTGAAAATTTATTTCAGCAAGCAGTGAATGTGCATGGAGAAGGTATCATTTTTTTCATGGATGAATTTGTTTTTCAGCGACTGCAATTAATAAAGCATGTCCCATTGACCATATTAAATCCTAATCCATTTTAACAAAAAAATTTTCAATAATTATCAATAATACAATATTACTTAGTTTATACTTACTATATTTAAATGTTCAATAAATAATTGAAACTTTTATAAATCTAGTACAGGATTTATTTTATTCCTATTGTGCAGTCTTGAATACATATAGTTTGGAAAATTCCGATGAACAAACAAAGCAAATGAAATAAATCTGTTTTTATTCTTCTTAAGGAATAAACAATCAGAGTACACTCCCACAAGGACATCATGTATTTCCTTTTCAATTCCAACTGCCAGCTCCACTACCATCATCATACGAAGGTATGTGAATTTTTTAACCCATTTTATATATGCAATACTAAGGTATTTTTAGAAATTTACGGTTTTTGGTTCCTATGCAATCAAGAGTTGACAAAATTTAGGTGATTCCAGAGATTTGAATTTGAATACCTTGGTATTATAACAATTTTTGGTATACAATAACAATGTCTGAGTATAATTCGGCACATTGCCTCCACTCCATTCATGCTATATAGTTGACCAATATTCAAATAAAATTTGCATTTGGGGTTTGATATCTTTTTAACAACTACACGAATGTTTAATGAGAAATGAATGAATTTAGCTTTTGTTCGAACAGAGATTTAGATTAATGAATGGTTTTAAGAATTTACATATACTGTGTTAGCTTCATTGAAATGTGCTTTTCATTCATGGAATTTTAGCTTATATATTTCAAAATAAAACTTTAGCTCAAGTTTTGTATTTCACCATTTATCATGCTCTCAGTAATGAAGGAACCATTGTCATTATGTAGTTTTAAAAGCAAAGAATCCTACTTGAGATTTGTGGGAGTCTAGTACATCATTTTCAGCTGGTACTTATGTTCTCAAAACAATATTGTGAAAAACTACTGAACAAATTCTATTCCACTTTCTTTATTTGGTAAAGTTATGTTTGTTGATAAACAATGTTGTAAAGACTCCATATGCATATAATGGTGCTAATAAATTGTAGTTTTTTACAATCGTGTAAAAAATTGAATATTTGTGACTTATGTCATGTGTTTTATTTTGGTGAATTTCTTTCCAGACCATGTTGGTTATATACGATATCACATAAAAGGCACTATTGACAAACCGTGGAAATTTGACCACAATACGAAACGTGCCTTCACTGTTCTTGATTCTTTGGATCTCAATGCTATTCCGAGTGTTATGGTATGTTTACATTCATATTCCAGTTAAACAGCATACTGTCTCCAGAAAGATGTTCTCTGTTCAATATCAGGATGCCCCACACGAATTGGATATTCATATCGTTTAAAAATAGTTACATTCAGTATTTCAAATGAAAGTAAAATAATTTAGAATAGTTATAGTACAAAATTATCGATCAATTCAAGAAACTGAAAATCTATAAGTATAACCAATAAAACATTTATTCAATTTCAGAGCATAACCCAAAAAAAAAACTATTTTTTAACTTCCTTGCACTGTAAAATATAAAAAACTGTTATGCCAATTCCTAAATACAAAGTCATTGAATAGACGTGGACTGAAATATTCTTTGTTGATCATGTCCCATTTAATGCCATTTTCCAAAATATTATTTTGGAATTTATTACGAAAAATATACTGTCTGATTTTGGACTGTGTGCTATATCTTTGATAAACAGGAAATCGTTGGTGTTATCTGAAATATAAAAATTTAATTAGTTGCTGAATTTTTTGTAAAGTATTTGTTCAAATCCATTTTTTTAATACCTGTCTTTTTCAGAGTCCTTCAGGAGGCCAAGACTCGAAACATCTCTGTTGTTTATGCTGTCAGAGTGGACCGATTGAAATGGAATTTCACACAGACAGATCTGGTTATGTACCTGGTGAATACATATTACTCAATGGGACGATCACAAATTCCAGGTTGGAAAATTTATAAATTGTTGGTTACAGTATGATATACTGCATTTTTACTTTGTATATCAAATATTGTATATACCGGTATTTTTCACTGTATTTATGATTGGGAGAGGAACACTGGTAAAACGACTCAATCATAAAGCGAACCTGGTCTCTCTTGTTCGGCAAACGATTCGAATAATTTGCGTTTCGATTTTGAATATTCAGTTAGCTTGGACAGCCGTAATATTGGGTATGGGAATCGTTAACCAATTTATTGTTTCAGATACAAGGACATTATATTTAGGGTTGCATGACCACCCTACAACGATGAGGAGTCCAGCAATACTTTCGCACTTAATTGTCTTGCGGACCTGTCCAATAGAATCATTTATCTTGTCAAAATCAATTTTCATTCCAGTAATAGTAAAGTTGAGGCATCTTCAGCACAGTTGATAAAGAGAGTAACATATCATGCAACTTCCAAATCAAAGACTGTGTGTCAAGAAGTTGCAAGGATAAATGGACCTCCTGTTCCAAAACATGGAAGCGTAACATGGACGAATGAAAGGCTGCATATTCCTCCTCTTCCCCCATCAGAAGTAAATCACTGCAGGATCATTGATATAGTGTATTTTGTTCAGGTGCAGTAAAATTTTGAAATTTAATTCTATATGGTTAAAAATGAAACACTTCTGTGTGATGGAGGTGTTTCATAAATTTTTATCTGAAAAATGTTTTCCAATGGTTTGTGTGATGAAGATGAACCAAACACAGGAATGAACAAGCTTGTGCACTAGGCTTTTATTAGCTCAAACATCAACTAACTGTCATTAAGCAGAGCAGCTCAACTCAAAGAATGACTAATGAATCATAACAACATGTATTTATTAAGGATGAACAGTATACATCAGCAGGGTCAAGTGTCGTGACTGTATACGTTGTAACACGTTGCTAGATTTTAAGACACAAATCACCACAGCCTACTTTTATTGCCCATATTTTGTTGTTTTATTTAAACTTTGAATACTTTAGATAATTACTTTCGTTTTCCGCCGTGTCTTCATACATATCACTTTATGGCTTGGCTCAAGAATACCATAGGCTCTCGGTTTTATTTCCATCCTCACTGTTTAGTTCATTATATATTTGTGCTCTATGATATTTGGTCCCTGAAAATTTTAAATAACACTTACATATATATAATATTGAATACTCATTTATGTTTCCACATTTCAGTTTCAAGCTCATCTCAGGGCCTGTGCCATAGATCTTCGTGCAGATTGTGGAATGACCATTGGTACCATTCCCCTGCAAAGTCTGGATTTGTACAGGAATGCTACCCCGTCAGAAGTTCCTAGCGCACCATCGCTGCCACTTTCTCTTGCTGCCACGGCACCCCCTGCTGCACCACAACCGCTAGGATTTGCACCAACACAATATAGCCACAATCGTAAGTTTCAGGAATTTGTTTCAATTCAAATTGAAGAAGTGAAGATCCTTCCATTTTGAAATAATATTAAGATATAGCATAATTGTAAATTGTAATTATTTTTAGCACACTTCACATTCTTTGAAAAAATACTTTCAATCTATTAATTGTATATGGCATGGTTTAACAAAAAGAACTTGTAAATTGCCTGGTCATCAAAAAAGACTAAAGTACATTAGAAAGAAATAATGGTGATGAGAATAACACTTACTTTTCAAATCCTATTACTAAGACTATTTTTTTGTGTACTCAATACCTATTGAAAATATGCACTTATTCAAATCCATAGGGCGTATGTAAATAGTGATATTTAATAGAATACTGTCGGCTATAGTGTTCGATTCTAAACTAAAATAGGATTTAAAACTATTGTTCAATCTGAACAGTGGTGTATATCACTTTCATTATTGAATTTTAACATAAATTCTTAAACACAATAATTAGTCTTTTACATTGATTACTGGTGTGATGCCTTGTTGTTTATTATTAAAAAACATATAATCAGTGATCCCATATTTATTAAATATACTATATATAAGCATTGCATATCTGTGATCATTGCTTGCCAACAGGTATAACATAATATATTAGAACTATATTCAACTCAAAATGATATTACGAGGGAATTTTGTATATTAAGCAACTGATATACCGTAGCTTAGGTTACAATGTTTATGATGTCACAACAAGCATTGTTTCATTCTTGTACATTGCAATTCCAAACGCTGGTATGTCCGAATAAGATAACTTTTTATGGTAACTTTTAAATGAATGTTTTTGATTGGTGTACTTATTGTATTATGTCATTGTTACTGATTGTTAAATCTTCGTTAATGGGATAAAAAAGTTATTAACATCCATTATAGATACATAATGGACCTCATTGTACGGCTTACAATTTACGAGGGAGAAAATTTGATTTAGTACATTTCATGCTGTACATACACCATATTTAATGTGTTTTCCAGTTTTCTAGTCTTTGAAGAAAAGCTAAAGATTAAATATGATAGGAAGATTAGCTGTTTACCTTGTTGTCGCATGGGGAATGAATTATGCTGAATTATCTGAAATTCTCAGATTATTGCCTTTATCTATGTAGTATTTCCTCTAAGTTTTCCTGCTTTTTAGCACCACCTCCATCCTATGCTGCAGCCACGGGCGAGGAAGCCTATAATATAAAAGACGAGGATGACAATGAATACACCATGGGGGAAACTTCCTACAAACCACAATACACTTATTATGATTGGAATGAATCTGCTTTTACTTATAATTAGTATTATTAGAGTTAGAAGTTGTGTTTTACCTATTAATAACCCTATTAATCTTTGCACACCTGGGTTACTTGATTATTACTTATCATTGCTGTATTGTACAGCAGAGTTGAAGTTCCGCAAATTATGATAATATAGCAGACGTTTTATAGAATAGCAACCGTGCTTCCGTTTGTTTTTTTTGTTCTAATGATGATGCTTTGCATCTTTCATAAATTAATTCTATGTTTTGTCTTGGGATGCGGCTAAGATCAAGTTTATTTTAACCTCTGTTGTGGAATTTCTGCTCCAGCTACCTCGGTTTACCTAAAAAATGACTCTTCACTATTTTCAATACTAATCAGGACCATTTTATTCGCCATTTGTTTTTGCCGATTTTACATAAAGCTGCTGGTGTTATATTATTTATTAAGTCTAGTAGTATTCTATGGCCCTATGGGTCATCAAAGTTATTGCATGTTTATAATATATTCCCAGTATAAAGAGATCAGGAAGTTGATTCATTATCAGTTATATTTTCATTTTTAAAAATATTATTCAACTGTAAACTGTATATTATGGTGCATGTAAATATAAAAACCGTGTTTGATTTAATTAACACATTTTGTAATTCCCCATTGTAAACAATGAACATTTAACATTATGCATTTAAAGTATGTTTTACCTGATCACGTTTAGGAAAGTATTGTATGTTGACTTTATCCTGTATTTTTTTAGTCTGTTGATGCATAATCGATTTCAATATTTTCAAATCGGCGAAGATGGAACATTTGTTCGGCTATCAAAAAGAGATATTCCTAAAATAAAACTCTTTTTGAATCTGTCTACATATTCATTTTAAATTATTCGATTAACAATTAATATTATTATGTGCTCAGGATTTGCTCTAGACTGTAACTTCTATCATTACTATTTTCACTTTTATTGGAGAACCTGCAACCTCACGATTAGCAAACTGCTACAAAAGGTTACTCGATTCCCACTTTTTCCATAAATTCTCATGTTAACCCATGTCCTACTGATCAAATGGAATATCAATAAATGTTGGATCAAATTCTTCATACGTAATTACCTGATAAAGCTTCAGAAATAGACCTCAAGTATATTTTCACTGCAGTTTTTTTACAATCGCTTTCATCACTCATTCCACTTGTTCCACTAGTTTTTTTCAACTTTCACTGTCTGTCAAGTTTTCAAGTCTTTTTTTTAAGACTGATTTATTATTTATAAATATTTTACTGCATAATGTATGATGCTACTATTAGTTACATAATATCATTATTATAATCCCATATTAGTTACTTATTTGAATTTACCTTTTAATATTATTAACTTTTCAACGTCAGGACATTCGGTTATGGTGGGTTTTAGTACTGGTTCCATCTCGCATTTCATTCGTATTTCGTTTTAACATAGCTAAGTTATTGCCTATTCTGCAGCCTAGCTCGAGGAAGCATATAATATGAAAATGACAAAGAACACACCATGAGGAAAACTTCCTACAAACCACAATACACTTATTATGATTGGAATAAATATGCTTTTGATTAGTATTCTTAGAGTTAGAACTTGTGTGGTACGCATTATTAATCCTAAAAGTATCTTTGTACATTTGGGTTACTTATCTTAATTTGTATCATTGGTAATTTGTACAGCACAGTGGTGATCAATTCAATTTGCAAATACTACAACTTCTGCCAGTGCTATTTTTATTCGAGGACCTGCGACCTCGTGATTAGCAAACTGCTATAAAAGGATACCTTATTCTCACTTTCCACACAAATTTCCGTGTCCTACTGATCAAATGAAAAATCAAAAAATGTTGAAAATCCAACATGAACCAAATTCTTCAGACACTGTTACCTGAAAAAGCATCAAAAATATTTTTACTATAGTTTTTTCACCATCGCTTGCATCACTTGCTCCACCTTCATACTTGTAGGTTAGTTTGCTTAACTGTTAATGTCTGGAGAGTTTTCAAGTCTTCATTTTAAGACGGATCTATTTTTTTTATAAATATGTTACTAGATACTGTACAGTTATGCCTTCCATATTAGTTTCATATTTGCCTTTCAATATTAACTTTTTAACGTATGCACAGTTTGGATATTTTAATAGTCGATGATTTTAAAGGACATTTTATGGTTTGGGTGGGAAATATAGTGATTAAACTAATTAAAAACATATCGTTGGAAACGACGCAACCTAATCCGAGCATAGCCCGAAACCTGACACGCGTTCGCAAGTGGGCCACTTGTGCGGCTCCCAGAGAGTTGACAGTTTGTGTTTCAATCTAACATACTTCATAATACTCAACAACTTTTTATGCTCGCGAGGGTATATTTAGGCTTCGTTCGCCTGGTCCCTTGTCGGGTTGGAAGCGCGTTGGAAAAAAAGGTTTGCTATCTGTGGGCTTTGAAAAAAATAGAGCGCTTTTCTTTATGAGTATATTTGCGAGCCCAAAGTGTGATTCGTCTGAATCATCTTTTTAAAAGTGTATTAGTGGTCTGAAATTTATTCAATTGAGGTTTGTAATATCCGTCAATTTCAATTACGGTATATATTATGAATTCCGTAAAAATCATTTAAAATTTAACACTTATTTTCGTTGCACAACCCAATAAACTTTCAAAGTCTTATTTTCAATGATTTCATAATAATTGGAAGCCAAATTTTTTTGAACGCCATAGAAAATAGAGAAAGATAAGAATAAAAGGAGATTGGCTCAGCAAAACGAAATCTGTACACAAATTTAAAATAAAACAATATGATAATTAGTAATATCCATTTCCAACTATTTTGTCGATGATTTACGATTCCGTATTTACTGCAATAACGGCGATCTTTGTTACAGCACAGTTCATGTTTTTTAAACAGTTCATTATCGTCCGTATGTCTGTCTAAGCGTGTATTTCCTTGTTTATTTCCGTAACAATGACTGGAGATGGCGGAATCGAGTCCGGATTCGATTACAGAATAGATTCTTCGCATATTTGATTATTTCACATATTTGAATATACCGGTAGCTGTCGTGTTTGATTTCATATGGTATTGCTTAGGTGGGTATGTTTTCTCGGTAATATGTCGTGGAATCGATATTCGGAATCGGAATCGAAAATTTCGGAATCGGATAAGAATCGAATACTTGTAAGTGGTAATACTTAGCATCCTTAACAATGACCAATCAGCAAAATGTCAACGATGACGTGCGTATTGCATTTTTGAAGCCATTCAGACACTTCGTTCGCTCAGACAAATATTGTTTTGTGTTTTCAAAATAATTGTCGTTATATCTTCTGATGAGTTTTAAATGAGTAAACGACTGCCTGACTGATTAATTTAGTTGCAATAATCAATAATTAGTTCTGTTGATGCGGCCTATTTTGTGAAATATTACATGTTAGTAATATGAAAGGGTTAAATACATTATAACCCATAGTTAAACAATGCACATTCGCTACACTGTAAATGCTGCGATAGACTAGGCTAAAATGAGCTATTAGTACGTGTAATCTGCACGTGGTTGTATATTTTAATAAAAATAGTGGTTTTGAGCATGTAAATCTGTAACGTGTGTTCAGTAACACGGAAGTGGGGACACGGTATGAGTAGGGTCTTTCTCCCTAAAATAGATAACGAAGATACACTTAAAACCTTAACACAAGTGTATGCGATGAAACCAATTTTCTAACTAACAAAGAACGATAAAGACGAGCATCACTTTATAGGAAAAATATATCGTAAAGCAAATGAATTGGGTCAACGACCTTGTTTCAGGCAAATAACATGCACTATTGACAATAAGTGGTAAAAATATTGAAATACACGGTAACTCGCTACAATACATACATTTGCTCGAGCGCTCACGGGTAAAAGAGTCTATTTGTAAATGACTGGGTTGTAAACGGTCGGAAATACATGCACTACCCTTAAGGAGTTTGAAGCAAACACAATATCCGTCCAAACCATGGACCATGCCTACGACACGAAAAGATTAACCCGCATGTACAATTAATATATATAGTGCAAGCAGCAACAAATCGTTCTTGTTCTTAGCAGGACAAGTATTCATCATTCCACTGCACTGAACCTGTGGTCACGGTATTTTTATCGCCGTATACTAAACATATTTCGGTATACAAAATATCGCATTCATCAAACTTGATAGCTGTATAACAGATGGATACTTTATTTTGAAGACCGCCACGGCACAAAAAAATGCATACATAAGACGAAAATTCAGAAAGTTATCAAAACTTTAAATGAAGTTTTATAGCATAAGATATGGGCTAGGGCCTATTTCATGATAAACTTCACTTTGCGACATAGGATACCAGTAAAGATACACGAAGAGATAAAGTGAGAATCTAAATCGACTTATTGAAAAAAAGTAATCATTTACTGGTCACCTCGTTCAACTGTCAGTATGCTAAATTATAAATAGCAATATAAAACACGAACACTGAGTCAACCAAAGCTCAGTTGATCAATATCTAGAATCGATTATTATTTAAGTTTGAGTAAAGTGTAAGATGAATATAAAGACATATTTGTCTTGGAATTTCAGACTGCGTCTTGCATTTGCGCCGTGAAGTGGAGAGTTGAACTTGTAAGGTCTTATGTAGCTTTGCTCCAAGTCTTTTGGCAAAATTGTGCTCAGCTGATGGCCAACTTGATAGCTCCGTGGGCAAATTTGGGGTATCCTAGACTAGACAATAAGTAGGCTAACCGAGTTGAGTCCTCGTAATTTCATCCGAAGCCAAGCACTTTGACGTTGGTTTCAACCTTTTGCGTTCGTATGTCTGAGCATCGCTTTTTTACTCTGATTACTCGATTTTTCAAAATAGTTAAATTTGGGTAATTATTTGTTGGTTTATTTCCATGACACCAAAATGATGCAGTACACGAAGTTTCGCATAAGCACAAAGGTATGAATTTTAAATAAAAAAGTTCTTGTATTCTGTTAAAATCAATAGAAACGATTGGTGTATTTGATCCAAGTCCTACGACCGGTACTCTGTACATTGCGGAAATGCCAATTTATATGCTGCAATTTACATCTATTTAATAAAGTTTTTAACTCGGCTTGGTTTGATTTTAGAAAACTTATGGAATACATTTTGTAACTTCGAGTCTATTATTCATTGTGCACCATTTTTTGGTGCTTTTCTATACATACTCACCTATTTATTAAGGTATATTTCCATGCAAACGAATTGCTGTAGTCGTTATTTTATTTTTCACACTTTGAATACTTTTAAAGTACGACTTCATGTTGGGCATGTCATCCATATTATTCTGTATTAATACTCATCATATTTATTAGGAGGACATAGAGGTATTGGAAGGAATAACAATGAACAAAGCGGCAAAATCTATATCGAAGTATTCTGCAGGCCGTAAAGTAAGTCTACTATGCTGTTATATTGCATTTTCACTTTAAGAAAAATGAATAAATTTACAAATTGACCCCAGTTTTAGTATTAAAATTTATGATTGATAATGTCTAAACTGATCATGAAGCGTAAGCCTATCCTTCAATGTCACACGAGCTGCGCTTAGCATATTGTCAATTTTTGGGTCAACATACGCCTGTAAAATTGTGTTTTTCATCATAAAACACGTGAAATCAAAGCATTGATCTGTTCTGAATGTGAAAGAATTGCGTCTGTTGGCTGCAACGACATACAAGCCAAATTCAAAGAGGATTGTTTAATCTAATCTTAGGGAATATTAAAAGTCCTACCAATTAGCATGCATAACAATAAATGGCTTGTAAATTCATGTCATAATCATGTTGGTTAGTGACATTTACATTAAACTAGCATTCACGCACAGCTTAATGAAGGTAAATATATCTGATGTTCGTGCGTGTTCTTGTTTATAATGTGGCTCTTCGCGGTAATAAAGTACGAAATGCGGCTGTTTGGTTCTGACTGGTTGGCCACCGGTCATAAAGCAATAAGCTAAAAAGAGTTCAGTATATATTTATATATTTCACAACCGTTAGGCCTGCAAGTATTAATTTGAATCCTTGCCTAATGGAAGAATCGTACACGATAATTTGTTACATTAAATATATATTTTAATTCTTCTCAAACGTTTTTTCAATTAGAATTTTGACGATAGTTTCTATATATGTGATTTCGGCGATCTTGCGAAGAGCCATAAGAGATGGAATGAGTTATTTCCCAACACGTCTCCATTTTATGCAGTGAAAGCCGCTCCATATCCACCAATGATTAGGTGTTTGTCTGCAATGGGTGTTGGATTTGACTGTGCAAGTCAGGTGGGTAATCTAATTGCAGATATGTACTATGTAAAACTTGTAAGTATAATGCTATTCTAAAACCATTACCTTGATATTTATAATCACTATATAGGTGTATGTCAGTACGAGTACATAATATAGGTTAGTATAACCACATGAGGGGTACGAGGAATGGTCTGCTGAAACGCAGAATCCGAGCGCGGTAAAAATATTGATAAGACACTTGTATTCTTGTGATTACAAAGTCAGATAAGACTTTTCCCATCTAACAATAATAGGACAGGAAAAGTATATATGACTGCTTGAAGTGTATTACCTAAATTATCTTGATTTTATTTCACAAGGAAGAAATTGATTTAGTATTAAACAATGGATCAACTCCGGATTCTATCATTTTTGCCAACCCGACAAAATCAGTCTCACATATTATTCATGCAAGAGAGAAAGGAGTAAAAATGTTGGTATTCGACAGTGAACAGGAACTTCACAAAATCAAGGAACATTTCCCAGATTCAGAGTAGGTTTACATTTTCAGCTTTTATATCAATTTGTATACAATTATAATTGAATAATTAATAATTAAATATAATTTTAAAGATTTTGTTAAAAAATCATAATCAGGTACCGATAAAATCAAGCATTTAGTATTCAAAATATACGCAGGATAGGATGAAAAATGACATAAAAGAAAAAATAAAATTTGTCCTTATTTTGAAGGTTTTGTCTTAGAAAATATTTTTGTTCTTATTTCTAAGAAACGTCCTTATTTTAACATGTGTCCTTATTTTTGTCCTTATTTTATGGGTAAATATTTTCATACCAGGCACTGCTTTTTTACGACCTCATTGATTGCTATGCGCGTTCATTACATAATGACAGCAAATTGATTGACACAATGACAAAACAATACCCTTCCGATCAAAATCAGTTCGTGTAACTTGAATCAAAATATAACTTAATAAAAGTGAGATGGAGCAGATTGTTTCTAAGAATAAAGAACTGCTGGAGCAAATCCTGGTGCACAAAGTATGGTTAGACACTGGTCGCACTGGGATGAATACATTTTGTTTATTACATTTCGTTATTCGTTATTCTATTATTATGTTTCCCTGATGTCCTTATTTTTGAGATCATATCGAAGGCAGGCTTGGCAGCCCTACATATAGATAAAAACATGGGAAGGACGTATCGTGTAAATATATTTTAACAAACGTTAGCTAAAAATCGAGTAACGTGATATTCACTACTACTTTATACGCTGTTGTAATTTCAAGGTTGATTTTACGAATAATGGTCGAAAATCCAATAGCCGAGCTTCCTCTCTTTGGCAAATTTGGTGCAACAATGGAAGAATCTCGACATCTTATCAGCGTTGCACACTTAACCAAGATGAAGATAATAGGAATAAGGTAGTACAACTATCAATTAATTCTTGATATTTGATTATTATAAAAAGTCATCAGAATTGGAATTCGATTAATTTCATTTGTGTTTGAGCTACTAGGCTATCCTATATGTAGCTCAAAGACTTTAACTGTGCTTGGATTAATAATTCACATTAATGTAAATGTAGAACTCAAAAATAAAAATAACTAGCATTCAATTAGTAACAAAATATATGTCGATAGGCCCGATTTTATAGTAATTTTGATATAATTCGTATGCTGCTTGTTATACATATATTTTTTGGATATTGAAATCCGGTTTCTCGTTTTGATTAACTCTTTAATAGCAATTGCAACGAAAACATCTTCAGATAGTTATGCAAAATAATGTTATAGAATAATAACTCAATGATTACTTCAATTTAGTTTTCATGTTGGTAGTGGATGCCTTGATGCAAATTCATACGATGAAACAATTAAACAAGCAAGAGAACTGTTTGATTACGGAAAAACATTTGAAATGAATTTTGTTATTTTGGATATTGGAGGAGGCTTTCCTGGACTTTTTGGATCCGCTTTGTCCATTGAGAAAGTATACAAATTTAAATTTTACTTCCGCCAAGTTGTTTTTCCATTACTCTTTGTCACTTTTGATGGCTTATATCCTTTGATTTCTCCCTACTCTTCACTTTTCTTTTGTGGCGCACCTCTCATCTTTTCGCATCACATATCCACGTTTTGGTTTGTTTTGTACTAATTCTACAACTCTCCATGTTTGCACGTAAAATACAAAGTGTTTTCAGATAGCGTCGACCGTGAATGCCTCGTTAGAAAAATATTTTCCCTTTGAAATATTCGATAATTTGAGAGTTATAGCGGAGCCGGGAAGATATTATGCCGCAACCGCGTTTGTTTTGGCGACAAAAGTGATAAAAAAACGGGGTAAGTGATTTTATGAAAATATCTATCAGTTAAAAGTCGAATATTTAAATGATCTCCATACCAACCATGCGCAACTTTATCGAATTTGTTGATACCTTAATTAATGCAGAGAATTGAGCACATACTGTCGCAAAGGGACTTAATTTCGAGTTTACATAATGTATATATATATATATATATATCCTAGAGCACACAAAAAAACCTAATGTGGATGTTGAATACACTATCAATGATGGAATCTTCGGATCTCTGCAGTTTTCGCATGGGAGTTTACCAGGAGAGTTAACTCCTTATGTTCCGGAGGTAGTATATCGTAATATATATTATCCTCATTGTTTGCAGTTATAGTTTGCGATTTCTGAGTACAGATATTTGGCGATTCTTTTTGTCTAAGTAACAAAAATACACGGTATTTTCATCCTAGGAAAAAGCAGACAAGGATCGCCATTATGCGTTGTTGTGGGGTCCAAGTTTAGGCAGTCGCGCTATATCTATGAGGATGTTGGTGCCAAAATTGGACTACGGCGACTGGCTATTTTGGAAAGGTAATATACACCACCCGAAAGCGAACTTGCATACAATAAGATTTTTTGACAAATTGCCATGTTTATTTCTTTATTAAACAGATGCCGGGGCTTATACTTTTGCACGTTCAAGTGGTTTTAACGGATTCAAAACAACAGCATTTTACAACATTGTTTCAACAGAAAATGAGTTAGTACTGATTTTATCCTGAATTCCCCCCTATGATCAAATTAATATAAAGATTTTATTTTTCACACGAATAGATACTTTGAGGGACAAAGAGCAGTTAATGACAAACAAAAGATCGAACGTTTCACTAGTTTGAACTTATCGAAAATTAATATATGTAACGGTATTTTACTTTAATTCAGGGCGATATTTTGGTCCCTCATGAATGAAAAAGCCAAAACATTATTGAAGAGATAAGAAGATTGTCAAAAGTTGCCATGTGATAAAAGAAAAGAATCAAACAGAATTATATAGTTTATGTTTATATTGTTTAAATAATTTTTATTGGTATAAATTATTATACAATAAAATAGTGTACTGCAAGTGCCCGAACTTTTTTCAACTGTTGAAAATTCAAATTCGTCTCCTTTTGAAGACAACTTCAAATCGATCAATATTAACTATCATTAGCTTGTTGTTGAAAGATATGATAAGGAGAAGATTGTGGTTGGGACACAGGTGAGATTGTTGCGATTTTAACAAAATTTGTCTCGTGCAAATCGCAAGGGTTATTAGCGACCTTTCGTACCTCCCTAAAATTTCAAAAGAGGTGGTGGTTCGAACCTCTGGCTGCGTCGCTAACTGGTGATTAGAGAACTCTGAGATTATGACAAAAAGGATTCCATCAATATGATCTCCTTCCAACGGAAGCGCCATCGAGGTGAAATACTTCGTGATAATTCTGACTCTTCGAGAAAGTGCAATCGCCCCTCTGTCGTCCACTTCGGGTTTTTCCCCCACTGATTCAACTAAAGCCTATGAAACACGGGAATGTAATATAACAATGCCACAGCATTTGTCATAAGAAGAGATACGTTGTATCATATAAGTGCCAAACATGTAGACTTCCACCGGCACTCCAATTACTGTTATGGCTGAAACGAACGAAACCGCAATTGATACTGCAACTGGTATCTAGAAATTAAGAACCTCTGTTTTGGTTAGTTTTAAGTCAACTTAATTTGCGAAGATTGCTTTAAGATCGCACTCAAATATGAGTGCACACCCACAAACGATATATTCATACCTAGAAGACATTGTACCAAATAATTGTCCTACATTATCGTTACAATGTTTATTATGATCGCTAACAACAGAACTGACGTAGATGCCATATCTCGCAATGGAAGCTTGAATTCAGTGCAATAAAGATCATATGTTTACGGATGAAGGATATCAACTGATTCCAGCGCAAAATGAGCTAATCTGGTGCATTCCGCACTTCAGTCGTGATTTGATAAATGACAATGAAGAAATATATAAATACTATGGTACTTTGAACCATAATATTTTACCGGTGATATTTTTCTTCCACCAAAAAAATAGTTGTCGGTAGATTTGCCTTTGCGATCTTTATATCCAAAGAGAATTCCAACAATAGCAGATAAAATGAAAACAGCTGAAAATAAATGATAGGATATGCAATACCATGCAAAAGGAATATAAATAAATTAATCCACTAAGATCATTTATATCTAGAGCATTGACCTGGATTGGTTAAACTGTTTATTCAATACCTATTTTCGGGAAATTTGTTTGTAAGTATGCATCCCAATAAAAACAGTCACTCGAAATATGTTCTAAACGATTTTTCCACAATATCCAAGAAGTATTGTACCATATATAATACTTCCTTGCTGCTTGTACATGCAACTGCATTACAGAATTTTATTCTAGGCAGCAGATATGTCTAGCACATTTGCATTTGAGGGTGTTCCAGCTTTTGCATCATTAAGTACTGCCGTGAACAACATACTAATACTATATTTAGAAAATACAAATATGAAAAACTTCGATGAGAATTATATAAAAATTATACCTACAAATATGACAAAATCTAATGCTTGAAATTGTTCTTTTACCGATTCCATAAGCGTTAATCAATAGTTGAAATCAGATTTTTATTTATATGGTAAACTATAGTAAATACTGGTCTGTAAAACCACGGGATATAATGAAGGTAAAATAATTGTCACTTTGACTCTTCTACTTCATTCCGACACAACATCATTCTAACCTACAAATCATCACATACGACTTAGACGAAATAGCTTAGCATTAAGAATTAGTTTTCTGAAAATAAAAATGTGAAAAATGCTTATATTTGCGTACTAATTAATACGATCACATTACTCATATTTGGATTTATAAAAGTGCCTTATATTTATCATATTAAAACATTCCTCCACAAATAATCTTCACTAAAAATAATCTATATTCACAGCAGAATGAAATTATTCAATCAATAATACGCTTATCTAAAACCTCTCTCTGAATATCGAAGTACTCTAATATTGCTATCAGCAAATAATATCCAAGTAAAACATATCATACTAAACGAAAATTCAACTTGAATTAATATATTTTAGTCTGGATTTTTTTTAATACGATATGCGAATAACCCTACATTACATAGTCCTTTCTAATCGGCCTGTCTCGCCTTCCCCTACTTGATTCAGGTTCACCCTACTCTGACCATGTATTGTTGCAACCTCAATAGAAAAAAATTTATGACATGTCACGAGTTCACGATTCCGCCTCTCAGGAATATAGGTTATTTGACTGCAACTCATCCAAACAATTTTATTTCGATATGCCATGGACATTTGTATTTTTGCCCCAGATTCCACAGATCGCGGATTGACTCCGTGCTAGTAATAAAGCAAGGCTCTCCAACCCACGGCCCGCCGAACTGTTTTTGCGGCTCGCCCTATAAAGTTTGTAGGCAGTCTTTTTATGTTTTTATTATGTTATATATCAATATATAGAGTTAGGTACGTTTCTGATTTTGGTGTAATTATTCCTGTCACCTATCTACATTCAAATGCCGATTCTTATCATTACGCATAAGTTAAGTCTTGCACCCTGGTGGACATCGACGTCAGTTTTTTTCATTTCTCGAAGAACTAAGCGTTCTGTTCGACGAACTCGAAAGATATTGTGCGATCATTGAGGACGAACGCTGAGCGCAATTATAGGAATGTATTTAGAGCCTAAATTATGCGAATTAATTTCATCATGATCGTTATCTTACGTGTCTGCTTTGATCGTCTTTATCGCCAGCGTAAAATAAAATATCAACAATATCTTTGGTACTGGTCGTGGGACTCGTTGTCCTTTTATGTTTGTATTTTTTTTATCAAATGTCTGGGTTTAATAAGATTTCGGAAATATCGTCTCTGCGTATTCGTCAATAATTCTGATAAAATTGACTTGGCAGTGCTGCATATTGATCATGAATCAGTATATAGGCTTTTCGCCCAGAAATCTTTGTAATGTTACTTCATTAAATATTTGTATTAGTGTTTCAAATTTTACGAAACGTCCCACTTAAACTTGATATTCCCGCAACAGTGGCGCACGTTATGCTTATTCAAACATTGTCCACGCCCCGTTTTACCAGATATTCGAATTGTAAACTGCTATTCTAATATTTGACTAGACATTCGAATAATTTGCCAGGCCTACTCAGTAACCAGAAAACAGTAGCCTACTCTGCCACCCATTTTCTCACTACCGGCCCAATAATAATACACTCGGCAAAGGACAAAGCGAAGACATTGTTCGCCAATTTAGTTTAATTTAACAGCGGTCTTGATTTGAATCAGTATACATTTGTTGATTTTTCAAAATATACCGATGTTATTTAATGAAGTTTTTATGATAACAAGCATGGTTTCCCGCGCAATTGCCAAACAGTTTTATTAAAATTGATCATTAAATGTTTGTGTGATTCTCCTTCCAAGATTGCTAAAATTGAATACTGTTGTTCCCGCTGTTAAACACATCGATTGTCGAATGATCCTAGTGAATATCGTTCTATTAGTCTCTTGTCGATCATGATCAAAGTGTTTGAATCATATAAACTAAAGAATGGGTCACTTACAAACTACATGCTCTTTTAGTTGAGTAATAAACTAGTGCATTACATGTGTGATTCATTGAGTCTACCTCCAAAGAGTTTGTCAGATTTTATTAGCGAGCGAATGCAAACACTATAGCTCAGTTGTTCTTCAATCTTTATTCATTGCGAAATACTTGGGACGGCTAAATTTTTCCACGGCCCTCAGAAACTTTAATGAGAACAATGTGCTTGCATATTCCCGCGTAAAAGACCAAATCCTGGCTCTATTTCGATGATAGTGGATCTCAGTACTGGTTCCATCTCTTTCAAATTTGATCGATATTTCGTTTTAACATGAGTTAGTTTCTATGCTGCAGCCTAGGGCGATGGAGCATATAATATGAAGATGACAATAAATACACCATGGGTGCAACTTAGGCTACTACAAACCGTCCACAATACACCTATTATGATTGGAATGAATCTGCTTTTACTTATAATGAGTATCATTCGAGTTAGAAGTTGTGTGTTACTTATTATTAACCTCATTAATATTTTTGCACGTTTGGGTTACTTGATCATCACTTATCTTAATTTGTATTATCGGTTCTTTGTACGGCACAATGGTGATGAATTCAGTTTATAGAATTTTGCAAATTGTGAGAATATAGCAGAAGTTTTATTCATTAGCAACCGTGCTTTCGTTTTTTTTTTCTAATATTTATGCTTTGCACTAGTAGCAAGTTTATTTTAACCTCTGTTGTGGAATTTCTGCTCCAGCTACCTCGATTTACCTAAAAAATGAATCTTCACAATTTTCAATACTAATCAGAACCGTTTTATTCATCATTTATTTTTGCCTTATTTGTATCAATTTTTGGTGTGAAACTGGATTAGTGATTTATATATTTTCAAAACTATAAAAGTGATTTTATAAAAGGGAACTTTAAAAGTGGGGCTAATGATCCAAAATAAAGAATTAGGTGCGATCCGAATCAAATACTCGAAAGGTCCTGATTCGGACCGCCGTCCGCCAGTTGAGTGGCCCTGCTTTATATTATATTGATGCTAGTAGTATTCTAATTACGACATCAAAGTAATTGCATGTGTACAATATATTCCTAGAATGAAGAGATCAGGAAGTTGCATCATTCATTACCAGTTATCTTTTCATTTTAAAATATTTTTCAACTATGAGTAAATATACTACCAGGCATGTAAATATATAAACCATATTTAATTGAATAACCCATTTTGTAATTCCCCATTCGTGAACAATGAACATTTAACAATATGCATTTAAAGTTTGTTTTATCTGATCACATTTGGAAAAGTATTGTATAGTTGACTTTATCCTGTATTTTTTACGTCTGTTGATGCATAATCGATTCTAATATTTTCAAATCGGTGGAGATGGATCACGTGTTTGTTTTAGGACTTGAAAAGTACATGTAGAATATTTTGCCTTATTGTTGTTGGCTTGTCGGGTTATTGAGGAAAAATCTATTCTCTTTGCCATTGATGGAACTTAATGATAGAAGAAAGCGATTGCTTTTAATTTATTCTCGATTTTACTGGGCCCGATATATACCGTATCACCCCAATTTTTTTTTAAATTTATGGTAACACCTCAATTTAACATCTGGAGCACATTACAATTCATTTAATACCGATATTTGAAATTGACATGTTTTTCGTTTTGGTTGTCACTAAAATTTCTCTCAATGTTCACAGCTTATTCTCGTTAATTAAAGGGTGATCATTAATCAACAAACAAACAAAATAAAACTCTCTTTGAATCTGTCTACACCATTTTGTATTATGTGATCAGTAATAATTATATATTATGTGCAAGGGATTTTCGCTATACTGCTATTTCTATCGTTACTATTTTCACTTTCATTTGAGGACCTGCGACCTCAGAATTAGCAAACTGCTATAAAAGGTTACTCGATTCCCACTTTTCCCACAACATTTGCATGTTGACCCTCAGAAATAGACCTCAAGAATATTTTCAATGCAGTTTTTTCACAATCGCTTGCATCACTCATTCCACTCGTTCCACTTTCATACTTTACTTTTATTGTCTTGAAAGTTCTCTCAAGTCTTTATTTTAAGACTGATTTATTTCTATTTTGTCTAATGTAGATGTTTGCAATTCGTGTGAGTATCCTTTAAATTATGATTTCAGAGTTCTAAATATTCGTGGGTCCAATATGCTTACGTAGCGTAATTAAACTGATTAAAAGCTTGTCATTGGAAACGAATCAACTTAATCGAGCCTAGACCGAAACGGTCGCAAGTGGGCCACTCGTGCGGCTTGCGAAGAGTTTGTGTTTAGCATACATTATGGTTGTTGAGACCAAACTAGTTTACCCCGCTTTATTACAACAAAGATATATGGTAAGTCACGCTTTTACTGCTGAAACAGACTCTTGTATATTATAATTTAGTTGCATACTTTCTCAACTTGAAGGAACCCATAAGGAGTACCAAATAAAAATTTCTACTGAATTGATAGTGTGAAAGATATCGTTTTGCTAACAACAAGAGTGAAAACCAAATTGCCTGCTGCTCTTTGCAAGTACTTGCGGGTAAAAAAAAACGGCATTACAGCAGAAAACATGAAGACACACTATGGAATGGAACCTCTACTGAGGCAATCTTAAAAGAATTAGAGATTAAATATAACAAGAAAACGGAAAATAAACAATGCGTTTTGTAGCACTTGATTCTACTGCACAGCTGGAAGCTTCAACAAAATTGTTCGAATATTCGCTGAGCACGGGAAAGCCTTGCGATGTGGAGAAATTGGAAAAACGTTTAGAAATAAGTAGCAATTCAAATATTTGCAAAAACTATCTTTGTCTTATCAAACTCATCAAACATTTTGTCCAATCTCATGTGTGTGTATACCATAACGCAGTATCAGTTTATATAGGATAGGATTTACATATTTATCCCAGGGGAGAGGGAAGCCGATAAGACGACTTAACCGTATGGCGAACCACGGCCTCTCGTCCGCTTACCATTCTATGTCGGGCATGGGATTAGCTAGTTATTTTTTGTTTCGGAAGCATGGGCTTGATGGTGAAGGAAGCCGTAACCAAACAGCGGTTACATGAACCACCCACCCTACGGCGGCGAGAGGTCCAGCAATCCTCTCGCACATTACCATCCTCGCGTGGGATTCGAACCTGCGAACCCACGCTGAGTAATCAGAGGTGCGGTGGCGAGCGTATTGCTAACGCTTAGCACGATGAGCCACGCCGCCGCGCCACAATCAATTGAACATCGAAGAATAATCTCAACTTGGAAAATATTGACAACAATCATTATTTAGTTGATATTTGTGACTAAGACATTTTTTTTTATTAAAAACGAATTATTAGCAGTTTTTGTGAGGTACCAGAGATGTTACATTCGCCCAGATTAAACGTTATATCCAAAGAATTCCTGTCACACGTGAGTTAACGGCTACCTACATTAAAACCACATTTTATTTTTTCCATCATTGATGTTATTTTATTGTATGATTCAACGTGGTAATCAAATCGTATAGGTGTGTGTAGGGAGTCCTTGCCCCTCATGCACCTAACATTGAATTGTTATGAGGGAGCATCCGACACCAGCGGTCAGTCAGTCTATCGTTAATTTGTCGTCACAAAAAACAAATGCACAAAGATTGATAAATAAACTAGTAACGTTTAGTGCGAAGGGAGTCGTGAGGGACCTGGTTGAGTCTCCAAGCAGTGACACCTATAGTGTTGTTACTGGTTTATTGTAAAAAGTAATTGCATTCGCTACAAACATTGACTCATGTTGAGTCATGATGGTGAACATATTTTAACTATAACCTAAATATTTTGGGGAATATTCAAAAAACCATATAACGTTTATGGTGACCGTACATTTGAACCCATGTACATTTGAACCCTTGCGTATATCCACGGGTTCAATCTATATGCGGGTGCTAAAACCCATGGGTAAGGGTTGGTATGGGTTTAACTATCCGTGAAACAAAAAAATTTCCATAGGTGCAATTGTCATGGGTTCAAATGTACGTGGGTTCAAATGTAATGGAACCAACGTTTATATATATGTATAATACATTGTTCATAAAATAGCCATAAATCTTGTGAAGAGAAGTTAAACATAGGCTTTCTCAACAAATTATCATCTATCGAGTTTGGCCATATCAGAGTGACGGTTACACCAATGGTTGGCAATATAAGGGTACCGGGTAGTCTAGAATTAGACTCTTTACACCTGTAGTTCGCACGGCTTCTTAGGCAGCCATGGCGGTATTCTATTGGAACGACTGTTACCAAAAGAAAGTGGATCAAAGCATACTGAATACTCTAATCCGCGGTAGCTCGAAGAGAGGTAGTTACTGATATATTTACTTTTTCAATCCCACAATCTCCACGTCTACCCACCATGAAATCAAGGCAGGCATGTACCAATTAATAGAGTAAATGTTCCGTTGTTGTTCTAAATGAGACACGCATTCATCATACCACGAGACTACTAATCAAAACATCAAGACACGCACTTACGAATTAATAAAGGTCAAGTAGCAATAAATCGTTCTTGTTCTTAGCAGGACAAGTGTTCGTCATTGCATTGAATAAGAGGTTCACGTTATTAATGGCGTATACGACACATTTTTAGGTATGCGAAATATCGCAATCATCAGACAAATGGACCATGCCTGCAACAATCAATTGAAACATCAAGACAAGCATGTACAAATTAATACAGTACAAGTAGCAATGAATCGTTCTTGTTTTTAGCAGGACAATTATTCATCATTGCATTGAATAAGAGGTTCACGTTATTAATGGCGTTTACACATTTTTTGGTGTGCAAAATATCGCAATCAGACTTGGTTGCTATATTATATACTGTATATAGGCTAATAAATAGATAATTTTTTTTCATTTTAAAGACTAAAAAAAATTGAATACATAAAACGAAATTTCAGGAAAGTCGTCAAAACTTCAAAGGAGGTTTTATAGCATGAGATATGGACTATGCCGTGAACAACCTCACCTTGCGAGATAGAATACAAGTGAAAATACACTATAAGATAAAGTGAGAATCGATATCGAATTATTGAAAAAGAGTAATCATTTACGGGTCACCTTGTTTAACTGTCAGTATGATAAATTAGAAATAGCAATATAAAACACGGAATACTTACCGTGTTAGGTCAACCAAAGCTCAGGTGATCAATATCTGAAAGATATTATTAATTAAGTCTGCGTGATATACATTCAAATGGGAGGTGTGAGGTGAATATAAAGACATATTGTCCTGGTATTTTAGATTGCGTCTTTGATTTGCGGCGTGAAGTGGAGAGTTAAACTTGTAAGGCCACCATGTAGCTTTCCTGCAAGCATTTTCGCATACGTATGTCTTAGCGTCGCTCTTCTTTCATTACTCGATTTTTCAGAATAGTTGAATACAGGTAGGGATTGTTCAAAAATAATTGTTTTGAATCGAGTTTTTTTTGCCTGTTTTGTTCAAAATGGCTGTACTATTTGATTTTTTTGTATTGAATAGGTTGAAGAAAAATGGATGTAAAAACTTGCCAAGCGCTTCTTATTTGCAATAAATCTTTCAAAACGCCACAAATATCGATATGGGCTCATGCACACCTTCTCAAGCTGTAGTTCAGGGGTTGGCGCAGTAAGACGCAACCGATAAGCCATTACGTGAACGACATTGCTGCGATGAAACCACCTTGCGAAAATTGAAATGCAATCGAATAAATGCGTTTGTATAACCTCGAAAAACTCACTTCAACCTTAAAAAACAAAGTATGCCAAGTATAAATTATCCAAACAGTATTAACCGTAACAATGACTTGATTTTATGAGAAAAATTTCAATACATGACCTCGAAATCCATATTATGGCGCCATAAAAGATTGGTTGTGGTCTTTGCATCAGAGCACTCTTACAATCAACATAGGCTAGGGTGTCTCATCGTTCAGATAAGTAAATTACCGCCGATATAAGCATATTCTTCATTATTGCAACCCACTGGTTTGGCCGCAGGGATGCACTTGATCGAACTGCTTTTGTAGTAGGCTTTTGAGCTAATTTTCATGATTTTTCTCACTCAAAACGTCTCTCTGATATCTTGCCTAAACATTCCGGGTAAAATCTTATGACTTTGGTGGAGAGATAAAGTGGCGATAAATGCACGCAATAATGGTAAAAGTCAAAATAAAAAATTTTACTCACATTTTTGAAATTATAATTCAACAAATTATAAAAACAAAACCCTAAATACAGGTGAATATTTAAGTGTTTATCTTGAAGAATTCAAAATGACGAAGTACACGAAGTTTCGCATAGGCGCCAAGGTATGATTTTTAATTGAAAAAATATAATTCCGGCTCTGCACAGTTGAGAATTCAGTGAACGTCCTTACACACCACGGTACATCTCGCATACATTGTTATAAACGTACTCACTGTCTCTTTAGCAGCCCAATAGCAAGTTCATTACGGAAATGCCAATTCATATATATATGTTGCAATTCACCTCTGTTTATAACTGTTCTTAACTTGACGTGGTTCGGTTAGCAACGGAATACATATTTAAAATAAATCGTTACACTTTTTTTTGGAAGATGTTCGTTATACTTGAGTCTACTCTCATTATATTCAAATACACACTAAACTATTAACATATATTCCCATGCAAATGAAGTGCTGCAGTCGTCAAATTCTGTTATTTTATTTATTACACATTGGAGACATTTAAAGCACGACTTCGTGTTAAAGCAAATCATCCATTTTCTTATGTATTAAAACTCATCATATTCATTAGGACGACACGGAGGTATTCGAAGGACTAACAATGAACGAAGCGGCAAAATTTATATCAAAAACTCCTGCTGGTCGTAAAGTAAGTCAACTACGCTGTTTTATTGTATTCCCATGATTTGAAAAATTGAAAAAAATCGCCCCAATTTGTAAAAGTTTAATTTAATAATGTCTTGTGGCGAACCACTTAACTAATAATAGCCGTTATGAGTCACAATTGTTTTGTTTATGTTTTTGTCACGCATGATTACTTACGTGCTTTTCTTACGATAACTTGTCATTCTGTTTTCTGTTCGCTTGTGGTTAACATTGCTTTGTTATGGATTAAACATCAACATAATTGAAAGTCTTTTTCTTGTTAGAAAGAAGTTAGTTCGCTTCAAATGGTGATCCCGACCTCAAAAGCATACTTTTGAGTAAAGAATACGCACATAACGAAGAATATGAGTGAAGACAACAAAGTAGGCCTAACAGCGGTATCATTAAAGCTGCCGATTTTCTGGACTAAAAATCCTGCCGTTTGGTTCCACCAAGTCGAAGCGCAGTTCGCTGTTCGAAATATCACAACAGATGAAACAAAATACCACTACGTGGTTGCCGCTCTGGATGACAATACCGCTGCCAGCATTCTTAATGTTCTCAATAACCCGCCGGAAACGAACAAGTACCAAGATCTCAAAGAGAAGCTCACTACTAAATGTTCGCTAACGGATCCTGAACGAGCTGCGCGCCTTTGTTCAACGCCTGGACTAGGGGATGGAACGGCAACGGAACTTATGGACAACATGCTTGCATTGTATCCAGTAGGTAAGACACCTGATTTCTTATTTCGCCATTTGTTCGTCAGTCATCTGCCACCAGACGTCCGGTCTCAACTTACAGACATTTTAACAACCACGGGCGACGATTTTCGGAAGCTGGCAAGGGAAGCAGATGATATTTTAACTGCAAAAGGCTATGAGGTGACAAACGCTGTACAAAAAACCAGTTCGTTCAAACCATCTCATGTTTTGTCTGAAATGTGTTTTTATCACAGGAAATTCGGCAAGAAAGCCAAAAAATGTCGCCCGCCGTGTTCTTTTGTGGTTTCGGAAAACGCCATAGCCGACCGTCAGTAACCTCTTTGGCGGTCGGCGATTCAAACCTTTATTACGTCACAGACAAAAACTCTGGACGCAGTTTTTTAGTTGATACGGGTGCACAAGTCAGCGTGCTGCCTGCCACCGGTCATGACCGTCGTTACGGGCGACCAGGACAAGCACTTTTGGCAGCTAATGGCACCTCAATTACGACATATGGCACACGAAAAGTGCCTTTGACTATATGCGGTAGAAATTTTATCTGGAAATTCACATTAGCCAATGTTTCACGGGCAATTATCGGGGGAGATTTTTTGCGCTCTCACGGACTTTTGGTTGACATCAGGGGCAAACGACTTATCGAGGCAAGCACATACGCTTGTATTCCAACCAGAACGATTACTGGCACCCCGCCTTGCCTTCACTACGTAGCCGAAAACGATTTTGCCAAAATTCTGAACGAATTTCCTGATTTAACGCGCCCCACATTCAGCAACCCGACCACTGCACACGGGGTAAAGCATCATATTGTTACAGAAGGCCCCCCGGTGCACGCAAGGGCTCGAAGATTGCACCCCGATAGGCTAGCCGCGGCAAAGGCAGAGTTTGATAATATGATTGAACTCGGAATCATCCGACCCTCAAATAGCCCCTTAGCGTCTGCGCTTCACATCGTACCTAAACAGGACGGCGGGTGGCGCCCATGTGGAGACTACAGACGTCTCAATGATATGACCGTGCCTGACCGCTACCCAGTCCCAAACATACAAGATTTTACGGCCCGTCTTGCGGGAAGGACAATTTTCTCTAAAGTGGATCTTGTTCGCGGTTATCATCAAATACCTATTCATGAACAAGATATCCCCAAAACTGCCATTATTACACCGTTTGGCCTATTTGAATTTCTCCGCATGCCGTTTGGGCTTAAAAACGCCGCCCAGGTATTCCAGCGTTTAATGGATACCATCTGTCGAGGTTTGCCTTTCGTATCTGTCTATCTTGACGACATCCTTATCGCCAGTACGTCTAAAGATCAACACAAAAAGGACTTGCGAAATCTTTTCCAAAGGCTAAAAAGTCACGGTATGGTTATCAATCCTGCCAAATGTAAATTCGGTTTAAGCGAATTAGAGTTCCTGGGACATACTGTTACAAAAGAGGGTGTTTTTCCTCTCCCCAATAAAGTGAAGGCGATAACTAATTTCCCTCGCCCTTCATCTGTAAAAGGCCTTCAAGAGTTTCTTGGCATGGTTAATTTCTATCATCGGTTTTTGCCCAAAGCTGCCCAAATAATGCAACCACTATTCGCAGCACTTTCCGGCCTGCCCAAGAAGTCGAAGGTTTTGCCCGAATGGACTGACAGTATGATATGTGCTTTTGAAAAAACTAAGAAAGTACTGGCAAATGCAGTTATGCTTACACATCCACAACCAAACGCACCAACTGCCCTCACAGTCGACGCTTCGGACGTTGCCTTAGGAGGTGTTCTCGAGCAAAAGTTAAATGGATCTTGGAAGCCAATTGCATTTTATAGTAGACAGCTACGCAAACCCGAGACGAAATACAGTGCATTCGACAAGGAACTTTTGGCCGTTTACTTAGGAATACGACATTTTCGTTATTTTCTCGAAGCACGACCCTTCACGGTTTTTACAGATCACAAACCCCTCACTTTTGCTATGGCAAAAGTCTCTGAGCCATGGTCAGCGCGACAACAGCGTCACCTCAATTTCATATCTGAATACACAACAGATATACAACATATTTCCGGTAAGGATAATACTGTCGCCGACGCCCTGTCGCGCGCGGTCATCAACGACATCAATGACGGCATCGATTATGAAATTATGGCCACAGATCAACTAAACGACAAGGATACACAGGCTTACCGCACTGCTATCACCGGCCTTCGTGTCGAAGATGTCCCTTTGTGCAACGGCAAATTTACATTGCTGTGTGACGTATCTACGGGTAGACCACGACCTATAGTGCCTGCCAGCTGGCGCAGAAAAATTTTTGATGCGGTTCACGGGCTCTCGCATCCAGGCATACGTACCACTCGCAAACTGATCTCACAAAAATTTGTGTGGCATGGTCTTTCCAAACAAATTGGACAATGGGCCAAAACATGCCTGGAATGCCAAAAGTCTAAAATAAATCGTCATATACGGACCCCTTTAGAAGATTTCAAAATGCCAGACAAACGTTTTGACCATATCAACATTGACTTAGTTGGTCCTTTACCACCATCACAAGGATACAATTACCTTCTTACAATAGTAGATCGTTTCACAAGGTGGCCAGAAGCCATTCCCCTCAAAGACATATCAACTATGTCTTGTGCCCGAGCTTTCCTGTCAAATTGGGTTGCCCGTTTCGGTGTTCCACTTCACATTTCTTCTGACCGAGGATCACAGTTCATTTCAGGCCTTTGGTCTGCTGTTGCCGAATTATTGGGAACAAAAATTCATCACACTACAGCCTACCATCCACAGGCAAATGGTTTGGTAGAACGTTTTCATCGAACAATGAAATCTGCCATTAAGGCACGACTCAATGATTCAAACTGGTTGGACGTGCTTCCATGGGTTTTATTGGGAATCCGCACAGCTCCGAAAGAAGATCTTACGGCATCGTCAGCTGAGCTTGTTTATGGCGCTCCCCTCACTGTCCCCGGTGATTTCATATCAGACTCTAAAGACAATAGCTGCCCGACCACAAATCTTCGGCTTCTCAGAGAAAGAGTAGGATCATTGGCTCCAATTCCTACGTCGCACCATGGTCCTTTCAGAGCAAGAATGCCAGCCGCACTCAATCAAGCCAAGTTCGTGTTTATTCGTCGTGACGCACACCGATCTCCTTTACAAAGACCTTATGAAGGACCATTCGAAGTTTTGCAACATGGGAATAAAACTTTCAAAGTACAGATTGGAAACCGAAGCGAAACTATTTCTGTTGACAGGTTAAAGCCAGCTCATCTTGATCTCGACCATCCTGTTTCTGTATTCATTCCTAAACCAAGAGGACGTCCTCCAATCCCTAAAACAACAACGAACAATCAGCGTTCTACAGACGATCGTTCATCCGAACCTACAACCGGTTATGATTACAGAACCAAATTTGGTAGAAAAACTCGTAAACCCACTAGATTTTTATAACTCATTCCGTCTGGGGGGGTAGTGTGGCGAACCACTTAACTAATAATAGCCGTTATGAGTCACAATTGTTTTGTTTATGTTTTTGTCACGCATGATTACTTACGTGCTTTTCTTACGATAACTTGTCATTCTGTTTTCTGTTCGCTTGTGGTTAACATTGCTTTGTTATGGATTAAACATCAACATAATTGAAAGTCTTTTTCTTGTTAGAAAGAAGTTAGTTCGCTTCAGTCTAATCTAAACTAATCCTGGAGCGTATTTCAATGTTAGAGACAAGTAGTGACCACGACTGGATTTACATTGTTGTAGCATGAGTTTGAATACAAATTAACAAAACCCTTCATTATGTGAATTGCAATAATTAATATGTAAATCAGAGTATCAATTTGACAACTACTTATTTGATTCCTTGCCTAATGGAAGAATCGGTGATATTCGGACACGATAATTTGTTACATTATATATTTTAATACCTCTCAAACGTTTTACAATTAGAATATTGACGACAGTTTCTATATATGCGATTTCGGCGATCTTGCAAAGAGGCATGAAAGATGGAATGAGTTATTTCCCAACACGCGTCCGTTTTATGCAGTGAAAGTCGCTCCATATCCACCAATGATTAGGTGTTTGGCTGCAATGGGCGCTGGATTTGACTGTGCAAGTCAGGTGGGTAATCTGATCGCGCATATGTTTGGTTTGTATTCACTGTAGACTTGTATGTTAGCACGAGTGTATAGGTTAGTATAACCAAGTAAAACGTAGAATCCGAGCACCGTAAGAATGTTAATAAGACACTTGCATTGTTGTGATTGCAAAGTTTAATTTGCGATAACATTTTTCACATCTAACGATAAGAAGACAAAAATGTATTTCTGACTACTTCGAGTGTATGAACTATATTATGTTAATTTTATTTCATAAGGAGGAAATTGATTTGGCATTAAACAATGGATCAACTCCGGATTCTATCATTTATGCCATTCCTTCAAAACCAGTCTCATATATTATTCATGCAAGAGAGAAAGGAGTGAAAAAGTTGGTATTCGACAGTGAACTAGAACTTCACAAAATCAAAAAACACTTTCCAGATTCAGAGTAAGATTCATATTTTCAGTATTTGTATTGATTTGTCTACAATTATAATTTATTAGTTCTTATTTAATTATTATAAAGGTTTTGATGAAAATCACAATCAGATAACGATATAATCAAACATTTAGTATTTAAAACCTACGCAGCAGGATAGAATGAAAATGACATATATATTATGGTGACCAAACGAATTCTTTTTGGAGGATTTGTCCTCCCTTCTCGTTAGAAAATTTACGTCCTCCGAGGACACTCTAAATTGTAAAAATGTCCTCCTTTTTCACAGAATTTAAAATTCTCTTGTGATAAAATAAACAGTTTTTGATTTGTTAAGAAAAGTCAGTAAAGTATAATTATCATTATACATATGACAAGCATTGCATTGTGATAGCATCCACACAGGGTTACTCTAATTTAATGCATAGGCTGCCGGTACTTGTTCGTGAAATCATTTTGTTCTGCAAATATGTTTTACGTCATTTCACCTTGTATTTTGCAATTTAGAAATGTTTTTATTTTAGCAGAAAATTACGTCAGTATGCCAAGTAGGAAATATGCTTATGCCGAAATGGAAAACCCTATTTTAGGAACTAAAGCAACAGTATTCAGGCTTTGAGTCTGTTTTCTATTTCGGTCTGTTGCTAGTATACTTAGTTTACAATTTTAACGACAAATAAATTGATTGTTATGTGTAGATGTTTTTCTAATAAAGACAAAAATGCATTATTTGATTGTCAATTGCTGTATTGCCACTTCTATATTTAATCCTAGAGAAATTAGCATAATGTAATGTATATCTTAGGCACAAGTGAAATATGATTCTACCAAACGATTTGTCCTTCTTTTAGAGTTTTGAAATATGGTCACTCTAATATATATATAGGTAAAAAACATAGCAGAACGAATCGTGTAAATATATTTTAATTAACCTAATATTTAACTACTAGTTTGTAAGCTGTTTCATTTCAAGGTTGGTATTACGAATAACTGTTGAAAATGCCAAAGCTGAGTATCCTTTCGGTGACAAGTATGGTGCAACAATGGAAGAAGCTCGTCATCTTATCAGTGTTGCACACTTAACCAACATGAAGATAATAGGAATAAGGTTATACAATTAAAATTATTAATTAATTTGTAGAATGCTATGCGTATATTTTTCGATATTGAAATCCGGTTTCTGGTTTTAAAGTTACCCCTTTAATGATAAATCAGCAATGGCTATGAAAACATCTGAACAACTTATGCAAAATAATGTTATAGCATAAACAGCTTTAATGATATCTTTAATTCAGCTTTCATGTTGGTAATGGATGTCTCGACGCTACTTCATACCAAGAAACAATTAAACAAGCAAGAGAACTGTTTGATTACGGAAAAACATTTGGAATGAATTTTGATATGTTAGATATTGGAGGAGGCTTTCCTGCACTTTCGGAACCCGCTTTGTCTATTGAAAACGTATACAAATTTAAACTTTACTTTCACCAAGTTTTTTTTTCATGTCTCTATATCAGTCATGATGACTTTATGAATTTATGTCATCTAATTTGTCCTTTCTCCTCACTTTTCTATTGTTCTAAATCTCCCTATTTTTCTCGGTTTCCCACTTTTACATCACATATATCTCCAAGTTTTTACTCTTCAATTGCACCGTCCTCTTCATTGTTCTTTGTAGCCTACCTACTACTTCTACAATATTCATGTTTGAGCGTAATTACAATGCGTTTTCAGATAGCTTCAACCGTGAATGTTTCGGTAAAAAAATATTTTCCTCTTGAAAAATTTAATAACTTAAGAGTTATCGCGGAGCCGGGAAGATATTATGCAGCCACCCCATTTGTTTTAGCAACAAACGTGATAACAAAGCGGGGTAAGTGATTTTATGAAAACACCTATCGGTTAAAAGCCGAACATTTTAAATAAATTCCCTATCAATCAAGCACAATCGAATCGAAACCGCTGATACCCTAATAATGCACAGAATTGAACACATGCTGTCGCAAAAATACTTCATTTTAAATTTATATATATAATCTTTTTATATAATCTCTCTCTCTCTCTATCTATATTATGTATATATCAAACTATTCTAGAAAACACAAACCAACCTAATGTGGATGTTGAATACACTATCAATGAGGGAATCTACGGATCTCTGCAGTTTTCGTATGCAATTTTACCGGGAGAGGTAACTCCCTATGTTCCGGAGGTAGTATATCGTAATGTATATCATATATATAGTTGGCAGTTATAATTCGCGATTGCTGAGTACAGATATTTGGCGATACTTTTTGCTGGAGTAACAAAAATATTTTCATCATAGGAAAATGCAGACAAGGATCGCCATTATGCTTTGCTGTGGGGTCCAACTTGCGACAGTCGCACTTTAGCGAAGAGAATGTTTGTGCCAAAATTGAACTGCGGCGACTGGCTGTTTTGGAAAGGTAATATACACTTCCTGAAATCGAACTTGAAGATTTTAAAAAATAAGATTTTTTGACGAAACATCCCATATTGACATGTATATTTCTTGTCATACAGATGCTGGAGCTTACACTTTTGCACGTTCAAGTGGTTTTAACGGATTTAAAACAACGGCATTTTACAACATTATTCCAGCAGAAAATGAGTTAGTACTGATTTTATCCTGAATTCACTTTTATGATCAAATTAATATATTTATATAATGATGTCATCTTTCACACGAATAGATACTCCGATTGAAAAATAGCAGTTAATGACAAACGAAAGATTAAACTTTCCACTAGTTTGAACTTATCAAAGATAAATATATGTAACGATATTTTACTTTAATTCAGGGCGATATTCTGGTCCCTGATAATTGGCAAAACCGAAATATCATTGGGAGGATAAGAAGATTGTCAGAAGTTATCATTTGATGAAAGAAAAATATTAAGCAGAAATATATGTTTTATGTTTATATTGTTAAATAAATTTACAGATTTTGTCACATGTTTTAAATTACGATGTAGTAGGCCTATTTGGTATCTGTAATACAATTGCAAAAGAAGGGTTATGAATTATTACACAATAAAATAGTGTACTGCAAGTGCCCGATCTATTTTCAACTGTCAGTCAAAAACATCAGATCATACACTTGGACAGTCAGTCATTCAGCGTAGTGTGTCGTTTTCGATTCGCTTACTATATTTAATGGAACTAAAATAAATATTATTAATTAAGAAACGTTCGGATACAATTTTTAGATTCAAGGCTATTATTTATTTAATTTATTAGTGTTATTGATAAAACTCTTTAATTATAATAGTACTCGTTGAAAATTCAAATTCTTCTCCTTGTGAAGACGACTTAGTCCACAACAAATGGAGTGATTTTGTTGTATAGCAGGCAGTAGGCCAATTCCCAATTCTTTCTTTTCACTGTATGGCCCTGTAAAATTTCATTTCGGAATTCTATAGCCAGATATCGGTGTAACGCCAGATAGATTGATGAGATTCCCTTTAGACCTAACCCATATCAATTCGTAATACATTGGATCAATTAATCGACTGGCGAACGATTTTTTGAATCCAGAGTCCAGAAAATCTCGACTTATAAAGAGCCCATTCTATCACATGAAAAATAATATTAAGGAGTAATTACTAATCATTGCTGCATTTTATCGGAATTATATATCATATTGGGGGAATTATTTTAAACTGGAAAGCACTAAATTGTTACAGTTTCGGATGCATTTCCAAATGATCAAGTTATTTCATGTGAATTGTGCTTAAATGTGAATGAAGTTTTAATACATTTGTCGTTACATTTGAGACTGCTTCCTGCGTTTGTCCCAAAAAGTGGAGAGTAGGATGGTTTACCGGGCCAAGATGTTCTGAACATTAACGTTTGCCCAATCGGGTTAATTTAAGTTGAAATTGGCTCTGACTGTACATTTTAATAGTAACCTTCAACGTATGCCAGCGATTGAGTCCACAACCCATGGGACCAGTGATGAGCTAGAAAAATCGTAACAACCGGAACGCACCAAATTCGTGAAAATGTAATAAATATTTACAACATGACGCTACCAGTAATTTTGTCTGTCGTAAGATAGAGCCGAAGAATCACAACAATATATGGAAAAATTATCTGAAATATGACTGCTTAAAATTGAAAAAATATTCATACTAATTCAATACAAATGTTATTACGGGGGTCAAAGGTCGGCGAAACATCATTACACGTTACAGCTGTGCACTAATTTGCCAGCTGTAATGTAAAACGAATTATGATGCAACAAAACATCAATTAATAACCGCAGAAACTAGACCTTTCGAACCATAATTTTATTTTGACAACAGAAACGCAAACGCAATAAAATGCCCAACAACCGGAACGCCGTTCCGGTGCGTTCCGGCTACAGCTCACCACTGCATGGGACCATGTATACGTATGGATACATATTTACAACCCACACATATTTACACTTTTTCACATTTTCAGTAATGAATTAGGTCAAAAGATTGTTTTGTTAAATTATTGTTATTATGATGCTTCTATTTATACACGAAATGTCATTATATTGTTGTTGCCAGTCATTATTTTCTTCGTCTCCTTCACTCATTAACTACCGGACCAATTGCTTTATTGTTATTATATTCTTCTTTTTGGACACGGAATGTAAATATGGATCGTTTTGTTTCTAGTCATTCTTTTCTTCTCCCTTATCTGAAAAAATTGCTTTACTAATCAGCTACCGGACCTATCGGCCCTGTAAAATTTTTGATATTACAATTGTGACTCAAATCAATTGGTGTTTCGATTCGCCTTAAAACTGGGAAAATGAATCATCATCATCGAATCATGAGTATTGAACAAAAATACAACATTAGCAGTGACATTTGTGTAATATATACATTGAAGGCCTAGCTGTCATCGGTGGCAGATAACTCATTGCCAAGTGCAAGAACGAAACAAAGAAGTAAATCCAAGGTAATTTTTTTTTTTTTCAATAATTATTTATTTGTAGACATGAAATTATAATTTTACTTTTATAGTATTTTGATTGGTATTTATAGATCAATATTATTGCACTTTACTGCATATTATTCTTTATAAAGAATATTTAATGAAAAGGCCGTTTATCGGAGGGATAAAAAATCTGTATAAAATATCTCTTTCCAAATTTTGGAACATTTTTGCCTCCACTTCTCAAAGACGTTGTAATTGCTCACTCTCTAATACTTCTTCGGCCAAATCTACCATATGTATTCAACTATTAATTGAATATTTGAAAAAGTTATTTCTTGTTAGGGATGAGTCAGGCCAGCCTACAAGGTAATGTTTCTCAACCTTTTTAGCAGCGGTTTATTTCTTGCATAAGAATGCTCAATGTGTCACAGTTTAATTTTAGTTCCTGAGTTTACTAAGTCAAAAGATTCCGTCCGCTAAATTTAGATTTTTTGTAGAAGTCAGCATATATTGATTTCTCTGAAAACTTTATTGTTTTTCTTCTAGTCCTGGTAAGCCCCATCCCTGGCAGAAACCACGACCTAAGCCAAGATGGTCTTGGATGCGCAGGAAACGTCGTTCCTCCTATATAGGAGACAAAGAAGAACCTACTGACGAACAAATAGAGCAGCTGGACGATATTCTTGAACGTGCGAATGCGCTCGATGAAAACTTGTCTCATGCTAGGATCCTACTCTGATACAAACCTATAGTGATCTTCGTTAAATTTTGGTAAAAAATCGCGGGGCGGATTCTATTTCTGTATGGAACGTAGGTTTCCCATGCATTTTAATATTATCGTTTCCATAAAATTGGTAAAAACTGTCCGTTATACTGATACAGAAATGTAAACACTTTGTATATTCTAATCATTTCCTAAAATCATAGCGTTATTGGTTGCGTTGTATTGAGTGTTTAGCAATGTTCGCCTGTTTCCTGTGCTCATGACTTTGTAGTTGGTCCTTATTTGCACTTTGAGTAATTTTTATTCTTTCGTCAACTCTACTTATTAGTGATTACGTAGGTCAGGAGTGTACAAACTGCGGCCCGCGAGAAAAAATGTGCGGCCCACGGAGAAGAGCCAATTTTGAAAGGTGTGCCCTCGAAACGAGATTTTAGTTCATTCATTCTGGTACGTGCGAGCAATACCAATCTCTTTGCGTCGCAAAGCCTATACCAGTACCTGGGCGCCACTGCCATATTAGAAAGACTGGCCAGCAAAGTCCGACGCTCCCGAAGTATGTGTCCAGGATGGCGCACTACCTGAACCCCAGCCTGTTACACATACTATGTTCAGGTTGAACGCCATCTTGGTGCACATACTTCTGGAGGTCCCAAAATCCTGTTGAAAAATACACAATGTTATAAAAACGTATTTCTCAGTGAATTCGTTTAAAGTCGGTGCGACAATCAATTTGAATATCAGTTTCTTTGGACATTTATTCGTTTTAACTCACCTACTAGAAAGGCCTTTTTTTTTTAAATGAAGGTGCGGCCCACGGCTTTACACAGTGACCTGTTTCGGGCCCTCTTGTAATAAAGGTTGCAAACCCCTGGACTCTACTAGATAGAAACAGTAATTATATAAATGCATAGGTCATACAAAAAAGAAGAAATGAGGTTACCAAGAAATTCAGCTGCCTGATGGACCAATTTGAAACAAACTCTGAGACCAACGAAGTAAACGATCTCTTAAATACAACTGGAGGAATGTCATAACCTTCCATTGAACAAACATCCGTTTAAGAGCCTCTCTCTGCCTCCCATTAATGGAATCAAAATTTCAAATAAATTAGTGAACAATGCCGTTTTGTCCTTTGCTGAGTGTATTATTATTGGGTCGGTACTGAGAGGATGAGTGGCAGATCAGCCGTAATTTACCACGTAATTCAATTTTCTCTTCAGCAATACGGGTTTTTATTGAATTTCATATTTCGTTTTAGTCTTATCGATTTTTTTTATTCTTGCCCCCCAAGAATTATTGCTTATTGCAGGAACTATTATGTCTTGCGTCGAAACAATGCAATGCAGCCGGCGCAGCACATTCCGAACAATACCACAGGGTGGAATGTGGTTGCAGTTGGTCGAGCTCAGGGGAACAAACTCTTTAATACTAGCACGGAGTCAATCACTTAAATACAACTGGAGGAATGTCATAACATTGCATTGAACAAACATTCGTTTAAGAGTTGCGTCTCTCTGCCTTCCATAAGTGGAAGCATAACTCTAGTAATGACATCAAATCCCCCAGACAGAAAAGGTGAAACGCGAGAATATGCAAGCACATTGGTTTCATTAAAGTTTCTGGGGAACGTGGAAATATTTCGCAATGAATGAAGATAGAATAACACTGAGCTATAGAGTGTTTGCCTTTGCTCGCTAATAAAATCTGACAATCTCTTCAGAGGTAGAATCAATGAATCACACATGACATGCACCAGTTCATTATTCAATAGCACTTTGATCGTGATTGGCAAGAGACGAATAGGACAATATTCACATTCCGACAATCGATGTGTTCAACAGCGGAAACAACAGTATATAACCATTTTTTTCAATCCGATAAGGAGAGTCGCACAAACATTTCTTGATCAATTTTAATAGAACAGCTTGGTAATTGCGCGGGAAACCATGCTGGTTATCATCAAAACTTCATTAAATTAAGTTTATACTAATTTAAATCAAGACCGCAGTTAATTTAAAATAAATTGGTGAACAATACCGTTTTGTTCTTTGCTGAGTGTATTAATATTGGGTCGGTACTCAGAGGATGAGTGGCAGATCAGCCGTAATTTACCACGTAATCCAATTTTCTGTTCAGCAATACGGGTTTTTGTTGAATTTTATATTTCGTTTTAGTCTTATCGAGTTTTTTTTTAATTCTTGCCTCCAGGAATTATTGCTTATTGCAGGAATTATTATGTCTTGCGTCGATAACAATGCAATGCAGCTGGCGCAGCACATTCCGAACAATACCACAGGGTAGTATGTGGTTGCAGTTGGTCGAGCTCAGGGGAACAAACTCTTCAATACTAGCACGGAGTCAATCCGCGATCTTTGGGGGCCGGGGCTAAAATAATTCATGGCATATCGAAATTAAGTTGTTTGGATGAGTCTCAGTCATATGTCTTATAGCTCTGAGAGGTGGAAAGGATACAAGTGTCCATGCCATGGATTGTTTTTAACTGAGGTTGCAACAATACATGGTCAGGGTATGTTAAACAGGAATTAAGTAGGTGAGGGTGAGATAGACCGACAATAAAGGCTTATGCCCTATATCAGGGCTGGCCAACCTGCTTTCGACCGCGATCGACTAAAATCTTCAAAATAGATCGCGATCGACTGATCGATAACAAGGTCCTACACAAAAACGAATGTACACTGAGCATATAAAAAATTCCACCGCTGCCGAAAAGAAAGATTTGTGGGCATATTATTATTAAAATCGACACGCAATTTGTATTTTTTATGTTCCATTACAGTTGATGATTTGATTATTTAATTGTACCCGTAAAACAAATGTAAGGTTAAATGTTTCATTATTTATTTAAGATTTATTTAAATTCAGATAAATCCAGATAAAGGACGTGTCTAATTTTTAGTCCTAAGTGTTGAAAATTCTTCAAGAAACCTTGCCAAGTATTATCCAAACAGCGAAAAATAAATCTCAAACCATGAATGTTACATGACTGCTCAAACTTCAGTATCTTATTTACAATTTCCTCCAAACGCGATTCTTCGCTTGCTTAGAATTAGAACAAATTTGGCATTTCGATGCCACCGCTAGCATTGTGAATAAAATTTATCACACCCTCATCTTGGACTGAGACAAAAACTTTCGCATACTGTGGAGGTGATTGTTTGTCAAATTAGAGCAGGCGTTTTTTTTAACGAGCGAATTATCCTCGCGACTGTTTCATGTAGAAAACGAGATATATATGGACAAAATATCTAGTGAATGAGATGTATGATAAATGGGATTCATGTGGACAAAATATCTGGCGAATGAGATATATATGGACAAAAACCCTGCACGACATTTTGAAAGAGAAAACACTTCGCGAATGAGCTGTTGATTCATTAGGGAAACGAGATGTATGTGGACAAAATACGAGATGTATCACGTGAATGAGATGTATGTAAGAAAAATATCTGCTGAACGACATGTATGAAGAGAAAACACTTTGCGAATGAGCTGTTGGTAAACAAAACATCTGTTAAATGGTATGTATGGTAAATGGGATACATGTGGACAAAACATCTGATGAATTGGATGTAGGTGTACAAGTCATGTGATTCCCAATATTTTTCGTTAAACTTCTTCCTTCTCAATTTTTTGAACCTTTTATTCTTTCCCCACTATGCACAAAAACTACTGTATTAATTTAATCCTTAGATATTTATTTGTGCGCTAGTTAAAAAACCGATTTTGTACAGTTCTAGTATTTTCTAATTGAATGTGTGCGTTATATTATAATAAGCATAACGAACTTTGGAAAATTAGTAATACCACAGCAAATACAAAGCTGATTCCTCCCCAAAACGACAAAGTTACTCGCCAGGGATGAATTTTTTCCCGGTTTGGAAAACGTGTCTCCAATGAATGAGATATTTGTAGAAAATATACGTGACGAATAAGCCTATCTTTACATATAGTAAATGCTCAATCTTTAAATGAACGATTGAAACAATTCGTTAATTTTTGTTAGAAAGACACATTCGTTAAACAGACTAATTTCACCAAAAACATGACTTTATGTCTTTGTATGGAACTTCGCACTTTCATTCAACATAGGCTTTCTGGTAATAGCAAGCACAAAAGTTTTGGTTATTGATGACATGGGTGACAAATTATGACTTGGTTTATCAGTGCCGGAATATAACCGGGTTGATATCGGATAGGTACCGACATGAGCGCAGCCAAAAAATTTTCGGTGAAATTAAAACAGAGCACCCAAAGTGCAATTCACGACAACGTAAGGCGTTAATAAACTGAAAAGAATACGTCGTTCACAGCGAAATTCCACAGTTACGTGTAGCACGCCTCTTGCTAAAATCGTCGGTTGTTTCGCCTTAGGCACACATTGTGGTTGGTTAGCATTAGCATGTGCCTGGCGGTTTATGGTGAATATTTTCCAAGTCCTATTTCAAATATCGACCATTAATCCGTAGTCAGCAGTACCCGCATTTGAAAATAGAACATTAGAAATCGTGAGAATTAATTTTGAGAGAAGTGTAGCTCGCGGATGTCAGTAGCGTCAAAATGGTTTATAAGTACAAAAACACGCTCGCATGTAGCGCCGATCAAATGCATTAAATGTGAAACTATTACTTGGATTTTAATGTTAAACAAGTTGATTTTTAATTGCCATTCAATGATAATTAACATGCGTCGTGATTAGTGGTGGGCAAATAGTTTTTTAGTCGAATTATTCGAATATTTTAAACGAACACAACACCGAATAATGAGTATTGTCATTTCAAACAACCGTATTTGGGATGTCGGCCGCCGAAACGATCGCCGTGACAATTTTATTTTTCAGAATTTACTTGAAGACTAAAAACTTCGCAACAATGCAGCGATTTTTATTTCCTAATTTTGTCATAATCCAAGGCCCCAGTAAATATTTTTGTCACCGCGATCCTTTCGGCGACTTGGTATCCCAATTGATGATGATAAACTATATTAAAGCACTTTTTATTCACTAGTTAATATTAATTCTCATGCAACGGCGGATATCGCAGTTTGGTTTCTAATTTTTGGACAGAAATTTGATTTCACATCGGCGACAATGTCAAAGACAACTATTAAGGAGCGCATTCACAACACAAATTAATTTCATGCTGCTTTTTATCTTTTTTGTAGGATTTGTATCACAGTTTGTAAATTAAGGTCCCAATTTTAAGCGAACATTATTACTGACCCCGGAATGCGATATTTGTGAAGCTGATAGTTGACGTTTTTATGCTTTTAATTTTATATCGTGTCCGTGTTACTTTCGTATTAAATAATAATAATAATTAAAAACTCCGCAAATTGGTAATCTCTCTAATACTCAGTGTTGAGAATTCACGTAACTCAGCTTTGGAATAAAACACTGATACTAAATACTTGAATAAATCGGCAATAATGGCATTTCTACGTGGTCAAAATAATATTTCTCCCCGTCCCCAATATCTCGGAAAATTTTCATAGAATACAAAATTTGGGACAATTGGGACAAGTGGGACAAGTGGGACACGTGGTACACGTGGGACAAGTGGGACACGACATTTTGGAGACACCCCATGTAAAGTACTGTATTCTCCCAGTTGCAAAACACGCAACTGGTTCGGGATTGTTTGAGGGTATTTCAATAAAATTCTTTCAACATCAGACGCGATCGACTGCTCGAGACGTGGCGATCGACGTGTTGGCCACCCCTGTCCTATAAGATGTAAGCTTGTAAGGTTATTCGTATATCGTATAAAAATAAAATAAAACCCAGACTACAATATAATAATTCAAGTTGAATTTTCGTTTAGTATGATATGTTTTACTTGGATATTATTTGCTGATAGCAATATTAGAGTACTTCGATATTCAGGGAGTCATGAGAGGGTTTAGATAAGCGTATTATTGCCTGAATAATTTTATTCTGCTGTGAATGCTCTTACAATAAACCACGATCGTTTCATTTGATATCCGATTGCAGATATATTAACAGTATTAAATAAAAACAAAATATTTTTTAGTTTAGTTTATTTGTGGAGAAATGTTTTAATATGATCAATGTAAGGCACTTTTATTAATCTGAATATGAATAATGTTATTGTATTAATTAGTACGCAAATATACGCAATTTCCCATTTTTGTTTTCAGACGTCTAAGTTGTATGTGATAATTTGTAGGTCAGACTGATGTTGTGTCGGAATAAAGTAGAAGAGTCGGAGTAAAAATTATTATACCTTCATTCTATCCCATAGTTTTACAGACCAGTATTTACTATAGTTTACCATATAAATAAAAATCTGATTATAGCTATTGATTAACGCATTATGGAATCGGTAAAAGAACAATTTCAAGCATTAGATTTTGCCATATTTGGAGGTATATATACTTTTTATAATATTCTCATCGAAGTTTTTTTCGTATTTGTATTTTATAGTATTAGATGTTGTAGTTCACGGCAGTACTTGATGATTCAAAAGCAAGAACACGCCTCAAATTTGGATGTGCTAGAGCTAGACATATCTCGGCTGCTTAGAATAAAATTCTGTAATACAGTTGCATGCACAAACAGCAAGGAAGTATAATTTACGATATCCCTTGGATATTGTGAAAAATCGTTCAGAACATATTTCAAGTCATTGGTTTTTATTGTGATACATACAAACAAACAAAATTCCCGAAAATAAATATTGGATAATCAGTTTAACCAATCCATGTCAATGCTCTATAGCAGGGCTACTCTACTATTTTTATCGAAGATCCTCATACGAAACTTCAAAATTATTTGGGTCCGGTCTTTCCATAAATTATATTTCGGCATCCTTAAACGCGCACTTCCTCGACCGGCTAATGATTATTAGCTAATCAAGATTTTTCATTATGGTGTTATAGTTCATTTCGTATATATTCAAAACTATAAACATCATTTTATAAAAGAAAACTACAGAAGTGGTGCTAATGATCCAAAATAAAGAATTAGATGCGGTCCGAATCAAATACTCGAAAGGTTCGAATTCGGACGGCGGTCCGACAGTTGAGTAGCCCTGATCTATAAATATAAATAAGCTTGCTAAAATAATTTTATTTCGAATGGTATTGCAAATCATATCATTTATTTTCAGCTGTTTTCATTCTATCTGCTACTGTTGGAATTCTCTTTGGGTATAAAGATCGCAAAAGCAAATCTACCGACAACTATTATTTTGGTGGAAGAAAAATATCACCGGTAAAATATTATGGATTGAAGTACCATCATATTTATATATTTCTTCATTGTCATTTATCAATTCACAACTGAAGTGCGGAATGCACCAGAATAGTTCATTTTGCGCTGCGATTATAGTTGATACTCTTTAAAACAAATGATCGTAAACAAATGATCTTTATTGCATTATATTCAAGCTTGCATCGCGAGATATGCATCTTCTTCAGTTCTATCGCTAGAAATCATGATGAACATTGTAACGATGATGATGTAGGGCAATTATTTGCTACAATGTTTGTGAATAAATCGTTTGTGGGTGTACACTTATATTCGAGTGAGATCTATGATGTAAAATGCTTCACCTATTTATCCCGGGGGATAGGAAATCCAATAAGACGTCTTAATCATATGGCGAACCACGGTCTCTCATCCGGTTACGCAGTCTATGACGGATATGGGATCAATTGACCATTGAGGTTCTTAATTTCTAGATACCAGTTGCAGTATCAATTGCGGTTTCGTTCGTTTCAGCCATAACAGTAATTGGAGTGCCGGTGGAAGTCTACATGTTTGGCACTGTGTTTATATGGTACAACGTTTCTCTACTTATGACAAATGCTGTGGCATTGATATATTATATTCCCGTGTTTCATAGGCTTCAGCTCAACAGTGTATATGAGGTACAGTACAGACTAATTTATATTTCTCTACCTTTATTTCAATGTTAGAGAGATTCGAGCCACTGTTTTCAATAGCCCGAAGTTACTCGATCAACTGTAACGAATTGAACTCGGTATCGTCTAACCCGGCGATTTTAGAAGTGGGGGGGGGGGGGGTATCGCCCTCAGTGGCGAAAGAGATAAATCATTGAGCGAAAACCCCGAAATGGGGGACAGAGGGGCGATTGCATATTTTCGAAAAGTCAGAATTCACGGAGTCACGGTCATGGAGATATTCATTTCACTGGCGCGTCCGTTCGAAGTAGATCATGACGACAAGGGATCTTTTGTGTCATATTCGGTATTTTCATATTTATTTTATTTCTGAGTAGTGTATAAAGTATCTTAACAAATTTTCAGAATCCTTTTTGTCAGAAGCGCAGAGTTTTCTAATAATAAGTTACTCTCATTCAGCGATGCAGCCAGGGGAATCGAACCACCACCCCCACCCTCTTTTGAAATGTCGGGAGGTACGAACTGTCGCCAATAACCCGTGCAATTTGCACAAGATAAATTTTGTTGAAATCGCCGATTGTTATTGCCAGCGTGGCGTGGGTATTCAGACCGTGGACATCGGTATTATACCAGTAAACTATATTTCCACGAATTCTCCCTATCTCACAAGTCTCGCCAGGAACTGTGCCTGCAGTGTGAAAAACTCATTATTATGCGATCATCTGAAGCGCTAAAAATAACCAATAGATTGAATCCGCAACTTAAATTTCCGAAGGAAAATGAGGCAGTGAATGTTAAAACTAAAAAGCGGTGTTACAATATATATATATTAAAAATATAGGGATAAACATTATAGTTTTTGTTTTAAGATCGCGCCAGATTATAATCGCTATTTTAGACGTTGAAAATCGCCTAAATTCGGCACACATTGTGTTCGGTCGGATACTATATCATAGTCACTGAAGTTTAGCCATGCAAATTAATTATCCAATGTCGAACTATCGCCGTGCTGCACTGGACTTTTTCTCCGGATTATGATGGTGACATACAAGCTAATCAACGTAAAACATGTCCACTAAAATTTTATTGTACTGTAAATTTTTCTGAAATCTCTATCTTAAAAATAATCTTAAGCGACAGTCAGCGTTCTGAGAACAGATCAAATTTGATAAATTCCCACGATCGCAAAAATTCCGATTCATATCTAATTATGTATAATCCGACAGTTTACCAAGTATTTTTATATGCGTGGATTGCCTTAATATTTTAAAGCAGCGTTTAAACTTTTTTTAATAAGCTTTTTTTATTGGTGTCTGATTACATAAATTTTACAAACTTTACTCAGTGAAATTAAATAATATTTATAATAAAATAAACATGGATATGACGTTAAAAACTGTCACTAAATATTATTGAGTTGTGAAACGGCCATAGTTTAGATTTGCCATATGAAAGTATAATTCCTCAACAAGTCGAAAATGAATCAAATATTAAAGCAGTACACATCTCCGACTTGTTGTGTTGCGACTACTTTATTCGTTGAATAACATGTCAAGTACATTTTTTCGCTTTCCGCTTTTTTCATTGATATTGGTACAAATTGGAAACATGGTCCTATTCTTCTGTCCTATGTTTTACTGGCATATATATTTTTGCGGATGCAATGCATTAAAAGAAAATGTGTCAATTATTATAATAAAGAGTAAAGTTTATAAAAATGTTTTAGACTGGGAGGCGAGAAGTCCAGCAATCTTTTTACACATAATTATCTCCCATAGTATTCGAATCCAAGCAGGGTTAATTGACGTCCGATGACAAACGTTTTCCTTCCGCAATAAACCTTCCGTTTTCCTTAGCAACATGCGTCTTGATGTCTCAACAAAACTATGATTGCATATTTATCCATAACATCTTTAATATAAATTGGTATTGCTTTTTATTTCAGTACTTAGAACTTCGATTTCATCCAGTACTTCGGAAGATAACTTCAGTGATGGGAATGATGAACACGGTGCTTTTTTATATTATTAGTTTTTATGATTTTGTGTCGATCTCATAAATAGTTCTAGGCGATGGTACATATTCGCAATGAATTGCAATGTATCACATTGTTATGTATATCATATTACAATTATATTATCGAATACTTACTTTTCCGCAGCAATAACTTGGCATAGGCATGTCGAGTTTTTCGAATCTAAAATGTATATATATTAATGATCAAGATGGTATCATTTTGTATAAATAATTTTTGACAGCAGAAGTCAAAAAGCAACCTGTTACATGTCTGCGCGACATTTTATTTAAAAAAATCAATAAACCGGTCGGATAAACGATAAATATGATACCGTAAGTCTTGTTCGTGCTATGTGCCATTGTCTAAATTACAAAAATATACCGATCATAGCGTCATTAGAAAAATTGCAATAACTATTTGCTTGGACACGAAGTGGACTGATGGATCGTTTTGTTATTAGGTAGTTCTTGTTCTTCTTCTTGTTGTGAAAGAATCGCTTTGTTCTTTAACTACTGGATCAATTGCTATGAAATTTACAGTGATTGAAGATTGTTGTTGTTGCAAGAAGTCTATTAATCTTTTCACCCTAAATTTCCTATGAGATCTGATATTCGATCCAAAATTTCGCTGTATTATTTTATTCATGGTTTTTAATTGATCAAGCGTGACGGCCGTCTTCCGTTTTGATTTTGCAAAGTCGTGCTACGCGAAAGTTACAGGTTATTACTCTAATGATAAACCACGGTAGGCACGATACGGTGAACTACTTCGTTTTGGCATTCCTGTGCAGATATTTGAGCACGGCTTGTTTAACACTGTACGTACATGACGTCCAAGTCTCCTTAAGCCGACAAAGCGATAATTTTACGACCAGGTTTGCAGCTCCCAGTTTTCTGTTCTTGAGATGACTTCTAAGCTAGTAGACGTAAGCTGATCGCTTGTTTGATGTGATGTGAAAGCGCTTCAACATTACTATTTAAAACACAGTTTTGGTTCTACGTAAAATATTGTTAAAATAATTTGGAATTCATTCTTGCAGAAAAATATTATAAAAAATATAATTTTTCATCAAAATCATCTCACAGTATTGCAGTCCAACAATACCATAGCACATTTCAAAAAATGTTATATATTTTCTAATATAACTTGAATCGAAATTGAATATGAGTTGACGTGTTTTCTAATGTATATTATATTTTCAATCTAGATGTTCTATCTTGGACTTACGGTGTATATTCCGTCTCTTGCATTAAGCGCAGTGACACCAATGAATTTGTACTTAACTATTGCTATAACCAGCGCAACTTGTACATTCTATACGACCGTAGTAAGTAATATTACAATAATTTCAATTTATGTTAACGTCTGGTTTTGTGTTAGTACACTAATGCTACATTTCATCTTCGCAATTATACAGTATCGATCATATCAAACAAAGTAAGGTACTTGTTTTTTTTTTTTATTTAGACGTTAGACGACCGCAGCGTTTAGAAAATTATGCATTAGATTTATGTAAATCTTACCATGTTAAAGTAGCTTACGCAGCGACATACATGGGTAAATATGACGTTCAGTTTGGTCTTATCAATCTTATCCTAGGCTCATCTATCGTTGTAGAACTATAAGTTCGGCATGTTTTTAATGGAGGAACCTGTTATTAAGATCGATAAAGATCTGTTCTTGAATTTTGAATCCCATCACTGGGTACATACTACCAAATCGCAGTCCTCCAATTAATTTTAAATTTAAGTCGTGTATCATTTATTAGAAAAAAATCGGGACGTGAGAAAGAGTTCAATTTCTATCTCATACATTCGAAAAATCTCGAGAATCATTTATTGTGAAGGCAATTTAATTGACGGTGACTTGGTGCTGTTTAATGATGGGTTCTTTTCAATTATTTTCTTTGTATTTACTCTATTCTTTGTATTTTTATTCAGGGAGGAATGAAAGCTGTTATTTGGACAGATGTTTTTCAGTTTTTATTTATGATTGTAGGGACGTTATCAATTCTTATCAAAGGAATACTTGTCGTTGGGGGATTTGATATTATTTTATCTGCTGCGGAACGAGGACAACGGAACAACTTTTTGACGTACCGTTGTGAATTATTAATATTTTTTGTAATGCCTGGCTTAGATAAAAACAATTTATATACAAATGACTGCAATACATTTCGAAAAACGTTTCCCCATGTAGATGGTTCATTTTATGAACTCCTCCTACCGGTGAATGGTTTAAAACCTATACTTCCTACTACCACTCACCTTGGCAATACTACTGGGCGATAAATCTGCATCTGGTATAGGAACGTGGAAGACTGTCGTTACATAGTTTGTTTTTTCATCACCCGTTTCACGACATCACTCTGAACAGGTCTATTAAGGCCGTTGGTTACGTCATACCGTTACGTCGTTGGTACGTACGGAGCTACCATTTTCAGACGGAATCTTTGTTGTTCGACATTGACGTAATTACTTTATTGATTGAAATCGAGATCTCCGACGTCGAAATTGTAAAGTATGGTGACCGTACATTCGAACCCACGTACATTTGAACACATGTGTATATCCACGGGTTCAATCCATATGCGGGTGCTAAAACCCATGGGTTAGGGTTAGTATGGGTTCAACTATCCGAAAAACAAAAAAAATTCCATAGGTGCAATAGCATACAGGTGCAATTGTCATGGGTTCAAATGTACGTGGGTTCAAACGTAATGGAACCGTAAAGTATACCATGCCATCAAATACACAACCCTGATTAGGCTTAGAGCAACTCGGTGTGCAGTATTCTTGAGCCAAAGTATTAGAGCAGTCGTGGCTGTAAGTTCGTTAGATTAATTTGAATATTGACAATAATTAATTTGTGAGCTATAGGAATATTTTCCAAGGAAAGTACATACTGTAAAAAAAATTTGTTTCGTTTCATTCCATAGCATTATTATTGGAAAACTATTATGATATGTTTGTCTTGATATCCGTATAAGTAAATTAGGATGGCATGGGATACTACGGCGCGCGGGCCGAATCCGGCCCGCTAGGTAATTCAATCTGGTCCGCCTGATGCTGCCACAACTAAACTGAAACTAAATTTTGATGTTTTAGGTAAAAATAGCTCAGGGAATTTGTTGAGCTTGCGGTTAAAAATTTAGTTTTGGCACGAGGTTCATTGTTTTCCACTATTGCTTTCGTAACACTGTAAACATTTAGTTTTGGCACGAGGTTTATTGTTTTCCACTATTGCTTTCGTAACACTGTAAACATTTAGTTTTGGCACGAGGTTTATTGTTTTACAATATTGCTTTCGTAACACTGTAAACATTTAGTTTTGGCACAAGGTTTATTGTTTCCCACTATTGCTTTTGCAACACTGTAAACGTTGTTCATAAAATGTAACTCTTTATGTCATACTTACATAGCCCGCCAGTCTAGGTGGGCAAAATTTTTGGCCCCTGATCCAAAAACCGTGCCCACCCCTGCTCTAAAACAATGTAAATAATTATAAGTTACACAGTGAGTTTGGTATATCTAAATTTCTAAAGTGTTGGGAATCTGAGTCTTGAGTTTACCAATAACTCAGGCAAAAAGAATCACAAATCTCCCGGCCTCCGTAACGGTTTGCATTTATTGCGGAAAATAATTCAATATAGCAAAGTCGAAGAACTTTTCTTTTGCTAAAAGTATATCTTCTGTAATCATTTATAAAACCTTTCCGTATTGAATAAATTTATACAAAATAAATCCAGTTAGAGAAAATTAATATAATAATGTTATTTTTTCTGAATACTGGGGGCCATTCATAAAACGAAGACTAAATATGTTAATTTTACTTCACGAAGATTGGATCCTGATCCCAGAATACGTAGTTCTGCTTGGTCAATTACGTTTGGATTTTTCTTTGTTACCTGCTATGAGACAGTTTGCAATCAGATATTTATTCAACGCTGGCTTTCCTGTCGAACTATTAGGAACTCTAGAATGTGAGTAAATTCTTTTTATAGTATTTGAATCAAATAATAATGATATATCAACTTTTCCAAAAATTGAAATCAAAGCGTAATTTATTTTGTAAAATGTTGTTTATACTATTGGGATAACAAGAATCGAATTTTATGATCTTGAGTGTTTTATCAAATTTAAGCCTGACAGTTTCCATTTTATATTTAACCTCCGTTTGTTTCTTGCTCAGACGAACTTCTATTTTTCAGTGCCGTTGGCGTGAGTATCATTCCTCTTATCTTGTTATCTATGATATCGATCGCAAGTGGGATAGTAATGTACGCATACTACGAAGGCTGTGATCCTTTGCTATCTAAGAATATATACAAAATTGACCAGATTATGCCCCGTTTTGCGGTTGATTTATTTCATGACACACCCGGAATGGCGGGATTATTTGTAGCTGCTGCATTCTGCGGAACTCTCAGGTAAACCATTTGTTTTGCTCGTTATTGTACTAAGTATTGGCTATTTTCAAAATTTTTGATATTTCAACTTAAAAAAGCCAATTACGAGTTATACGCCAAAGCGTTCAACATTATGTTAGTTAGTCATCTACGCATCGGAAATATTTCGAGTTCAATCAGTCCTTCGATCAAAATCCCTAGCATTTTTATGGTTATTGCAAGACCACGATTTGGCTCTCGATTTAACGCATTGAGTGGTTTTCGAATGAAAATTCGATTCAGTAACTTTCAGTATCCAATTTGTAGCAAACCTTGTTTAGACCAAATATGCTGCTAGATTTAGTGTTTATGCTATGATATAGGAAATATTGTTATGATTAAACATTGTATGTTAACATATACAGTGAACGATTTATCCTTAAAATCGAGAACTTTTACTGCAAAACTATTAACGAGATGGCTAGCAGAGACCGCCGACTTATCGATCTAGCGGCGTGTATCCCTCTGACTGAATAGCGACACCGCGTGTCCAATCACTAATTAATTAATAACTCGCTAATTATACGACATAATTCAACCAAAATTAATAGGCTTCTGGTCCGAGATTTGATGAATGCACATGCAGATGAATTTAGGGCAGATTCAACCTCGCTTTCGTGTGATATCGCGTAACATACGAAAGTGTCTAACAGACAGACAAACAAACAAACAAATACCTAACGTACTTACCGATCAAGATCGATAGGTAAAAAATATTTGACGTGAAATAAAATTGCACATTGATATTTATTCGATGTAAGGTATTTCTTTAAATTTACAGTACAGTGTCATCTGGTGTTAATGCTTTGTCATCGCTTTTAGTAATGGATTTCATCTTACCCAAGTTTCAAAATTTAACGCCAAGAAGAAAACTTATAATTAGCAAGACGGCTAGTAAGTTCTTTCTTTTCTTTTGCATGTAGACATGACTTCAGTCAAATAATTTACCTGAACAGACATTTATAGTATTATTATATATTAGGGATTGTATGAGAAAAAATATGGCCGATTAATACAAATATGACCAATATTATTTGAGGTAAAATAAATAGGATTTTCTTTAATCATCCATACAAATATAAAACTTGGTTCTATTTGAATATTGGAGTGGAGCAATTTTTTTTTGTTTTCAGGTCTATTCTTTGGAGCACTCGTCATGTTATTGGCGTATCTTCTTTCTCTTTCACAGTCGAACGTTATGCAAGCAGTGTCATCAATTGTCGGTTTTATTGGTGGTCCAATTCTTGGGTTATTCACAATGGGTATATTTATGCCATGGATAGATTACAAGGTGAGATGATATTTTAGAAAATGTATATTTTTCACTAGTTAGTATATTGAACAGTCCAAAGTTAGTTTTTAATATTAGATATTTATCACCATTTACATAATTCACATCATTTACATAATTCACGTTTCCAAAAGGGCTCATTTGGGGGACTTCTACTAGGACTCGCTTGTACAGGGTGGATTGGAATATCGGCTATGGTGTATTCAGTAGGAAATTCATCTGCGTTGCCTTTATCTACACAAGCCTGCAATATCACAACGTTAACAAACACGACATTGGACAAAGTTTTCACAATATATAATACTACTCTGTATACGGAGACTACTGAAAAGTATGTAGCCTACAGTGATTCTCATTTTACATAAATTTGGATCATTTTGTTATTATTTTCAGTATATATGTTGTTGTTGGTGGTGTATTCTTCTTTTTGTTTTTACCATTGTACTTATATTTAACTACTGGACCAATTGCTTTGAAATTTTCAGTGGTTAAAGCTTGTTAATGTCCCTAGGAGGTTATTATATATTTGTATTTATTTCCAAAATTTCTGTGGACACAATGGTATTCTTATTCACCTTGGCGTATTGTGTGGTGACGTCAACAAATATATAGTAAAATAATTATAAAAATAATTGTAGCGGTTCCGCAAAAGCATGTCAGCGGATCTGGTGCTTAGCCAAAGTCGGAAGTTTTTTTTATAGGATACGGTAGGCTACGGTTCCGGCACTGTTGAAGATTTGGTGATACTGTTGTGACTCGGATCATATGGAATTTCGATTCACGTTGAAACTTGTAGCATGAATCATCGCCACAAGACCCGGGAAAGCTAGGCTGGTGCTGATACCTTTACCTGTATCGCGACCTCATGTTAGGGGATATTGTGCACAGCGAAAGTCGGCGGATCTCGTGCCTCGCAAAAGTCGATAAGACTGTGGTAACGGTAGTCTATTCCAGGGCTACTCAACTGGCGGTCCGAATCCGGACCTTTCGGGTATTCGATTCGGACCGCGCATAAATCTTCATTTTGAATTATAAGCTCCACTTTTAAAATTTTCTTTATAAAATCACTTTTATAGATTTAAAAATATATATGAAAAGAACTATAACGTCATAACAAACAATCTTGATTAGCTAATATTCATTAGTCGGCCGAGGAATTGCGTGTTTAAAGATGCCAAATATAATTTCTGGACCCAAATATTTTTGAAGTTTTGTATGAGGACCTTCGGTAAAAATAGTTGAGTAGCCCTGGTCTATTCTATAGTGACAAATACCCGCGTCCTACTTCGTTTTGGATTTCGTTTCCATATATTTGAGCATCGCTCTATTGATTTCAAGTCAACTCTTTCCAATTCCGTTTCAGAAGTTCACCAAGCCTTTTTAATGTAATATACTCGATCTCGCCATTTCTCTATGGAGTTCTGGGATGTACAATGACACTGGTAGGAGCTCATGTAACTTCGATTTTCACGGGTAAGTTTACTGGTTAATGTAGGGAAATGTATAAGAATATACACGGATTTTTATAAATAAGTTTATAGTGAGGCTGGATTTTATTAACTTTGTATTGGCCCAGAAAACATTTTGGCATTGGCACATTTTCAGTAATCCGGTCAAATAAAACAGCAATTGTCATATAAAAATGGGTTTTCGCTGTATGTGAAATTCTACAAACATTATTAAATAGCTCAAAGATTATTAGGAAGTTTATGTGAGATTATAGAAACAAAAAAAATGGTCAATAAATATGTTTAAGTAGATATTAATTTCAAACAGGAACTTGCCACAAAAACAGTTTCATTTTCAAACGGTGAACGCACAAAAAGTATATTCTAGTTTCTGAAATAAGTTTATGAGTATTTGGTTTCATTAGATGAGCTAAATTGGCAGAAGGATAAGTGACATGTTTCAATATATCTTTATATGTTAAACAATATATTTAGTGAATATGGAATTGATTTTTTGATTGTAAAACCATATAAATCTTTAATCTTCATATATATGTTCTATTTCAAAATAAATGTTTTCATTTCAATCCAGGTTTCAGCAACCCAAAAAATGCCAAGGAAAAACTTTTTGTTCCTTTGATTGACAATGAAATCCTTCCAGAAAAAATGCGAATATACTTCAGGTTCGGTGTTCCACTCCCTCAAGCAACGAAATCGGGTAACAATGATATACCACATGAGGAGATGAAGATGCTTTGTACAACAGAGCAAAAGGCTGACATGGAAATCTTCAAACAAACATTGGAGCCAGAATGATAGTCACAACGGGGAATAACCTTAGTAATTCAAAACATTATTTGGAATTTTTTTCGTCATTTTCCATGAATACCTTCTCAGAGCATTATAAAGAGTTGTTGTTTTTTTTCCAAAAGGAACAGATCCGTTAACGTTGATATACAAAGATTGAAACGACGCTACGATAAAAATAATATTTGGCCTTTAGTTGATCTCGTAGAGGTAATCGCGTAGATAGACAAACCGGGTGTCTAGTGTAGTATACTTCTATTGGACGTGGCGTCACTTTCACAAATTTTATTCTGTATTGCATCGTCTGACAAAGGTCAGACTTTCGGATGCCTGTTAAGTGTTCTTTCTGTCGCTGCATACATATCCACAGACAAAGACTAACACCATATCATAGACCAGGGGTGGGCACACCGCGGCTCGCCAGACTTTATGTGCGGCTCTTCTCGCTAACATAAATTATTATCCAAATTTTAACTAAAAGAAAAACTTTAATGTGAACTTTTTTAATTTATTAAAAGTCGTAAAGAAGTTTTCGTCAATGATAAAGAGAAATTATGTTTTAGTATGAAAATTGCTGTAACGTTGAATTTCGAATTTAAGTCAGTCGAGTCAGCAAATCTTTCGTCACAATGGTCAATGTTTATTGATGCGTCGGCGGTATTGCAGCTTGATTGCGGTTAGTTAGTCTGAGTGACTCTGCGATATGTCCTCAATTAAGAAAGGAAAGTACGGAGATGAAAACAGAGTTGTCAAGTCAGAATGGGAAGAAGAATACGCATTTACCAGTCAGAAAAATGAACTTTTGTGGTTAATCTGCCATAAGCTACTAAGTCAGAATAAAGACAGCAATGTTAAGCGGCACCATGAAAAGAATCTTGAAATCATGAAAACGAGACTACCCTCGTAAATCAGCAATAAGGAAACACAAATTAAATGAGCTCAAATTGTGCATATATTTGAGCATACCTGCCTTGTTCATCTATTTATTGTTATTAGACTCTTGTGTGAATTTCTTTTCTGTTCATGGTATTTTGATAATATTAATAAATTCACAAATTCTGCGGCTCTTTTAAAGTTCTGACTTGCAGCATGCGGCTCTTATACTAAAAAATTGTGCCCACCTCTGTCATATACAATGAGAAAGGAACTGTATAGATAGGAGAACGCTAATCAACTATATATGCCTATAAATAGCTTGGTGATTTTAGGGGCCTGCTCGGAACAACGCCAAGTTAAGATGTGTCATTGTTCAAAACTGTTCAATCAAGACATTCATTTCTCTGCATATCCGTGAATCAGGCTAATACGCAGTTTTCGTGAGATGTTAGCGTCATCTGTAAGAATATAGAAGTATGCTATAAATTTGTTTATGTCAGCCAAAGCACCCCATTTACCAATATGTTTGACTCAAGTTGTTTCTATCAAAAATGCTCCCAGCAATTGCAATGGGAAAATATTCTCACCTGCAAGAATTGTTCTTATTGTCATGTGATCAAATCTCCGGAAGTTATATTGAACCTAAACAGTGTACCAGGATCAGACCCAATCGCGATCCTATATCCTCGCGCTATGGAAACGGTACAGCTATAGTCGGGGGCAATTTTATGATTTACAGTTATTGTAAACTACAACAAACTTTAAGTGATACAAATACAAGAGACCAATGCCAAATATATGTTTACGAAGGCCGAAAAAAACGCCACCGGTCGGGATACTAGTGCAGATCGTCAGTCAAATACATAAAACAATACAAACAGTTACGAGTAGTTTTATCCGTAGTAGTATATATTTACGGTTTTATCGCTGATAGTAAAATATTTATTATTGTAAATTTGAACCCCTTATTCCCATCTAGGGTTAAAGCAGGGGTGTGCAACTTATACTACATTTAAGAGGGCCAGGTACAAGTAACTGGGTGAAGCCGCGGGCCGCACATTTACTTAATATAGAACTTCCAATGAGACCCACGAACGCTTAATATATTATATTAATTGTAATCCTTGATAAGACAAAGACTACTAGAAGAGAATTCGCTTGAGAACAAAACTGCCCTTGCAAAAGTGAATATATATGTTAAACGGTTAAACTGAGCCACGGAACAGTCTTATATTTAATTGATTAGTTGCTGTTTTTCTTAGTAAACAAACAAACATTAAAAAGTAAACAACAAACATTAAAACTCATAAACTGATTTCGGGCATTGATTGTTGTGTAACAAAGTTGGTTCGAATTTAGAAAGTTTTCATTTGAAAATTTGTAGTTCTGATCATTTGATAATAATAGTCAGCCATATAATTAACTTAGTTCTAACACCAATTACCGACCCAAAATCTTGTATGCAGACATCTCGGCTGTGATAAACTTGTCTTATTTTAAATAATTATCCCTATGAAAGCCGATAAGACGGCCCAACCATATGACGAACCACGGCCTCTCGTCCGGTTATCATTCAATGTCAGGTATGGGATTAGCTAGTTATTTGTATTCGGAAGCATGGACTTGATGAGAGAAGAATCCGTAACCGACCAGCAGTTACGTGAACCACCCTACGGCGACGAGTAGTCCAGCGATCCTCTCGCTCATAACCACCTGCATGGGATTCGAATCTGCGAGGCCACCCAGAGCAATCAGAGGTGCGAGCACGCGGAACCACAACGCCGCGCCTTAAAAATTGAATATTTTTTGTATCTGAAATGTGTTGTTTTCAGTAATAAAAGAAAGTGTTGCTGTGAAAATGTATCTGGTTACGTCATTGCCATTTTTCAGATGCCCACTCGCCACCGCTAAATCAGTCAGCTGGCCGTGTGGTTGGTCACGTTTCTTTGGGTGTTTCCCCTTTTTTAAGTAGGTGATTTCCGAATAATGATTCAGTTTCGTAAGTTTCCATAATCTCGTAAGCGGGATTGTCATCGCTAGGCTGTACGTGTACTTTGAGGAGTAATCTATTTAAAAAAAAAATTGAAAAACAACATTACACAAAAAACATATCCCAAGAAAGTGGCTTATAAGATTCAGGTGCACTAGAATTGTCAGTCCTGTTCTTAGAACAACATGTCACCAGACTGCCAGACAGTTCTGCAAAAATACTGCAATTACCATACAGAGTTCAGGAGTTTGGTTCTAGCATTTTTATGGGTGATAGAGTTCTGGAGTTTGCATGATTTAAGATCGTTTTTGTTTACATCACTTCTACTCAAAATTAAATGAGTTGAGTGTAATGTGAAATTTATAATCCTTAACCTATGTCTGTATGTACAGTCAGTGAATTCATGTATTACAAATATAAAACAACTTAAATTGATAATGGGTAAACCAAAACAGTTCAAACTTATCCTCAATGACGAAAAAACAGTTTATTTCCCAGGTAATATGATCAGTGGCCAACTGGTCATAGAACTTGACAATCCTATGAAAATGGAAGGTAAAATAAACATTTCAATATTAAACTATCATTAATTGTGTAGAGTGTTTTATTATATGACAAAATTCATGAAACAAATTTTCGGGAGTCAACATACAGATACAGGCATAACATATAGGCCTAATCAAGCACTGTTTGGCAGTTCATTTGCCGAAACACGTTTTCATTTTTCTGATATATATAAATGTGCCTATTTCATTAAACTCACATTTCTATATAAAAAGACCTTAAGGATATCTTGCAAAAACTTTTTGTTCATTCACTTTTTTTGTTTACTTCAAAGTCAATTATCTTGATTTTCAAGTACGGTATATTAGATTTGATTTGGACATATAAACATATTTTATTTGTTAAATTTTTCTCACCCAACTATAAGAGATACTTCTGAAGTAGAAGCTAACTTTTATCAATGAATTTTGATGTGACTCTCCTAACCATTTTTAGCATGTCTACATATGGTGATGTGTATTACACCATCATAAATTTTTACTGTTTCTATAATTTTGAATATTTTGAGATGAAGCTTCTTACATTTGATTAAATGAGCGTGAACTTGCATGGGGCAAAGTCTCCTGAATAAACCTCTACTGTTCTTAGCCCATGATGATTTTTATTTTATTTAGCAATCGCAATCAAATTTATTGGTCAAGCCTATGTGCATTGGACCGGACAGCAATCATCAGGAGGACCTTCTGCCATTGAGAACTTATTTTATCATGAAGATATTGTACCTGGAAAATGTATTATATGATTTGATGTTGCTTTCTTTACAATAAAAAATCAAAGATTTTCCTACTGACAATTTTACTGTTTATATCAATTTTAAGCAAATTGTCGTATTGTGATCAATTCCTCGATCAGTTACCTATTTATCACTATTTAGTGCGGAAATAGTATTATAACATTTCAACACAATTTCGTTATTCTATATTTACCAAAGTCTGAACATGATAGTGACATTATATTTTAATTCGAAACTCTTTTACACTCATTTTTACATATTCTATTATTAATTTGAGTAAATTGAGCATCATTTGATTTTATGATATTTCAGCAGATGACAACCAGACATCCCTTGCTAAAGGGCATCATGTTTTTCCGTTTCAATATAAACTTCCAGAACCACTACCATCATCATATGAAGGTATGACAAATTTTCAAATGTAATCAGTATTTGTAAATATTGAAATTAAATTAAAAATATCTTGTTAGGAAGAGAAATAATAAGCATTCATCTATAAAACGAATGGATAAATAAATTTTAGATATATTTTTATCGAGAATTTAAATTTTGATATATTCTGCAAAACTTGTTTTTGTCTTTTATTAATTGTTTGACTGTTGAAAATATATCTTCTAGCTCATTGTTTATTACCCTGGTCTGGGTTCACTGGTGCGAAATCTGATGAATAATTCAGTACAATTGTTCGCTACTGAAGTTTCATATTTTTAAATGATGTGCATGAAATTATGATAACTAAGAGTAACCTTAATATTCTGTTTTGTAAAATTTTCGCTGATGTTTTTGTAAAAAAAAAAATTCTTCTACGTTTTTTAGACTTGATTGGATATATTCGATATTTTGTGAAAGCAACAATTGTAAAACCTGGAACTTTTGATCAAAACACAGTTCGTGCTTTTACAATTCTTGATTCTTTGGATCTCAATGCTATTCCTGATGCTATGGTAAGTTTATTATTCAAATTTCTTTATTAATTCAAGGTAATCATTAAAGATATCAGTGATACAGTGGAGATAAATGAAAAATAATACGTTATATTGATTCATGTACCGTTTAATCGTAGACACAGTGATTAAAACAGCAGATCTTGTATTTTTATTATATGGTGGATATTTGCTAGCTGATGTTCATCGCCTGATGATGACTTGTCTAAATGTTACTCGAACTGTGATTTCATAATGAAAATTTAATGTGGTCTACTTAGTTGGTTACAGTAATTTAGGGTAAAAGTAAGCCAGTAAGCAGTGCCATAACTGTATGAAATACACAAATATCACATTAAACAAATAGCCGGCATAGTTATTTGTTAAGGATAAACATGTCAGTGAATATTTTGGCGACTAGATAAACGATTACCATTTAGTTGTTCAACAGCAAAAAGAAAACAATTTAGATTCCTTTTTTTACGTAATTTTCTGCCCTTTATTTTGACATATTGAAATTCAAAGTTCATTCTGTAATAATTAGCCGAATCTTTGTTAAAACATGAGTTACAATTGCGCAATTTTCAAACCCTTTTATTTTGATTTCAAATATAATTAAGCAGATACCTTATTGTATTACTTAGAGGCCTTGTGGAGGTCAAGAATCGAAACAACTTTGTTACTTGTGTTGTAAAAGTGGACCAATTGAAATGGAATTTCACACAGACAGATCTGGTTATGTACCTGGTGAATACATATTACTCAACGGGACAATCACAAATTCCAGGTTGGAATTTAGGTACTCCCATAGTGTGTGTACCTCCTGCCCATAGGCTACCGTCCCTTTACACAACTTGGTGTAAAGAAGGAAAACAAAATTAGTTATCTCCATATTGGTACACACACTTCTGTAGCGCCGGAATTTATTTCTTTCTTGTACTGCATTACTAGATATTATAGCATACCCAGGTTGCAGGTCGAAACTCTCTCTTCCGAAATGTAAATTTTTTTTTTATCATACGTAGCTTGAATGCATTTTAGACCCTTAAGATTCTTGAAAACCTACATTTTCCGGTCTCCGGCTGGACTGGCTAGCTGTTAAGGTCTAATTTTGCAATTAGAAATTTCAGAACCGAGTACAATATTGTTACCTTGATTTGATAGTACAGAAACTTCGGATCACATTTGAAAAAAATTTAATATTCTTCATTTTAGTAACACAAAAGTGGAGGGATCTTCTGTTCAGTTGATAAAGAGAGTGACATATCATGCAATGTATAATTCCAAAATTGTAATATTAGAAGTTGCAAGGATAAATGGACCTCCTGTTCCAAAACATGGAAGCATAACATGGACGAATGAACGATTACGTATCCCACCTCTACCACCATCCGAAATAAATCACTGCAAGATCATTGACATTGTTTATTTTGTTCAGGTATGTTCTGTTCATATGTTTTGCATGACGCTTCACCATGACTATCTGCTCAGAACAAGGCCCTGTATAACCATGCACTGATATCTAACAGTATGTGAAAGGATACTTACTATTATTTAAAACAGGGGTGTGCAACCTGCGGCCCTCGGGCCAGATGTGGCCCACAAAGAAAAATTGTGCGGCTCGTAAATAGAGTTTTCTAATTTAGTTTATTCCGGTACGATTGAGTAATTTCATCTCTTTGAGTCCCGCGTTTTTACCCAGTTATTTGTATTTCACCCTCCTGTATCAAAGGTTGCACACCCATGATTTAAAAGACCAGAATCTTTTTGGTTTGACATTGCCTACACAATTTTTTACATGCTAGCTGAAGTGGTGGTCATGAGATTTAGACTTGAGATGTATAACATGTGATGCCAACACAGTCTAATGCAGGGGTGTGCAACAGGCGGCCCGAGGGCTACAACCCGAGCCCTTGTCAACACTCATCAATCATAAAATCCTAATACGACAGTTTATGTTAATAAGGTGCTCACATGGGTAAAAATACATAATGAATTTTGCTCTTGTCACTGCGTCAAATCTTTCGCCGTTTTGTCCAGTGCCTTTATTACTGGATAGGTAAGCAATAGCCCCATACTCTTCTCTTGCCATTCCAGCGGTGCTCTGGTTGTCGCTAATTTTTAGATCGTTGTGTACATGGATGAACTAATGTTCTTGTTTGCCCCAGATAGATGTCTGAAGTTGGTAAACTGCCCACCGACAAAAAATGTTGCACACCCTCAGTCAAACGCTTTGACCACTAGGTCATCTCGCGCAATTTTTGGAGAATTATTCTTTTTCTGATCTAGATTTGTTTTCCCAAGGTTTTTCGTTTAACTATTTCTAATTCAAACATTGTTCTTAAAAATAATATCATGCTATTGAGTACTATGATCCTGTGAAATTCTTCGAACAATCAATGAAGTTTATTTCTTCTTATAATACATAGTCTGGCCTGAAACTAAAACATGTTTGGGAATTCAAGTCTCCCCCTATAGTGGAAATGATATACAGAAAAAAGCCTGGAAAATTTAATATACATAGTAATTGATATTACCTTTTTTACATTTTAGTTTCAAGCTCATCTCAGGTCATTTGCCACTGATCCTCGTATCAACTGCAGAATAACGATAGGCACGATTCCTTTGCGAAATCTTCCATTATACAGAAATGCTGGTACATCTGAAATTGTGACTGGTCCACAGACACAACACCTTGCCACAGATATTGATTCCGCTACAGATGTATTATCAACTCAACAAAAAAGTCTTCAACGTGAGCATTCTCTGTATGTTCTAGCTAGAATATGATGTAGTAAACAATTTAGTTGGTGATATTGAAATATGCAGTACAAGTTTGAATTAATGCTAGGTACTAGGAAGTATCTCATATATGATAATTTTGACTTGATGATGGAGGAAGCCGTAACCGAACAGCGGTTACGTGAACCACCCTATGGCGACGAGGAGTTCAGCAATCCTCTCGCACATAACCATTCCCGCATGGGATTCAAACCTGCGAATCCACGCAGAGTAATCAGAGATACGATGGCGAGCATATTCCTAACGCTTAGCACAATGAGCCACACCACCACCGATCAAATCAAGTAAACTTATATGTGAAATTTATCCCAATTTCAGCTCCACCACTGTCTTATGCTGAATCTGAAGACAAACATCTTTTTAATATCAACGATGAAGATGGTAATGAACACAGCATGGGAGAAACATCATTCAAACCTCAATACACTTACTATGCTTGGAAAGAATCTGCTTTTACGCATTTTTAATAATATTGTGGGTTTAGCAGCTTTGTGCATCCTAGTTTGGTTGAATGGTGTAAATAAACTGAATACCATGAAACGATGATTGTCGTACGGTTTACAGATTTGAATCTATATTGAGAACTACTAAATCATCTTAAAGACTACTGCAGTTTATGTCTTCCCATATACTATCATGCACTTGTCTGGCTTTTTTCTTTTTTGTTCTATATTGTTTTTGTAAATCATCAATTCTTCATGACATATGCCATACTCTTCTTCAAAATTTTGCACTTCATTCATACTTTTTTTTAAGTTTCTGTTGCAAAAAGAATTTTTTTATTGCCATGAGCAATTTTACAATCAAATGTTTTTCAATTTATATAATGCATTTAGGCTAATTTTTTCCTGAGGACTGTTTTAAAATGACTTGTTCATGTCTAAAAATGCCATTTTGATATTACACCAGTGTTTTGAAGTTATGGATATGACAAAAACATCTTTTTCAAATGACTCTAATTGTTTGGAGAACATGCAATCGAGTCTCTAAAATAGAAAAAGACTGAATGAATGATGATTATTTGATTTGTAGAATGGTGTTATCTTGAAAATAATCAACTATACACAAAATCAAGCTACATTGTTGCCTAAAATGTAACAGTGAATTTCTTTAACAGTAATTTCTTGGTAAAAACTTACCGTAAGTCAAATTCTTGCTAGGTTAAGATAGGGAATGATCACATTGTACTATTTTGAAAAATTAATTTAAATACTGTTCTCTTCTTATGATATCATATTTTTGTATTTCATTTTAGTTTTCATATAGTTGAGATCTTACATAGGATAGGATTTACATATTTATCCCGGGGGAGAGGAAAGCCCATAAGACAGCTTATCCATATGGCGAACCTCGGCCTCTCGTCCGGTTACCATTCCAAGTCGGGTATGGGATTAGTTATATTGTTTGTTTTTTTTTGTTTTCGGAAGCATGGACCTGGTGGTGGAGGAGGCCGTAACCGAACCAGCGGTTACGTGAACCACCCAACGACGGCGAGCAGTCCAGCAATCCTCTCGCACATAATCATCCTCGCATGGGATTCGAACCTGCGAACCCACGCAGAGTAATTAGAGGTGCGGTGGCGAGCGTATTCCTAACGCTTAGCTTGTTGAGCCACACCGCCGCGCCGAACAGTACATACAGTGTATTTTCATACACTGGGTATTAGAATATTGTACTTTGCTTTGTGAAAAATGTATGACTGTGACTTCTACGTTTGGAGTATACCATCCTTAAATTGAGCTTAGCTTAATTTTTGCCCGTTGATAATGTTCATTCAAAAAGTCTGAGCAATAAATCTTTACACAAATTCTCCTATATGTGATTGACATTAAACTATACAGTATACAACATGAGTTTGATTTTGAAGATAGTTGATATATGTATACACAACATCGCAACAACGTTGCAGCAATACCATTTTTTTTTCAAGATAGGATTCACATATTCAACCCGGGGAGAGGAAAGCCGATAGGACAACTTAAAAATTTGGCGAACCAGCCACCAGTCCATGTCAGGTATGGGATTAGTTACCCAGTTATCGTTTCAGATGCATGGACTCGATGGTGGAGGAATCCGTAACCGACAAATTATTATGTGAACCACCTACGACGGCGAGGAGTCTAACAACCCCTGGTGAGCGTATTCCTAACACTTCACATCACAATGCATTTCATAGCTGAATAATTCTGTGCCAAATCTAACTTCCGTCATTTGAACTTTTTTCTGAGCAATAGTTTCAAACTAAATTTTTCACTTATAATTAATAATTTTTATATACTTCAACACTGCGATTTAGTACTTTTCCAATATCTTCTTTCCAGTGCAAGATTGGCTTCTCTTAAATTGGCAAATAAAATCTTGTTCAAGGTTATCTTATAGTTAGACGTAACTTGGAGAGTAATCACAGTTTAGTTTGTATCATTTATTAAGATTGTAAACAATGAGAACATCATATAATAAATGGCAGAATTAATGCATTTTGGTTTCTGTCACATCCCCTCTTGATGGGTGTATAAATTTTTTGATAATCCTACGATTGTTTTTCAGTAGATAAGACCAGGGATTGAATTCCCAATTTCAAGAACGGGTTCTCTTTTGTATCAAACTAACTAACAACAGGTCCCTTACCAGAAAACCATGCCAAACGTCTAGCTCTAAAATCAGGTTCACTGTTTACCACAGCATTCTAAGAAAAGGTTGAACCTTCGGAATCCGACAACGACAACCAAATAAGACGTTATTTATCTCTTATTGCTCCACATCTTGGGCAGGTTCGCTAACTGAATACTTGGGATGATAACACGTAAAAAGCATTGGAGCCCCACCTTCTGGCTGACGTCGAGTATGGTGGTCTGAGTGGCTGACCTCCCATCCCCCCTTCCTGTTATATTTACCGCTAAACAAAATTTCTGAGCAGAATAACCCTTTATTATATAAGATTTTGTTCACCGTTGTAATAAAATATGTTGCCATAGCAACAGCGGATAGAAAAATAACAAGATAAAAGGAAATAAAACAATAAGAACAACCAATAATTAATTACAAAACAAATTATTGCAATATCATACAGCGTCTTTTCAAATTGTATGTAGAATAAATCCTTGGTTTTCCCAAAAAATCATGAAAAAGAAAAAAGCAATATAACAACTTTTATGCAAAAACATTAAGGCATTTATATAAAGTATATGCCTCAAATAAATATTCTTGATTTCATGATTTTTAGTAGAAACATTATGTTCTCAATACAGAGGTCGGTGGTTGAATATGGTTCGGATTAACATTGTTCATAATATTAATGAAGGATCCCCAGATGATTTAGTTCAAACAAAATTTGAATTGTTATATTTGAAAAGAAGGTGTATTTTACGCATCTATAAATTTCCATATTTGCCTGTAAAATTGCTGCAATTCTTACAAAAATAACATGAGTTTTCAAATTCCATAAAGTAAAACATGGCATATATATCACGAGATTACTGCAAATATATAAATTTAAACAATTCTAGATTGAAATTACAAGCTAAGCCAAAACACCAATTCATTCGAATAAACTCAGAATGATGTAGAAAATGGATACATAAATCAAAGGAGGAAGTTTCTAGTTTAGCTCATATTATTATCAATTTGAGAAGAATAAGGTGGCAAAAACACTATATTTAGGGATTCTGATATAGGATAATCTTTTACACCTTTTTTAACAACAACCATCTTTAATATTCAGCATAAAATCATTCCAACCAATCAATGGTGATATATCCGCTTAAGGATTTTAACTGTATACAAAAAAAAAAATTGACAACCCACTGTCAAGTATTTCAAATTTTGAGAAAGTACACCATTTTCCCAATATTTTGAAGCCAGACTAATATATTACACACTGGGTATGATGATAGACTAGAGATCTCTATCTATTCTGCAACGGCGCACAGTTAAGAAAAATTGATAACTTAATCAATTAAGAAATGGTGCTCGCGATAAATGGAGTGGAAAACTATTTGAAAATGATTTGGGGTTCAACTTCACTTGTTTACTTCACAATTGAGAGGTAGTTTGTAAAATCTGTTGCTGTGTAAGAGTACCATTGTCATATTTTTTGCTAATGATTAAGGTATGTCCTGACACCTCATCGGAAGACATTTCACCAGATGCTGGATTAAATTACTAAAATAGAGGAGATTTCCTTGAAATGATTAAAGAGAAAAATCGTAAGGTAACCAAATATGACAAGTTATATCAAGAACATTGTAAATAATAAAATGAAACGCCATTCCAGATGGAAATGCCAGAAATAGTTTTGCAATAACCAATATTTGGCATGCATACAGAAATATTTCTATCACTGAATCATTCATTTATTATAGAAAAATTATTACAAATTAATAGAATCACTGAGCCTAATCATGACTTGATTTTATTAGAAAATACAATTTGAATCAACTTGAATTTTTTAATGTATTATATTCACAAATTAATCAGCACTGAAATCTGACAATAAACTGATGGAATTTGAAACCAACCATGATGAAGCGTTACAGCATCATGCTAATCGTTGGGAACATCCCCAGCGCCGACAATCCTAGGCTTTGAGTTCAAGAATTTAAATCCTGCGAGAAACATTACAACAAACAGGTAAATTAACTATTTCCTTATCGTAACTGATAACCAGATAAGAGGTCTTGCTCATTTCAAAGTAATAATACAAAGGATAATGCTCATAGTAAGAATGAACACAATAAGATATTTAGCTTTTCAGCTAATGTATGTAAAACATCTGTTCTCTTAAAAATCAATAATCAAACAAAATTCCATTAAAATTATCTGTATCACAATCATACTTGGGTAAAATGAATGCTGTTTACAAAACCAAAAAAAAAAAAATTCTAAAAGAAATATAACAAAATAAAGTTTAAAAGTTCATGGGTAAAAATAGAAAGAAAAAAAAGGCAAATGGAGAGTAAATAAAATGAAAATAAAAGTATCATCGAATGCATTAAACTGGCTGTTATTTATGACTAGATAATACGTTTCAGTTCTCTAACTTTGAAACAACTCTACACAAATATATATTCCTGAGTGTCATAATAACTACTACATAACTACTATACAACCAAATAGACCTTGTTTTCTTTAATCATCAATAAAATGCCATGTACCCATCCTTTGCAAAACTCATCTTATTTTAATGAGCTATAAACTATCCGTCTAGTAAAAAGTGTGGAGCAGATAAGCAATCAAAACATGGCTTAAAAGGGTATTTTCAACGTAAATTGGTGTGTCTTTTGCAAGAAAACCAAAGTAAGTCAACAATTTGAAGTGTGGTATTAATAGGTAAATAGGATTTTAATTAAATGCTTTTTTGAGTTAACATAGATATAAAACGTTATACAAATTGTTAAAGTAATCATATGAAATGGGATTCTAGGGATAATAGATGCGACCACACTGGTTTTCTAGCAAAAGATTCCAAGCCAATGTTTACCATCCAAATAAAAGTGAAATTACCACTACAAACCAAATATGTTGATGGTTTCGATCAATGAAACATAAAAGTATACCATATGAATATGCTGAATAGAGTTAGTTCTGCGTTCCATGTTCAAACAGATACACACCAATAATGAACTTTCCCTCCTTTCAAAATTTGAACAATTGTTACAGATAAAAGTGCTTGGAAACTTAATTCAAAACATGATTTGTTTGACGTTCTGGGTTGCCAAGTAAATACAAACGAGTAGCGCAGTTCGACTGATTAGTTTTGCAGTTGCTAAAGCAACCTGCATTGATTGAGGCATAGAAGATTTTTCCACTGTAATGTGAAGAGACAGAAACCAGATGAAAACTATCACACTGATGGAGTAACTTCAAGTACAAGAGGTTGAATGGCTTCAGCTGCATCTGTGTTCTGAAAAAATAAAATGAAAAAATTTTAGATTACCTAAAGGAAGAAGAATTGGGAGCATTTATGTTAATTATTCAGAGATGTAGATTCATTTGTTGGAAATTTTTTTTAACTGGAGTGTAAGATAAAAACTTTATATTAAATTGAACACTTTCAGCAAACGCTACCGATTCGGCAAAATACCTAATATACAACAGATATGAATAATGCTATTGAAAATATTGGGAAGACATTACAGAAAATATTAAAAGAATACCACATATCCACAAATATGGTATATATGTATATCAAAGAACCAAACAAGTCGTCATTTGGAGGTAACGAAGATCTTGCAATCACATCAGAACTAAAAAGACAACAACTAGAGTAGGGGAGAAAGAATATAATAAGTTATGATTTCAATTTTCATGATGGCAAAATTAGTAGGTAGGCTGCTAAGTTTTCTTCATGTTCAGTTTCAAAATTCTTATGTTTTTTTTTAATACAAAAATTGTTAATTTCGAGAGTTGGAAGCTGAAGATGAATTTTCTGCCGATACCTGGTAAGATTCTTTAATTCCCAGATCAATTAAAAAATAGAAATTAAATCGAATAGAAATAAAAATACAGCTCAAAAACAATCAAATCAGCTTCAAACAAAAAATAGAATTTACCTCCAATCTTCCATGTGTTTTAGATATATGCCAGTTCAATGTACGAAGGCGAGTGAGGTAAGCCATGATTTTAGGGAACCTTATTTGACAGTGGTATGTATTTTCTGAATAAGCTTGCAAGGCAGATACAATTATTTCTTGTTGTGCTTCTACTGCCTCTCTGTTCTCTAATTCATCACGATCTGAAATAGAAAAACAAGATTGTGATTCGTGTGGTCATGAAATATGCAAAGAAGCTGTCCAGAGACTGAGAACCCTGTTTTCAAGCTGTTGAATATTTCTCTTGAGAAAGTGGACAGTAATTCCAGATGATCTATAATTTTACATCATTTAATAATTAAATACACAACTTGACTATTTCTGAGTGCAGATCTGTGAATTCAAAGAGTTTATAGAGCAGGATTTTAATTGAATTGGAGTCAGAAGCAGTCCTCTTCGAGGGAGTCCTAGCCCTGTATCAGAATTTTAAATCTTTCTTAGGGTCAGAGCAAAAATTTCTAATGGAAAACTTCTACTGGCGTTAATCCAAGCCAAAATTTAAGACAAAAATTCAAGAAGCTTTGTTGACTGAGCGCCCTGAACAGACATTTACAGACTGTTTACAAAGTTTTTGTAACAAAAATTTCGTTTCGAGGGAATTGTAGCTAGAGTCTGATGAAAAATTTCATTTAACGTAGTGGAGTCAAAGGTCAGAGACGTTTTTCAGAAGGCTCAATGTTTGGAGGTATGATGTAAATAATCATAGAATCCACAGACAGAGCGTGGAAAGTTCGTCAAATATTCAGTTTTTTCCATTGCTCACAAAAGATACAGGAACCGATTTAATGAAAATAAATCAAATTGAATACCTGATGAAAATAGAGTAGAAGCACAAATACAAGCAAGTTCAGTATCATCGAGTCCCATGTGACTCAACTTATGATGAAATTGTAAATAGCAATCTGTGTATTCCTCTGACATTCCACCTGACAATAGATAATAATAATAAATGAAAAAATATTATGATATTAACAGATTCCAGCATTAAGATATAATTTAAAAAGGCTCTCTTGGGCATCGGGATTAGTTAACAACTGGTTAAACTCCAAACATCAGTACAAATTTCTAGACATCAGGCAATGGATGTACAAAAAGTTTACAACATTTTCCTAATAAATTTCAACAATATAGGTAAGTGTTGTATTAGTAACAGATGAATACGTATGATGTATTATTAACTTTGATTCATATTTTATGTCGCTAACATTATCTTGTCTCTTAATAAATGGCAGTATGTGTTTATAAAAACCATTTCTTACGATAGGCTTCACAGGGTTTACACAAAATGGCATTTGAAAATCATATTAAACATTGGTATCGTCGAGCAAATTTCATTCTTTGATACCAGCAATATGCCTATATACAGAGGTTTGAATATTGACATGACGAAGAAATCAATAGGCTGTATACGGATTTGGAAAGACGACAAAATATCGAATTTTTTGGTAACACATGATTATATTTATAAAGTTGCATATTTAATTCAAGTTCAATTCAACCAGGAATATATTTGGAATTTTTTTCAGACTACACTACCAAAAATAAATTATCAAAATAATTAATTTCATCCTTCTTAAAAATCGCACATTTCAATATCCTAGCAAAAATTGTATATAGGAAAGCCCTGAAATTGTATAAAACATAACATAATTGCAAGATTTATGGGTAATCTGAAAAAAAAGTTCTTTCAAATCCAAATGTAGGTGTTTTATGACAAAGATCAATAAAGAATATTCGGCGCTCCAGAAGTATGTATACCAATATGGAGGTGAATAATTTTATTCGCCTGTGTAAAGGTACTGAAAGCTATGGGCAAGGGGTATATTTACTTGGCTAACACAGACAGTCCCCGAACTCGTACTAGAACTAAAATGAGGAAAATCAGAATAAAATATAGGCTATAGCCTAACCCTAACCTGGTACACATACTAAGGGGGTATTGAATAATCATTAGAGTGTTGGAATTGGGAACAGATAAGCATATATCATTAGCTATGTCTGATGAAAAATTTTAACATTTTATGTTATGTAATTTAATGTGGTTTGTGTTTCTGCGCATGAACCAACTATTAGACGTATAATCCCTTCAGGCTGTGTGTAGTTTCGTAGACAACATATTTGAGATTTTATCAATGAATAACAGTCCAAAGAACTTGGGCCACTTTTCAAAGATTTCTGTGTGTTACAACATATAATTTCAACACTTTTATTATGCAAAATACCAAGTATTATGTATTAGAAAGATCAACTTTACAAGAAGTCAAAAGATCCAGCTCCTGTATGAGCAAATTTTAGATCGTTTTTGATCGCGGGACCAATTATTATTGAGAGGACGATCACTACTTCCACACATAATGTCCTTGATACATTTAGATAAACTTGAATAAAAACGCTTCAACATTTTTACCAAAACTACCAGAATGTTGTCATGAGATAAAAACATGTAGTCTTGCTGCTATAATTGATCTCTGAAGCTTATGCTTCATATTTAATACTTAAATCGGGACCAGGTTACCAAGTACTTAATCATTGCCATTATTAGTTGTATTTCTCAAACTTCAATATAGGAAGAAATTTTGATAAAATAATAATACCATTCTGTTAGTATGGCCGGTTTAAAAAAAGTTAGGCCGGCTAGGTTATTGCCCTACCTTTCTCTGGGAATTTAACATTAAACCAACATAAAAAGAATCGAAGAAAATGGAACAGAACTTATTAGTGGTGAGGGAATAACACGATTGAAAATGACTTTCAAAAGATTTTTTTTTTGAATTATGATGCAACAAGACAAAAGAACTCAAGACAAGTGGTAATTATAATTAGCGCCAGGGATGGCCAAAACTGAATATTTCACTTTCCCGAACACATTATGGGAAAATATTTTCGAATGTGGAATATTGAATGCATTCAAATTTGGGTTTAAGTTCATGTAGAAAATTACATAAATCACTATATCTTCATGTTAATCATATCAAAAATGACGTAAATAAAAATATTAATGTTTCTTCTGTATTGTTTGTTTTCAGTTGAGATATCGTACAGTGCGATCTGCCTGTCTGACAGCTCAAAATTCCATTAATTTAAATTTTTTTTTCATTGAATATAATGAATTTTAAAATGTATTCGAATATTCAATTCGATTTGAAAATCTATGATTAGTGCCTTTCAGGGGTAAAGCATTCTACTTTTCATATGCTAGGCTATTAACATAAAAAAAAACATACCGAGGATGAAAGATTCTCTGGTGTAATATTTTCCCGGTCCACACATGAGAGCGTTCTGTTTTCTATCATATGTATAGTTGGCTTTTATAAATAATATCTCCGTACATCCTGATTTTAACAATGTGATTTGATCCTTGAGGCTTAAGGAACTAAACAAATAAACACAAATAAAGTTATTAAGAACTCATGAGGTAATCATCTACTATATTATAGTAGATCAGTAGTGTGCAACCTGCGGCCCGCGAGCCAAATGTGGCCCACAAGAAAAAATTGTGCAGCCCGCAGTGAAGTGCCAATTTTGAATGGAGTGCGGCCTGCAAAGCGAGTTTTTAATTTGGTTTAGTAATCTGGTAGCAAGGTGCGAATATTTCCAATCCCTTTGCGTTGTAAAATCTATACCCGATCCCAGTTCATTGTCTATGCCTATGACGTTACAATGCCCTAACAGCTAGCTTGTACGAAGTGATCAACACATGTCATAGGATCAATAATCAAATTTTGTGCCTGCAACTACTGGAAAGCCAGAAGGTGCAGCTTGAGGTTTCATCCAGTTATTTATACCTAGTCCCTGCTGTATTGAAGGTTGCACATCTTTGTAGTAGACAGTAATATGTCATCTCAATGAAAAAATTATTCTGCTACTGAGTAGTACTGACGAATATTATTACCAATCAGAACAATATTTGGGCCATCTAACCAAATAGGAAAAAAAGACTATTCAACTCACGTTAAACAATTCCATTTGATACAATTATTTCTTATATTTACAAAAACAAGTTATCTTGAGCCAAGATGGAAATAGAAATGTCTGAAGAGGTTGGTTATATCATTGATTATGTGGTGTTCTCTGGGACAGGATTGATATAACTAACACTTAATCCTGAAGGTTGTAATTCTTAGGAATAAAAAGTTGCTTCGTGGTTAACAGGGATGTCCAAAACGAAATCAAATATCCGAATACAATCGAAATTCGTTATATTTGATTTAGTAAGTTCCTGAATTTAGGAATAATTTAGAATATTTTTATTTGAAAATGTCTTTTTCCGCATTCATTATCATATGTAGACAAAAAATAGGTACCTTCAGACAAAACGAAATACAAAACAATATTTATCTCGATTATTCTGCAAAGACTAAATTTGATTTCTATAAATTTACAACTGTCTGAAGAATTAGTTTTGTGGAACAGACCCATTTCCGAATATATTGGATGTTTGATTTTCAAAAAGATGTATTCGGAATACTAAATTGTTCGATATTGGCCATAGCCTACCTGGTGATTAAATTCATGGGCCACAAAAAAAAGTTTGATGCTATCAAACGAATCCTTGTAAATACCGTAAGTCTTGAATTACTTTGTTAATGAATTTGACTACTTAATCATAGTGATGTACATACAGATGATATAGTAATATCATAAAGTCCTGTTACTGTTACATTCAAAAATTTGTCACAATGTCAGTTCTTAGAATGTCTTAACCAGGTTTCATTATTTTATTCAATGTTTATTCAAGCTTTTTACACCATTTAATTCACCTTTATATCCCACAATCGGTTGCAAGAAGCACATTAAAATTATTTTACCTAATTTGATTCACTACTTCATGAACACCCTGTATATCGCATAATAACTAGGGTTGGGCATTTTCGAATACCTGATGATTTCAGAATCGCATCAAAAATTTTGAATTTCTGAATATCGAATATTTATTGAATATTTTGTATTGTATTGGGTCCTCCAGACACATCTATTATTGAATACACAGAATCGCTCACCCAGTTACTTGAGACAAACATGTTTCAGCAATAACTAACTAGAAAAAGCGAGTCATATGTCAGAATTGCATTGTAAAAATATTATGGTTTCAATAAAAAAAATTGTAGAATTCACCTCGACCTTTGGCAGACAGAGATTAAAAACAAGATGGCGGCATTTCAAAATTTCAGTCTGAAGCGATTCGAATAATTTATTATTCGATTCGAAACGCCCTCTACTGCCCTAATAATAACATACATGAATCAGACTTTTAATGATTCTCTCATTTCAGCTCTGCATGTTTGAGGATGTGAAAAATTTGGGAAGAGAATGATATTAAACAAAAATAAAACTTACATAAAACCTGGGATCTTTTTACAAAACTTGATAATCTCTTTAATGCTGAATTCCATGATAGCAGAAAAATGTTGCAAATGTGCTTTGCTTGCTCCAGCTTGACCTGGGGCTGTTGCTACAATATCTTGTGTCATTCGATCGATTCTAAAACAAGAAAAATTATATTTTACTAATTTTGAAATATAGGTATTATATTTATTACTAATAGTGAAATAAATAATAATTAATTTACTTGCGAGTTGTGACAGATATGTTAGTAGACACAGGTAATGAAACTGTTAACAGTCACAAAAACAGCTTGGTAAAAGAGAATTCCACAATTTTTGAAAAAGATTCTCTTATATACTGAAGACATACTGAATAGATCAGGAGTGGGCAATTACTTTCAAGAGTGGGCCAATTACAGATGACAGACTTGGTTACTGCGCCGAAGGCTTAAAACTCAAAAAAAAAAGGAAATACAGTTTATTTACAAATACCTAGCCTAACAGCTCAAGTGCAACAAAAATCTAGTGTACCGAGTGGTACATTGATGGGAGTGATGTATCCGAGGATTCGGTATTTTCATCGACATTTTAAACAAAAAATTTTATCCATAAAAACTATAGTTGTTATTTCAGAAGACACAAGTGGGCCGTATGAAACACTTTGATGGGCCGAATCCGACCGCGGGCCGTAATTTGCCCACCCCAGGAATAGATATAAAGTACAAATTTTTTTTCAGTTTGTATGAAGGTCATAATTTAATAGAAAACTCAGTCAGTCATATTTGACAATATAAATGGCATTCTACTTCTACGTTGTGCAAGCTACAGGCAAAACAACATGTCTGTTTTACGCTAGCAAATTTCTATTTAAAGGCAGCGTAGCAAGGCAGAAAACTATTAAACAAACTAACTCAAAATTGAAACAATGCATATACTTAAATAATACAAAGTGTGAACTCATTCAATGCTCATGCAAGCGAAGCAAATTTTTCACGCTTCATGTAGAAGAATGCACAACAAAGTCTTTTTGAAGACAACTGTCAACAAACGAGATCTCTGTGCGTATCTTTGAATTATTCATTACAATGGACAAACTTATTTTCTTCGGATAGACCTACTATGAAAATAATACCTAATAATAACATTAAATTTGAAACAAATGAAATTTAAATATTTGGAAGTTCACGAATAGTTTGTTATCTAATATATGACTGGTACAAAATGTCTATATTATTGAGTAAATGACTTACAGTTCTGAAAAACCAGATCCAGTACTTGATGCAGGGGAAGCATTTGGATTCTTTTCTTCTAGAACAATACCTTCTTCCTGTAAAAAATAATAAAGAATGTAAGTCACTTCTACTAGAATTTAATGTGTAACATGTCCATAATAGCAAATAACATAATACGAGGTAAGGCTAAAAAGAAACGGGACTGACGTCACAGATTGCGCAACACGATTAACCATCGGTAATCAACACTTTTGCAGTGTGGCGTAATATGTGTTCTTTGTTTAACAGATGTTTTGACACAATTTCGCATTTATTGTTGCTTTTCAGGATCCATAAGTGAATGTGATAAATATCTTGTTGAAAAAAATGCTGTGCGAGGTCTGATGGAGTTTTTTGGCGATAGGGGGTTCAATTAAAGAATGACGACTGAGCAAAGAATTAACATTAAATTTTGTGTCAAACTTGGAAAAACGGCAACTGAGACTTTGCAGATGTTGCGTGATGTTTATGGAGATTCTTCCATATCCAGAACAAGAGTTTTTGAATGACACAAGCGATTTGTAGGGAGGATGATCCGGGGTCAGGGAGGCCTTGCACTTCCACTACTGATACCAACATCGAAAAGGTTTGGCAGTTGGTTCGCAGTGACCGTCGCTTAACAATTCGCGTCATTGCCAAATAAGCCTTTCGACATAGTGAAGGCTATTAGCGATAATTATTAATTGTTTTAATGAAATACAGTTTGTTTGCCACTTTCATTTCTCTCGCAACTGCCGCCTATAACACTATAGAATGCTTTTGGCAATGGGAGAAACATATTGAATTGTAACAAAAATGAATGAGTTGTGAAAAACTGAGAATACAAGCGATAATAATAAGGGCGTAACGTGGAACGGCGAGCAAAACCAAAGCGTGTGATCAGCGGTGCGTTTGAAGACCACCTACCATCCGTGCGGTCGCGCAACTTTTACAATAATTTGAGATGCTCCGAAGACGCTCTCGTTTACATTAATATAAGAAAACAGTTCTAATATCGGTAACTATTAACCATTTTTTCGCGTTCGGCTATCGCACTCTTTATGGGTAGAAAATGTTCATGTTTTGTGATAGGTGTGCCGTGAATATTTAAAGAGCTAAATAGTAGTGTGCCGCGATATAAAAAAAGGTTGGGAACCGCTGCCCTAGATGCTCTAATATTTCTGCGTCGATATTACATGAAATAGAGACGTGATTTAATTGTCATGCAAGTTGTTTCAATCTTTTACTTAATCCCGAAAAATCCCGGGATTATACGGCTCAATCCCGGGATATCCCGATACCGGGATTTCAAAAACTGGTCCCGAAATCCCAACCCTACTCTTGAGTTGACTGAGGAGCAGAAAGCTCAACGATTGAATGCATGCCGAGTTGACATGAATTTTTCCAAGTTTGACACAAAATTTAATGTTAATTCTTTGCTCAATCGTCATTCTGCAATTGAACCCCCTATCGCCAAAAAACTCAATCAGACCTCGCACAGCATTTTTTTTCAACAAGAAATTTATCACATTCACTTATGGATCCTGAAAAGCAAAAATAATTGCGATATTGTGTCAAAACAGCTGTTAAACAAAGAACACATATTACGCCACACTGCAAAAGTGTTGATTACCAATGGTTAATCGTGTTGTGCAATCTGTGACGTCAGTCCCGTTTCATCTTAGCCGCACCTCGTATTCCAAAATTTATCTGGATTATTTATTTCCCTTGTTCTCTTTTCTTCATTATAAATAATTATAAATAAATAATTGGAATAATTGTAATTTTTAATTTTTCAGATTGTATAGCTATATTATATACATGTAGATAACTAGGTGACCGTACATTTGAACCCATGTACATTTGAACCCATGCGTATATCCACGGGTTCAATCTATATGCGGGTGCTAAAACCCATGGGTTAGGGTTAGTATGGGTTTAACTATCCGTGAAACAAAAAAAATCCCATAGGTGCAATAGCATACAGGTGCAATTGTCATGGGTTCAAATGTACGTGGGTTCAAATGTAATGGAACCAGATAACTAAATTGGTGAAAAGTAAGGAATATTACAGAGTAAATATATTAAATGGCGGTAATACTAATAATATAGTAATATGCTTTAATGTATAAAGTAATACACTTTATTTCACATATAATGATTGATAAAAAAAATCTAGTATATATCAATTTTTACACATATATTTGTAAAACAACAAAATATCAGATTACATAGAAAAGTATTTTCATATTTACTTCATTTATTCAAATTTAATTCCTTCTGGGCATATCTAAATGTCAACCGTAAACAAAAAAGGATTGGTTAATAGAGTACTAATTGTATAATCGTGACAAGTCTACCTAAGACTATATTGGTATGTACTTCATAAACAAAATAAAAAGAGAAAAATCAATATATCGAGTATTCAGATATCAATTATCGATATAATAGAATATACAAATGTTCATGGAAACCTTTATTTTAATTCATAAATTCAAAATGAAATTTAGTCATTTTTAAAACAGATCTGGTTTAATTACAGCAGAGTAAAACAGTCATCTAATTTTTAGAATTTGAGTCCCCATGTAGTACCGATAATTCACAATAAAATGGACATATTATATTAATTGCAATGGACGCATTTTATTAATTCACCGTTTTAGGGCCATTGTTAGGGGGTCGGATTACATGATCAGCTAATATGTGAAGGTATACGGTAATTCCCAAAATGACATGGATCCTAAAAGTCGAAAAGAATATAGTTTAGTAAACAGATTGAATAATCACAACTGGGTTTAAAGTTTCAGACAATTTACATACTACTACTAAATTTAGCATCTTCTTAATATTCTAAAATATAAATTATGCATGAATGAGTGAATGGCAAAGTTTGAAATTTCAGCCAGAAGGCAACAGAGCATTTTTGCCAATGAAACTGGAGAGGATTGATTTGGGTTAAGGATCTGCATATCAAAATAGTATGGTTAGTTTCTATTTCTTGTCTTCAATTCATTTTGATGTAAAACATTTCAAATTAAATCGATTATGAAATTCACATGCGAATTGGCAATATGAATTATATTGATGAACAATCGAAATATATTAGTTTCAAATGAGGTTCACCATCATGAATATTGACTATGATCATCGTAAATTTATGAATAAAGGTAAAGTGATTTTGCATAATTTCAATTTATTAAACTGTCTTATTTACTAAATTGACAATTTTACGGAATTTATGTAAAAACTGAATAATTGCATGTGAATTAAATTCTTTATTTCTTCCTGAGTGTTAATAAATATTAACAAATATAGATGCTGAATTTGATAATTGGTGCCTCAATAAGCACTGAATGTATTTCCTAATATTTTACTGTACAATTGCCCCTTGAACAAGGGTTTTGTTTACTCAATCGTGGTTACGTAATATTTGAAAGTGTACAACATACAAAAACGAGTTATGCAATAAAGAGTGTTAGTACAAGAAAATGAAAAACATCAGCATTAAATGGTTTCAAAATCTCTGGTTACGTTAAAAGACAATCTTTTCATGTTATAGGTCATACTGTTTCAGTAAATTATACTGACAACAACATACAAGCTTATTTTAATTCTCCTGAAAACAGTCGTTTAATAACTAATACATTAGGAGTTTCTGTACATGTAATGGTGTTATTTCAGTAGACTGTGGTTTTTATGTATAAAATCTAACAATCATCATTATGCAAGGCTGACAACTAGATATACCCAATGCCATAAATAGTTACGGTAAGTACTTAATCCTAATCAAAATGTGAAAAGTACTGGTGAACGTAATGGCATTAAATGTATTAAGCTTCAGAAACGTTTAATTGTTTTGTTATTCCCCCAAATTTTACTTATATTGTACTAATAAAAGCATTGCATTGCAATGTGAATTTAACAAAATTTATAACAAATAGATGGAGTGTCCACAGCACTAATGGATGGACGGTGTAGAGGTCAGTCGGACAAACAACAAAGTATGATTTGTGACTGAACTTAATGGTGATGCAAGCTTGATATTTTCACAAAAATTTTTCCTAAATTGTTTAATACACGAATGCATTGAATTGAAAATGGAACATACTCCTAATGCAAAGCGGATGATGGTCTACTACACTGGCCACGACTGGACAGCAAAAGGGTCAGTTTCTATTAGATAGAGCATTTTTGACCAGGGTGTAATAGATTAGGTAGGCCATTAAAAAAATTGAAAGATATCGGCCTTTATGAAGTAGTGGATCGTTACATCATTGACAGCTTGCACAGAACCATATATTTAGTTGAGGTTCAGAAATACCTCTCATAAAAGATCAACCAACCCATCCCTTGTTCTACACTAGATCATCGAACTATTACTATAAGTCTATAATCAATTTCCTATTATCAATATAGGGCATTCTACAAAAATACCAAGAACATGGGAAAGTTGGAACAGCTTTTATTGGCAACATGACTCTAAATCAAATTAGAAAAAACTTTACGTCAAGGATGAAAATATTACCGATATATTCGGAGGATTATTTGTCTGGCAATGTGATGTAGTAATCAACTCAACGAGGCTTCTTTTTTCAGGTGTATAGTCAGAAGGTTTCCATAAGATAATATTTTTCTTTATCCGATTATTCAACATTAAATTTTTCTTCATTTGAATTTCAGAATGAGACATTATACCTGAAAAATATGACAGTGTTAGGTGTTGGAAATGAAAATATTAAACCGTTGAGTGGACTCTCGTTGCTATTTGTGCCTATCTGAGTGAGTGTCAACTAGACCTTATCACTCTGAGTAGGTTTTGCTACAGAAGAAATATCCTTAACAGTGTTATAGGTGTTGGAAATGAATATATGAACAGTTGAGTAAACTCCCGTCACTGTCCTCTAAAATGACATTTGTGCATATCTGAGTGAGTGTCAATTAGACCTTACTCAACAAGAGTAGTTCTTATTACAGGAGATTAATCTACGACAGTGTTATAGGTGTTAGAAATGAATATATTGACAGTTGAGTGGACTCTCGTTACTGTCCTCTAAAATGAAATTTGTGCGTATCTGGGTGAGTGTCAATTAGACCTTACTCATCGAGAGTAGTTTTTGTTACAGAAGAATTATCTACGACAGTGTTTATATAGGTGATGGAAATGAATATATAAACAGTTGAGTGGGCTCTTGTCACTGTCCTCTAAAATGACATTTGTACATATCTGAGTGAGTGTCAATTAGACCCTACTCATCAAGAGTAGTTTTTGTTGCAGAAGAATTATCGACCATCTTCTCTTATATTGAAAGCCTCGTATATGGGATTCAAATGTGGCTAAATTTAAACAGTTACCCTTAGTTACTGTGTTTAAAAAAATCATTACGGTATATCTCAAGTTTAAAATAGCATATCCAAATTAGGCCAATAGGTCAATGGTTGAACTGACCAGAGCACACCTAAAACTGAAACTAGATGCCAGATTAGTTGCGTCAATGTGCCAACAGCAAGTCTATCATAAAGTTAAAAATAGGATTTGGATTCAGAAATGAGATTAAAATAAATATTGACCAAATGGAAAATGATTCTCTATGTGAAAAGTTTCCTTCTTATAATTGATTATCTAAATGGGCTATTCCAAGTGACACTACAGGACAATTCCAGAAATTTTGCATGTTGTTGGATGCAATATATTTTCACATTTTCAGTTACATGTTTTGTTTCATTGTCCAATCAGTTGCTTTATTGAATATGTAAAAAATTGCACAAAAGTTACACCCAAGACTTACTTGATATATAAAAAAAATATAGTAAAATATAGCGTGACACTACAGGACGGCAAATCCACCATGCACTAACAGTACGTTGTGTTATGCTGTAAATTTTTGCGATGGTACAGTGGGAGCCCATAATATTTTCTGGTGCAGTAGCTGAACTACCCCTCTATGTGTTGCTCAAGTTACTTAATGTAACACTGTAAATCCATGCCAATAATGTGCATATTGTATGTGACACTACAGGACGTGACACCCCAGAACATTTTTCCATTTCGGAAAAGCGGCCTCTATCATCTCTTAAAATTCTGGTAATAAATCGTTAAATGGGTGAAGAAATGTCCTACAGCACTGCAAACATTTAAACTTTATCAACTTAAATCCAGTGCGTCAATTCCATATGAAATAACTGTACCACACAATAAAACACTTCAGGAATCATCACAAAATATGTCAATTATACCAAAATTTCTACATTTCAGGCCATTTTTTATAAACCATCAAAAACCTGGGTGAAATTTTATATTGTTCGATGAAATGAATGCAGTCCAATAAATTTCCAATGTCTTTTGATATCAAAAATAAAAAAAATTACTTTCACTACACTTTTTAAAAAATTGATGGAATTCAACTTTTGCTTGGAATGGCCCAAACAAATATGGAGAGAATAATTTAAATGTGGAAGAAAAAATCATTGATGTTGACCTGCCACCAATATAAGATATATTAATGAATGAGTGCTAAAATGTGATCTGGTCTTTAAATTATTGAATATATATGGCCAAACATGTCCAGAGCGCACCAACTACATATGGTTATTTCCTATTTCTTATCCCCATGTTCTCAATAACAAAAGTACTACAAAACCACCATACCATGACGAAACAATATCAAGTGGCCGCTATTGTATAGATTGGTATTGCACACTGTGAACGAGGTGTGAAATGAACTGGATCTATCAACACATTTTGAAAGGCACGATATGAACATTTTTTCTTTTGAATGTGATTTTGGTACGATCATTTAAATCAAGTTTCAAAATTCAAGGAATTCAGATGCAAATTGCAAAGAACTCAATGAAAGAAAACTGTTATAATATACGTATCAATAAATCATATCTTTTTCCTCGAAACTGTAGGCTTTTGAAAATTAAGGATGTAATAATGTCAAATCTGCCATTTTAAATAAATTATGAGATAGTATTTAATTAAGAATATGAAATATGGAATAAATTAGAAATGATCATATTCAGCATTGAACAAGTAGAAGCCATTATATATCCAACAAGTTTAAATTTTGTAATAAAGTTGACATAACTAATCATTTAATTTTGAGTGTTCAAAATATTCCGAATGATTTCCAAACTCAAAAATCCATACCATATGAAATGAAACCAATTAGAAATTGATTCGATTATACAATTGGTATTTTAAACAATTCTGATCAAAGTTTTTTTGAAAAAATATATATCAAAGCACTTGAATAAAGACATCCAAATTCTAGTGAAGGGAAATTATAATGAAGCTGTCCAGCATGTTTTGAAATATGATACTTTATTTAAACAACGAGCTATTCACGGTGGACAAATACATTCTCTCAATGCTCGTCCTACTTTTATTAAGCTATGGTTTCAAGTTACGTGAGAGACAAGGGTTCTCTATGAACGTCGTAGCAGCACTCACACGATTGCCGATGCTTTTGTCCCAAAGGGTTTGCTTGACAAGTATACTACAGTTCTATTTCAAGATTGGGTGGAGAGTTGATAGATTGAATCAATTTATACTATAAAAACATGAATATTAAACAATTTTATACCATGAAGATTTGGGTAACTTAACCTGAAAGAATATAAATGTTATTCAACACAAAACATCAAAGTGAAATAAAATAACAATCCTCAAATATAATGACACAAATGCCAAATGACTAATATGTAATATGGTCACAGCAATGTCAGTAAAATGTTCAAAATTGTACCGAATATCATTTAAATGTTAAAATTGTTGTACAAAATAGCATATGTCGGTGACGGGAAGTTTATAAACCTCTAAAATTTTAGGTGACATATGTGGCCCATTACTCAATAAATACTCATCACTCATCAGACAAATAATTAGGGAAGGAATTTAAAAAATAAATGAAAAAGTAAAAGCCGAACTAGAGTTTGAAATCTACTGGGTGATTATTTGTGGAGAAAAGTATTTTTAACAGTGACAACGACAATTTAGCAAATGATTCATACGTACACTTTATATTTAATTCTTATTTTGTTTTATCAGATCAAATAGATATTAGTATTACCCTCTCTCATGTCACCTTCAAATTTTCTAAGGAGATTAGTATGTAATATGGATATTCAAAGTTTCAAACATATCTTCTATGAATTAAATAATTTGAGATTTTTTATACCATCAAGATGGCAGTTTATAGTCTAGTTAGGTATAGTAACAGCTAACTAGTTTGATGCTCCAGACGCATGGACATACTTTTTATATGTTTCATTATTATACAATATTAGTACAGTATAGTTAGGAAGTTTTGGATGAAAGATTCATTTTAAAAGAGGAATGCAATTAGCAAAAAAAAAATTGAATTTTGGAAAAATCATTTTTATCAGTGAATATTCAACATCCGTGTTAGAATTAAGATGTGTCATATCCTCACTAATGTATTAAAAACTAGAAAAATTAGTCATTCAAATGTGTTTTGAATCAACCTATGTTTTCTCTGCTCCTGATAACACTTTTTGAAATAGGAATAAGCGCTGCTGAGTAATAAGTGGTTTTCGATTAGTGAAGCATAAAGCAAACAAAAAAACATGAATTAAAGGGTCTTTAATGTCTACCGCAGTACGATAAGAAACGTTAAACGGAAATTATAGTCAATTTTAAAACCTAGAAATCGTCATTTAAAGAGTATTGAGAAAAGACCTAATTCAAATCATTATATTATATATTTGAGGATAAATCACCATTCTACCTTCATTAGAGACATCATGTTAACTAAATTAGGCTTTGCCAAACATGGTTTGTTGATAAAATTTGCCCAGCAAGGAATGACTGTGTATGATACAAGAATTAAATTGCTCAATTGTGATTCAAATGTGGAATTATTCTGCTAAGCATGGGATACTGGTAAATCACACAACTCACCAATGGTTCAAGCCAAATTTTAAAAACAATATTTTTTAAAGATAAAACATCAGACAAATTTCTAATATAGGATAACTCTTGTTACATGTTTATTCACTACTTTACAAAAATCATGGATGGAAAACTACAATTCCGGACAAAGTATGACTAAATCCTTATCATTTAGACTGTTTAGCATACACAAATCAGTAGCGATAGTAGTACTTTGTTGCGAAAATTTATCAAGATGATGAGTAAATCCGGTCATTACTGACGCACCATTACGAATAATACGTCAATGCATCAATCTCCTTTATCTAAGTTTCTAGTAGTAAATTTTGACAAGTAATTAAGCTTTTTGTCCAGGTTTAATCAATAGTACAGTCTCACAAGATTTTTAACTTGACGTAAGAATAATATTTACATACAGTGGCGGATATAGACCTTTAAAACGAAACTATCAGTATTTACTATTTCTGAAATATATTCAAAATATATAGATATTAAATAATATTTGGGTGTTTCGAAGGCATGAATGCATAGATAAATTATTTTAAAATACTCATTGTGGAATTATTTTCAATAATTTACTTATTTGGGTATGCTTTTCAACCAGTTGATACTGATATTATGGACCTCCATCCATGTCCTACACTCACCAGTAAATGAAAATAGATATTAAAGTGAATGTAGGGTGTGCCAAAAATGTTACCCTTTTTCTGGCCAAACCTGTACATTAATACTTAAACTAAAGACTAAACTTGTGTCATCATTGTGAATAACTAAGGATTTTTGTACAAATAAAATCCTGTGTAGCATTCGCGATGATTATACTTAATTATAATTTTAATTTTATTCAAATCTTATTATTTAAGTCTTATACATGAAATATGGTATAAGAGTTCATCACTGAACAAGGGTATTACCAAATAGTTCAATATTTCAGACTTTTCAGTTAAAAATCCATAATATAAGAAATTATCTTACATTCTTTTTTCATGCCAATACGAAGGCACTTATCAAGACGGCAAGCTTGGCACTGTCGGCGATTACTTTTTGTTATCGTACAATTCCCAGTATATGGACAGGTAAAGTTCTTTGAATTCTTCATACTTCGTCTGAATTATTGAAATCAAAAATATAGTAAATACAGTAATTTTGAATCATGTAAGCATCCCAAAAACATTCTATCATGTTCATATGATGATTTTTAGTGTTAGTATGTCTAAGTGATAACGCTAAAATGTCATTCTTCATGATCGTGAGATTTGGGTTGCAGGGGGCATTGTGTATAATTATTGAAGAAATGTCAAAGATAATTTAGTTTGCCACTGCAAATTGATTTGACCATCCAAGTGCACTATACTAATACCAAATAATGTTATAAATTAAAGATATTCAATGATAGGTAGGATGCATCCCAGCCAACTATCGATTTATATATTTATCAGGAGCATAGAGACAAAAGATTATAAATAAACTTCAATTCATAATCAATTACAATGAGATAATAACGTTATGTTAACAAAAATTTTCAACATCTAAAACTGAAACCCCCTGAATGGAGCATGAGAAATGTGAAACAATTGGTTTAAGTACAAAAGTTAAATAGCAAGTATAGCACTATTCCAGCTAATTACAATTACCAAAGCAAATGAAGCTTGGTTCAGGCAAAGAGCACAAACCATGTATACAGAATAGTTTTGTTCTAACTCAGTATTCAGGAAGTAGTTCAGTAATATGATGCTGTATTGATATCCCTTTTCTCGGTGCATTTTTAGCAGCGTTGAGCTAATTCTCAAGGCCTCATGTTCTAGCTTTGCCTACGTTCGTTCAAAGAGACTAAATATTGTATTTTTTTAGTTCAGTCGCAAATTTATATCACAAAATGGAACTCTATTATGCCACTTTTCAAAACAACATTAAATATGCTGGTACAGCACTAATAAATAATCGTGAAATTAATTCAATTTATGTGAATATTTGGATTTTAGAGATCACAATTTTTAGGCATACTAGAACAGCCTAAAATTTGAAAATAATTTGATAAAAAACAGCATAACTCAAAAATGAGTACTATATTGTTAAGTGAGGATGAGTCATTACACGGCTATGTAAACAAGTACCACATGATACCTTTAATGTGGAATTAAAGTCTAGTGGATATGCTGTGTCAACGTAACTATTTTAACAAAGCAATTCATAGTATGAATATATGAATAATGTCAATAACAAACCTATACGATAGAATAACATTACTATACATATATGTATAGAACCGTGGTTTCAATCAGAGATGGGTAAACAAATTGAAATTTCAGATATATTTAAATTTCTTTTTTTCTTCTCAGAAGTAGAAAGAGAGCCGTAGTTAATTCAAGAAATGAAAAGTTTCTTTTTGAAAAACAGTATTGCCCTTAGGTGAAAAAAAAGGGGTTGACAAAGCTTTTCCTTGGCCTGGAATTGATTCAGTATTATCGTGTGACAGCGCTATCACTAGTTTTCTGATCTATTTTCTGTTTAATTAGGTTTTAAATTATCATAATCTACCTAAGATGAAATAGGAATAAAAGAACATAAATCGAAAAATCAGTGGCGGGGCACTAATGCATTATCTGTGGTGGTACTAGTTATTCGGTCATGGCGAGGCCAGATTGTTTGGCCAAGTGATATATTCTCCCCAACTTTGCTTATTATTGAAAAAAGTACCTCAGCCAAAAGTTTAAAAACTCTGGTTGTGAATGAAGCACCATACGAGGTCATTAAAAATAATATCATATTTCTCCTCACACAACACGCATTAGATAATACGCATGTACGATTTTGCATGCAGATCGCAAGAATTTTTTAGTCTTCATGCATAATATGCATAGCGTATTTCAGTTCCTCTTTTATGTTATAGGTGCCGAGGTTTTTCACACATTTTGTCTGCTTTTTCTTAAATTATATCTCTGATTAGATATGTTGTCTTATATATTGTCCCCAATTTTCTGCCAATCATAGCATGCTGTTTTGTTAGACCTTAAACTATCATTTGTCTCCGAGCTCCTTGAAAGTTTTTATAAAGAAGCATTGGATTACAAACCTGAAGAACCCTTTACATCCTTCACAAGTCAAAGCATTGAAATGATAGCCTGTAGCTTTATCTGCACAAACTTGACAAATCTTCCACGAATCATCATCGTCATCATCAAAGAAAAAATTTGGTACTTGATGTTGTTGTTGCAATTTCGTTGGCGTTTTCATTGGTTTTTGAGAAGGTGGCCTGAAGATTTTATAAACCATGTTTGAAATCCAAAAAAATATTTAAAATTCGTAATTTTAAGAAATTTTAATTTTGATTTGATACATGTAATTTTAAACAATAGAATAAGCGCTGAATTGAAGGAAATGAAGTATGTTTGAATCCATTTTTATGTATTTAATGTATGATCTTGGAGACATAATTTGATCCAAAAATTTGTCCAAAAATTTACAAATTCTAAGATGTTAAAAATATATTATAATCTCATTTTTTAAAAGATGAAGAACTCATTGAATAAGTGTATTAGAAATAATAACGCAAATATGGACTGTAAGTCAATATTTTAGAATAAAAAAAACTATTTGGAGATATTATCAAAATTTTCATCAAAGCAAAGACATAAACTGTGCATATTTATAATTTTTTGTTAACTACATATGGGCACATGTTGTATGATAAATCACTTTAGATTAGACATCAACCTCCACGTAATGTACATGTAATTTTAGGAGTCAGTACAAGACACCCGCTGATCAATAATTTTAGTGCATGCATGCGACATGAAAACGACCTTAAGAAAGTTCATATATAAGGACAGTTTGTTTGCTATGAATAATTAATACAATAACAGTTACACTAACAAAGGTCAACATTTTATCTAAAGTCAAACATAAAAGACTACACTGAGGTATTTTGTTGTATTAAAATAAATCTGCTGTAGTAATTGATGATTGTTTTAATGTCGTACTGTATCTATAATTATAATTTTTCCATTGAATAACTTTGAAATTCTTGATTTTAAGAATAATTTAAAATATTTTCATTTTTTCAAATTTCATTTCATGCATTTGAAATTCTATAATCACACGAAGAACAGGTATATTTAACTTCTGAAAACAGTAGAAACCCATCAAAGCAACTTTTATGACCACCTTATCATTTAGGTAATTAATCCCAATGTATATAGGAATAGTCTTATTAAACATGATATGTGAAACATGAACATAAAAATATTGCTCTAGAACGGGGGTTCTCAACCTGGGGTTAGCGAACCCCCAGGGGTTCACGAGAAGATTTCCAGATGTACTTGGACGGCAGTCGAGTTTTTGTGTGTTATTTAATATCCTTTATTACTACCAGAGGAAAATGTGTGTCGATTGAAACTAGATGCCAATTGAAACGTAGATTTTCTCTGATGTTGCTTTGTTGTGATTGTGATGCAACAATGTGAAATTCACGGCTTTGCAGGCAAACTGTGAAATCTCGAAAGATGGCGTGCTGCGAGCATTGGAGAAAGTGATTATGCTTATTAAAACTTAAAAGAGAGATTTTAAATGGAAATTCAATAGTTAGGCGAAGGACAAGGGCAATAATATCAACACGAAGATTTAATTTAGTTACACCCACATCTGGTCAATAAATTGTTGTTTCTATAAATCGTTAGTCAATATATCACAACTTTGTTCGGTGTCTGATTACTGGGGGTTCGCGTTGATTGTTTCGCGACTCGGGGGGTACTTGACAAAAAAAAGGTTGAGAACCCCTGCTCTAGAATATATTTAGAATTGTAAATTACTCAATTTTAGCCACCCAAGGGTGAACAATGCAATTGGTAAGTACATAATAAATACTAAATACTAAAAATAAAATCTGAATGGTATTCAAATATCTCATTTAAAATAAGAATTATCTTGATACTGTATATAAATTTCAATCACAAAAAATTTAAAAATCTAAAATGTTTAAATGAATCATTTCAAACCGTCAGTTAAATGAGGGGAAATTGGTAACTCCCAAAGGGATGATTATACTAAACAACATAGGATTTCCGCATTATTTCAATATATCACACAGACAAGTGCGTTCACTTTACCGATAGTGAAATCATTGTAGTTTACTTCAGCGATAGGAAAGTTATTATTCAAATAGATCGCGATAGCCTGAAGAATACCTAGCATGTGTTATTATATAATTTATTGTCTCATGGATAATTCTAGTATTGTATGCAAAGTCAATGGGTCATATAGAGTTTAAGGACAAATTTATACCTTGAAGCAGAATCGTGACTCAAACGATCCATATTGACAAAAGGTTAAGAGTATCCATATTTAAATTTCAATTTTACTTTGGCTATGGCTATAGCTATATTTTCAAAATTTATGCCATAGAAATGAATTTGATATGCAAATGTTTTTGTTGAATAAATTTTATTAAAATTAGACATATTGTCTTAAGAAAAGCATACAAACATGATATACAATAACAAGGGATGTCATTTCGAAATTCCCCTCATAATGGGAATAAAAATTTTCCTTTTGATAATAGGTAGGACAGTATGGATATTCCATATCCAAGTAATTTGGTCTTTCAGAATTCCGAAATATTTTCAATATTAATATTTATTCTAATTCAAATACAAAATGTAGAATGAAGTCAATCAGGTTAAAAATATCAAACAAATAACAGAAATATATCTTTAAGAAAAATATGGTCGTCGTTAAAGAAAAAAGCATCATTAAAAATTCCAATTCAGTATCATAATCACTAGATTATTTAAAAATATTAATCTTAAAATTGAAGCTTCTTATAATCTGATTGATATAACAATATTTATTAGAATATAAAAAATACCCATAGCCTATCGCAACAGATTAAAAATCAAAAAAATTAGTTTGCAACAAATAAATAGGCCTCCAAAAATTAATTTCTTCATGATAGTATTTATAATATCTTTGTCACGATTTACTTTACATCATCATACTGGTCAATGATATAAAGCCTTATCAGTAGTGAAAGGCGTGAATAACATTAGGTAAAAAAATATGTTATTGAAACTATGAAAGAACTTATAATTCATTACATAAGATGCCATATAACCGAGGAAAATTTTTTCAAATGAGTTAGGAAATGTCAATTAAACATAGTTACCTGCTTGGTGTTGTTGGCTTAGGTGTATAAGAACTACTAGTGGAACTATTAGTGGAAGAATGAGAAAAATGTCTTTCATCATTAGTAGATGAGAGAGATGTATAGGTGATAACTTCATCTGGATAAAAAACATAAAATATTAGGTACATTACAAGATTTGCAACAATATATATATGGATCATATATGATCCCGATACCTAAAATCTAGAAGTCTATGATCAGAACATTCACTTAAAAGTTAAAATGATTCGAACAGTTTGGTATATTGCTGTAAAGCGTAGCTAACGGAAGCTATCGAGTATCAAGTAAGAATGTATAATAAGATTATATGATATCAATTAGGTTCCTATGAGACTAACTACTTCTTCGTCTTCTATGCTTTCGCGTCGGTGGATCCGTATGCATATAATGCGAGGATGCTGTAGCAAGGGTGAAGATAACTATCCCAAGTGATTCAAGAGACTTGCTGCACACTAACACAAATATATTTCAGTAACGTTTCGTCTGACCAAAGGTTACAGAAATATATTTGTGTTAGTGTGCAGCAAGACTCTTTATTCACTTAAGATTATACGAGTTGAAATATTTAGTTGCAGACCATGCCATAACTATTTGCTAATTACAGAACTGATCTGAAGTCTTTCATTCTTCTTACGTACTGGTGCATATAATACCACTCAATAATTGTTGCTACAAGCAAAGATGAATATTATTTCCCATTTTGACAATTAAAAAAAGTGAACACAAATATCTATCGGGAGATCTGACTTCGTTCACACAAGGAAAAATTTTATCAAAAGAGCAGTAATATCATTAGGTTTTTCCCAAAACACACAAAAAGACATTATTAATGATTACTCACTTTCGTTCACATCACTCTCCTTCGAAACCATATAAGAGGATTTGTAAAAATCAGGATTAGCAGATATCGTACTTGTATATCCAACAATTCCCGATGTATCCGAAGGATTAATGATAGGTTTGGTTTCAAAACAGTGATTTGGAGGATTGACAAACGGACTTGCATACCTGAAATTATAAGTTATGTTTACAAAAATATTGTACGAGAATGAATTAATTAAATGGAATAGAGAAGATTCATTACAGTCAGAGTTCCCTTCTTCAATGAGACTCAATTTTACGTGGAAAGTAGGAATTGATAACTTTTTGAGATTAGTGCCGAGTTTATATCCATGAAGGCTATGTAACAAATTCATAAAAATATTATTATATTCAGGAAATTGGATATAAAACAGAATCTCATTCGAATATTAAATTGCAAGGTATTTATTTTCAATAAAATTCAGAAGAAGATCAATAGTAAGTTCAGTAACTATGTATATAATAATATAGTATAAAATGTATGGTATTTATTTGGTTGACTCTGGGGCTTCAATAACCTAAAAAGACCAAACTTGAAAATTTCTGTAGCTTTTCATTGAATGACTTTTGGTGAATATTGCTTCGCACTATGATGAAATACAAGCGTAAAAAATACCAATGCCTTTGTAATATTTTTGAAAAAATTTCTCAAAATTTCAACATTCTCCTTTTGGTTTCGAAATCCTTTTTTATCGTCAGGTATCATAAATTTTTAGTCCCACAACCATGATAACAAATTTTGGGCTCTTCAATTTACCACTCATAAAAATCATATTTCACAGAAAAAATGAAGTTTTAAATAGATATTTTTTTAAGAAATCATTAATGTTACCAGTTTATTTAAATTCAATACTACGAAGATCCATGTTTAAAAAAGAAACAAGGCATATTATGACTTTACATTATAAACATAGAAAGTTTAGATTAACTGTTAATAAGATAATCAAATATGCGAGTGAACTACTAACCTCGGATCATTGTATGTTTGTAGATCTGTTTTGGTGATAGAAGCATTTTGCATCGGCATATCACATTGCATTTTTGCTGGTGATGATCTTTCAATGAAACGTTTGGGGGGAGGTGAGAGTTGAGTGGGTGACCGAGTGCAACCTGAAAGAATAAATCATTATCATTCAGATTAGACTAAAATTATTGAAAAATCCAGAAAGATAACTTGTACTTATTGAAAATGCTGTTCTACGTTTATAGACCAGTGTTACAATAAAAGAAGGCCCTATTGGGTTCCTACACAGAGAAACTACCAGTTCCTATAACACATTTACCTGGTCCAATAAAAGTTTTAAATTGCTATTTATGAGCACTGCATCACATGTGTAAGGTAAAAAAACAACAGTTTTTTAAAAGGTTAAGAAGTTGAGACTGTTAGGTACCATAATTATATGGTAAATTTCAACTTGAAAATAAAAATTTATAATGTGAAATAGACACTTGAGTATATAAAGGAACTATTTGTAGAGAATAAATATTTTTATGTAAGTAGGCTATTCTCAAATCAAGGTTCAAATCCCACAATGAAAAGTGTAGTCACGTAGTGATAGAAGAGTTGGAACTGATCACTGATGCACTCACTGAGAACTATAAATTTATCCTCACAACAGATATATCAGTGGATACAAGTCGGCATGATTAGAAACAATTCAAGTCCATATTGTCAGGAAAGTAGCTAAGTGGATGGGAAAACATATAGCATCACTTTTTCAAAATTAGAAAGCCTGAGTATTGTATTGACACAACAAGCATCTTCTTGGGTGGCTTAAAATCATAGTTTTTTTCAAAGTAAATATTCCATACTTCAATTACAGCATATGTGTATGAGTTCTATAAAATACAATTAGGTTATAAAATTTGTAGCTGTTATGTATCCAGTAACACCATATGCTATATCTTACCATAAGTTTTGTTAGAAAGTTGACTGTTGGTCATTTGTGTATGTTGACCTTCATCTTGCATAATCAATTTTCTTTCAGGAGGTGAATTTGAATCGCTGTTTCTCGAGTCTGAATAGAAAGTCTCCGTTCCAGTTGACATGCTGTAAGGTCTATTGTTATCTGTGAAAAAATTTTAACAAGATTAGTTAGTGCTTCAAAATATTATTATGATACTTAGGGTATACTTGCCATGAATGATCTTGTGAGAAAAATAAGATTTAATAAATATATAACCTTGGTTTGGTTATATACCAAAATGCCTCAGAAACCGGTTACGAGAATTAGATCAGCCTATGAATAAATGGATTTATAATTCAATATTAAAACAATAAACATTTAAAAAGGTTTGAGAATGTAAGAAATTGAATGTAAAACGTACTTGAGTCTGTTGAAATATTATGAAGTTATTTATGATATTATACTGTCTCACCTTCGCTACCATTAGCTGGTGAACTGTAATATTCCTTGTAAGTTTCAGTAACTGATACAGGTACAAATCTTGTGTCGTTTACTGGATCGTAAGAACTTTGGGAAGTAAAAACTGAATTCTGGTCATTGTTGAGTGGACGAATATGATGATACTCCATTTCAGGAAGAGATGGATTGTATCTGAAAAATCATTTGTAACTTTGAAAGTGCTTCTACAATACTTTTGGAACTGCAATCTGAGTGTGGTGGAGAATATCTACAGTGGCAGAACCATATTCAATTTCCAAATGTTAAAATTAACTCAATATCACAGCAGAACTATGTTGCATCTGGATATCTACAAAAACTGCCAGGACCTCATAATTCTTTTGGCATCAGTTTATTGGAATTTCCAGTTTCCACATGACATCTCTTTCCAATAGCTCAAATTATGCATTTGAAACGCATTTGCGTTCTTGTTTGGAAAAATTTCCAAGAATTATTCAAATCAAACAAAGAAGCCAGACACAAACACACACAGTAGCCTTATAAAAGGAATTGTATCTTATCACAAAATAAAGTCAAATAAAAAGAAGTAGGCAGTAAGTTTGCCCAAGTTACTTTTATGTTGATAGTTTGATGTTTCAAATCATTTGATTTTTAGACACATCCATGACATTCACAACAGTTCAGAATATGGATGATTATATGGTTTTAATCGTCTTTTGAGTGGGCTCCACTGTAGAGGGTTTTCTACACTTCTATAAAACTGTGCATGTTATTCTATATTACATGTAGAAAATCAATGTTTTCAAACTTATCACAGCTAAAGTAGATAGAACACAAATAACATTGTCTCCCACAATTTTGAGCCAATTGATGCACCAAATTTAATAAAAAAAATCAGGCAAAATGCAGTAACTAATTTGATATGATTTATGATAATGTAGTAACTATTACTCCCCTTTACTAACTTTCTTCGAGTTTGTTTATCTTAACACTAACCTAAGATAAATAAAAACAAATAGGAAAATCAGTGGTGGGCAATACCATGAATTTGATATTATCCAAAATTCTATACCTGTGAGTTGGATCCAACTTTATCATTGATGTGGATGCGACCATCATCCTGCCAGCACAATTAGGCAGTTCCAGTGCAGAGTTTGTAGTTTCTTTATATTCCGTAATTTTGAGACTCTTTGCTCAATGCAGGTTTTAATGACAAGCATTACATTTAATAAGCACAGAATAATATGATGTAATATAATCCAGTATTGATTACTGTATTAACTGCTATGTTACATGAAAGTAAACTTATTTTACATTGTGTCAAAATAATGTCTGAGAAATAAATGTAAGAATATTAATACAGCTATACACTGCCAAACGATTGATGATTGAGACACATTATTTATTGATAAATTGTTATCAAGAGTTTTAGCTTGTATAGAAACATATTCAAAATGATGGTGTGAATCATTTAATGAAAAAAATTGAGCAATGCTCGAATGTTTGGAAAAATGAAATATATTAAAGTGTTTGACTATGTATGGACCCAAAATAAATTTGGAAAAAGTATAAGGTAATAGCCTTCTATTGATTCTCCAAATTAAACTACTGAAATTCAATTGGTCTACCATATGAGCTGAAAAGCTATTTTCCCCAACAAGAACAATTTAGCAAGAGTACACTTCTTGTCTAATACTAAACAGTCGAAATATGCTGATTCAAAAAGAAGCACTGCACTGAAAAAGGAATGGTGATCAAGTATATATCAAATCAAGTAACCTGATCTCCTGGTTCTTTAACTATCTCACTCTGTAACTACCGTAATCTCTAATTTTGAAAAAGTTACATAGAATACGTAAAAATACCATTAGCATTAGAGATATTACGATTTACGCAGTTAAGGGACAGATAAAATGATAGTAGCTGCAATATCTTTATACTGCGAGATTATGTTGCAATCAATTTATTCACTAGCACATATTGATCAGCCAAAGCATAAAAGTCTAGTGTGGTCGTCAGAAATACAAAAAAATTATAGGCATAGATAACAAGTCATTCTCCAATGAACTCGCAAGTACACATTTAAAATATCATGACAGATGTTCTGTTTGATCTGATATGTCGTAATATTGACAAATCCATATTCAGTAAATACTGAAATAGCTACTGAATATATTCAAACTTATTTCGACTGAGATTTTTGCTTCAGGCTTCAAAACTGTATAGAGTTCATTTTTGCAAGTTACATATACCTCAATTTTTACAGCATCTATCAGCTTTTAAAATTATCGCACCTTTCAACTAAAATCCATAATCTCAATCTAAAATCACAGCATTTCTAGACAGTTCAGTGCCGAAATATCGTCATATGGCCACCATGCAGTTGCTATCCAAGACCCTACCTAAATCAATTAAATAGGTTCTTGTGAGAATTTCCAGGAAAAATACCAGTCATATCTATTTGCATGTAAATACCGGTATGTAAATGCAGGCACAACCGAACAACAATTGAACTAATGACCTCTTGATAAAATCAAAATGACAAAGCGTCAAATCAATATAAACACACCATACTGTTGGCCTAATCAATACAATGCACTGAAGAAAGGCTATTAGCATTTTTCCATTGTACTTTTCAGAAACAAAATCTAATACAAATACAGGGAAGTTTCTCTGAATATAAAAACATTAAATCTGTAAATCGATAACTACAAGATATATCAACTTAGTAAATTAGTATAAATTATAAGAAAAAAAATTCTCCATCCTAGGTATTATACGTGGAAACTGACTCATAGGTGCAGTCCATAAATGTTACAGGCTTGATTGTCTCTAAATACAGAAATAGATATAAAACGACTGGACATAAAAATAGAACGTTTACAAAAACAGTAGTTATCAGAATTACCAATCTTGAAAAAGCAGCCAATCTAGTATATGAATCTGATAGGGTTAAAGAACCAAATCTTTCAATTCCATGGCATGCCTTCCTGAGCTAATGTATTACATTTCTTCCCTAACTCCTTATAAAAAACAGTCACACTGTATGGCATAGCACAGCAAGTTCAACTGACCAGATTCAGGAATGTCCCCACTACAGTCGTGTTTATACAATCTCACAATAAGATTTACGGGTATAGTCTACAATATTACAATAAATGATACAATTTGCTGATTTGATTAAAAAGTTAAAGTCAATAAACTCATGTCTAAAAGCTAATACTGAAATACTATAGCATACAGAGTCATATACAGTCATCTAAAATAAAATGTTATGCACAATGACATACAGACATAATTATATGGCAAACCATCGCCTCTTGTCCAGTTACAGAGTTACCAGTCAAGGTATGTCAGATTAGTTGTCCAGTTATTTGTTTCAGATAGGTAGAGTGTATTCCAGTATTCAGATATTTAATAATCAGTGAAAACAAAACAAGCAGTTAGCGGGCTATAAGAGGTATAAGAGGTACAAGACGAACAGACGAAAGAAAATACATTATATTAATTACTTGTTCTTTCCACTATCCTGTTTGCCGCAACAGACGAGACTGCGGCATCATTCAACTAACTTGCTGTAAGCTGTAAAATTTCTTCAAACAAAGAGGTCAGTTGCTAACATCGTCAACACAAACAGGCCGCAAATAAGCGATTGAGCTCTGCAAGAGTTAAGCGAACGACAGCATAATTGCCGTCGAAAAACTTTGGAAAATTGCGCTCAACGTCGTTTTTTAATCGCGTCAAAATCGAGAAGTAGCAGGGCATATAATAAGCTCTCAGCTATGAAAGAAAAACTAGAAGTTGCCGAGTAATGGTCGCCACGGAACGCAAACTGTTATCCATCCTTGGTCCGTGCTCGGCAAGAAGATATAAACAAGGGCGTATCGATTTCAGGATCGTCAAATTTTCAACAACAAACAACATTGCGCCTCTGGCAACATTGCGGCGTTAGGACATTTTATTAGTTGAATAACGACGTTGGTATTCATACCGATGTTTGGTTGTAAAAGAAACCAGTGTCGGAATTAATTTGCGCTTTTAAATACACGCAGACACATGCGGCAAGAGGAATGCAGTTGCACTAACTTTTGCGTTATTGGCATTCTGTTAAATATCTAAATTCATTGAGAATTGTAAATAACACACACAATTTATTCATCTCCCATGACTGTGAAAAACATATCAAACTACGGGAACTAGCAATCAAATGGTTAACATGATAAATCGCCAGGTCGACTATCCTCTCTCCGAATTAATATTGTATCTTAACATTAAGCTGTCGCAATTATTGTGCCGACGAAGAGTTATCAGAAAAGTAAAAACAAGTATAACAATTTCATACATAATAATTAATATATAAATCATATTGGAAAAATTGCGCCCAAAATTGTCGTTCAAAACTCCTTGCTCGCTAACAAGTTGTCACTACCAATGGCCAAACAAACGGATTTCAACATTTTGAATATTTTACAATATTCAGAGACGTTTTTATTGGAAGTGGTAACAAAAATAAGTACATATATAACGTATATTATACTAACCCTAGCGAACTCCGATAAAATAGGCCTCCATCACATTGCTATTCATACCAGCCGCTTTCCGCAAAATTTCAGTCAGTGATCTGAAACGATATACGGTAACTCTGTAGTACGGGAGAGACACCCTTGTGCCCTTTTGCACGCTACAAGTGCAAATCGCATTGAAGCGCATCATGCTCACTGCTGATTTGTAAATAAATCTACTTAACTGAAGGGATAATCTTTGTTAATTGGAACGTGAACGCATAGCGGAAAATATTTCGAATATAGCATTGGGTTTGCTGTATTTAGTTGGGCAAAACGATTCATTAAATTACGCAACATTTCGAAGTATTTGGAATAGGTCGAATAATCAACTATCCAATCTTATATTTGTCGGACATGCATGAAAGGTGGAAACGGCGGTTAAATCGAACCTTCACGGCGTTTATGTGATCAAGGACGCTGGATCGTGATAGTAACATCGAAACTTTCGTTTTTGAATTACAACATCAAAATTAACTATGGGCCTGACCTGAGATAGATTTGTCATCAGTTACAACGCGTAACCAGAACGATATGTTACGCAACAGTTAATTTTTGTAGAAAATAATGTAGGCCTACATAACCCGTGAAATGTGAAGACATTGACATTTTCGAAAACGGAAGCGCTATTTTAATAGAAATTCAATGGAAAATGCAAATTCGATTTTATTAAACGAGGCATATTCAAGTCATGCAATATTGAAGTATGATATCGCCAGTTCAGCCGGTCCCTTTTTCACAAGAAATACGCAACGAAAAATGCTTTGAATATGTACAAACAACAATATACACTCGAGCGCGTCTTAATTTCTGCATAATACCTTGTCTATTGGGCGGAATAACTTTGACGACGTCTTAACAAAAATAACGTATATCGTCATATTTTAACATGGTAATTAAAACATATCCCATGAGTGACGTGTTGGCTGCAATTACGCACTAGATTTTAACATTTGAGGTCATTCACGTGAGACATGAGCGGAATAACTAATGCCTCATTAGAAACAACCAAGCAATTGAATAATTGTCGCAATACAGAACCCGATGGATGAACAGCTCATATGGCACAAAACCGATTATATATTAAATTGAAATATACTGATCAGCATGACAGGTGGAATATCATAATAATGTTATTAAATATTTCTTTTAGAATATCGAATATTATGAGTAACATTAAGAATAGGAACTCATTGTCAAGTTTCGTACTATCATTAGCATACATCCTGATCACGATTTGCTGATTTGGTACCGATGGTAGATAGTTTACAACTACAGAATTGTACGCATTGAGAAAAAATTGTCCCCAATGATATCCATTATTTCGCGAGGAATGCGTCTGTCATCATGTTTACTGGTTTCTGGCAAAGTATTTGTAGCCAGCACAATTTATCTAATACAGAATTATTTTTCAGTCAACAGTTGGTGTTAAAAATGTAGCAGCGATAGGAAGCATTCTCTGGTTGAAACGCGCCATTTTTATTCATCAGTGTAAAAATTACGCAATGTCGTCACAAAATCAATTCAGTTATAACGGCTGACCGACGCGAGAAAAGCAAATTATTATCGATCCTATGGATTGAAAATAATCAATGATCAGCTGACGGCTGATATAGTCGCTCAAATGTTACAGTTGCAGTATTCAAAGAAAATGAACAGATATACAAACGCGGGCGAGTAATGTGTACAAAGTCCTTGCACGCCGATCAATACCAACGCGCATTCTTAAATCACGTTTTCTTAACCAATGTACGAAACAGCTGAACTCCA